GAAGGTCAGGTGATCAGCAACATTGCTGAAATTCATTTTACACTCACTTTTCAGATATTTCCGTCCGAACCAAAGAGCCATGCCAGAAGCATGGTGAAAAATCATTCTGAATCCTTCCGAATTATACAACACGTCCTGTGAAAACGTGTCACAGAGCGTCGAGCGACTGGAAAGGGATCAGATTGGTAGATTCTTGCTCGATGCTGGCCGCTGCATTCATCCAGCATCTGTTGTCCTGGCTCCTTTCAGCCTGTCACCCAGCCAGACTCATCGGCCATGGAAAAGTGCCCACATGGTAAATGAAACCTCTCCCGCTTTAGCGGCACAGCCCTTCAATTGATTTCATAAACATCTGAGCACATCATGTAATTATACTCCCCTACACACACTCAGACGCACACACCTCAAACCTTTAACATACTAGTTTCTCTTTGATTTTCTTCTTTCATCAAAAAAGGTAAATAAAGACAAAAATTGATGAAAACAAGCGGCATCTGAATCCCTTGCATGTGTCACCAGCGGTGAATGAATAAACAAGTAGCCCAAATTTCCATGGCAACAACAAACTCAGACGTTGCAGAATGCCGCATATAATACACCAATCCCTCAAGATACGAAGGTGCATTGAAAGATAGACAAACACAATTACACCTTCTCAGTACATTGGTGACCCTATTGATCCAGAAGGATCAGGAGCATTTGGGCTAAACCACGACGCTGTGAAGCTTTTTCTACACAAGTGCACAGTCCTCCTCTGATTGCACGAGGGAATCCGCCGCTACTCATTTCCTACGGCAGTTATAGTAATTGTGCTGGGGTTGCCAACTTCTTTCCCTAAAGTTGGTGCCTTTCCAAATACAAATCATTCTTTATTTTTTCTGCAGCTCATAAACTGGCACTTTGAATAAATGACACATTTTCCGTTGTTAGTATGGGAAGTAACACAACGATCAAGTGAGGAATGAAAGACGATTCTAACTGCAGGTTTTCCACCTCTGCTGTAGGTAGATAGAATAGGTTGAAATCTAGTGGGCCCGAAAATACACACAGACACACACATTGACACTCACACCACAGACCCCCAGCTGCTGCTCTGTTGTAATTTATTATCCTGTCCGTGCCCAGTGGAGTCATGAAATCGGCCTGGCCTTTGCGACACACACACACACACACACACAGACACACACACACACACACACACACAGTCAGTCCATGTGTCGTTTTCAAACAGTCGTCCCCGGCTTCCACCCAGCAGAGACCTCTTTTTCGTAATTAGTGTGGAGTCCCCAGGGAGAGAACGACAGGGCAAATACGCTGGATGGATGAAGGATGTGAAAGGTTTCATGCTGTCAGAAAAACAAACATTAAGGAGAGCATGTCCGATACATAAAGGACATTAATGTTGTTTATTTATATTTCAAATTATTTTGTCAATGATGATAAATGAATAATTAAAACAAATCAATGTGACTATGGTGTAACATTTTTCATTGTCTGAGGCTCTGCCACGTCTATCAAGTCGTCTGCGGGTGTAAAGATCCGTGTTCAAAATCAACGCAGTGAAACTGCAACCCTTGTTTACACAGACATATTGTTTGGTTCTGCATCCATCCCTGATGATCACATCCCACAGCTCTTTTGTCCTTCCAACCTCCTCCTAGAAGGATATCTCTTATTTTTCCACCCCCTTCTGCTCAGCCCTTCACCCAGAGGTCCTCGTTGTGTCCCAAATCCACCCATGAGCACGTCCTCGCCCTTTCGTTAGCACTGTGCGCTGCCTCACCATTTCATCGGACATAAACTCAACGCTACAACAGCCCATCGGGAGCCTCTGTCTCATCATCCAAAGACCAATCTTCAAAAATCAACATCATTTAAATTACTACCAAGGGTTGAATTTCCCAATAGGGCCTGCTGGGGACTCATTTTCAACCTGGGAGGTTCATACGTCATGACTAGTCCACTGAAGTTATTACAGATATGAGGTGTGTAATTATAGCTTTCTTATGTAAGTCTGACTATTTTCTCTCAGACAACATGATTTTTTTTCCATGCCAACTCAACTGTTAATGATGAAAGACATAATAGGTCTTATGGAGGTATAAATAATGGTACATTTGAACTAATGTATCTGGTACAACAGCTCACCTGTGTCTTCCACAGCAGGAATCTTTTTGGACACATCACTGGTTCTTGACACTGCCCGCCCCAAAATTCAACTTCAGATGCCAAAGGAGCGTTCTGACCCATTTAGAACAGGAGGAAACTGCTTCAAAATGGGATTGGGCACATTTGCAGCCCGGGCACATCTGTGCACACATACAAATATACATACAGACACGCGTGCACACACGTTCACATGGGCTCAGGGAGGAATTGCACCATGATTACGCCTCAGGTAAAAGGGGATTCATGTTTTAATGGAGTCAATGTTTTATTCATAGCACCTACCCGGTCTTGGAGATGACAGAGAACACAGAAAACCTGTAGCAACAAAAGAAAACCCGGACTATTAGCTTAATCAAACAGTAGTTGAATAGTTGAATCTCAGTGTCTTTTGAACACAGCACCATTTTGGTCTGAACTGTAGAAATATGGCTTCCATAAATTATTTGACACATCTATGCTATGTCGGCATTGTTGTTGTGTTGCTTCAGACAAGGGGAATTAGTGATGTGACATAGTGAAAGGCAGAGAGAGAAAGGGAAGAAAGGAGGAGAGGGTGTTGTCTCCCGAGTGAGGCCTGTAAGACCGGTTATTCTTTCCTAGAAACCTCTGAATTGTGCCCGAGCCTAAACATCCACTCCGCTGTGAGAGGAACACTCTGCGCCACGCCAGAGAAATGTAAAGCTGGAGCACGTGTAGGACGTGTAGGATCAAACATTCCTCCTTCCTACTGCTTATTCGTACCCTCTGTTCACTTGAACACAAAATGGAGATTAGAAAATGTGAAAAGAGAGCGGAGGTCACAGATAGAAATGAAAATATACTGCATAATAGAAAGGCGTGAGGCGAGTGCTTGGCTGGAGTTACTGCACATGTAGTGTGGGACTTATTACTGAATAGAAGGTAATGCAGGGACACTCAGATTTTGAGAGATCTGCTCAAACAAACTCTAAACGGGACACTGGGCTTCCATGAGTGTTGAACAATACACCTGCCCTGACCTCGGTCATAAACCGTAAATTGTGTCTATTCACGTTCTGAAAAACTGGTGAAATACATGAAGAAACACCAGAAGCAGATTATCAGGTTAAACAAGGCAGCCAACCTTGGCACAACTACAAGACCTACAGCCACAGATTTATTATGATGAATTAATATGAAAAATCTAATTATGCTACTATTCTAACTCATTTTAACAATTACCTTAGAAAAGGTCCCAAAGCACTTTAGAAATGGACAACTCGACTCTATGCTACTTGATGTGTACTTCAGATGAACCATTGTAATACGACAATTGCCTGAGAGATAGACTGGTTATATTGCAGATTCGGAATTTAAAAATTGAAAGATCCACCTTTGTTCAGAGCTTAAGCATGTTTAAGTACATTGTGCTGACAATCTCTCTTTCTCTCTTCAGTAGAGGTCAAAACTCATATCTAAAATGGAATCCTACCCCAACTACACATCTTGCCACCAGATCGTAAGCTCAATGTGAATAGTTACTATCAGACATGTGCAATCTATTTTGTTAATCGGATTACTTTAAACTGGTCCCTCCCCAAACCTGCCAATATCTGTCATCCCTCACCTGCCAGCGCATGCTCATCATTTCCGTACGCACTTAATACTTCACAACACTACGGATTCCCTAATGTATCACTCCCTCCCAGCTCGACTTGAAATGACAGTTTTATTAGATAGTCATTTGCTGCTGCGTGTTACACCGCCAGTTGAGGGTCAGCGATACTGACTGAGTCAAAGCCGCTTGATGACCTCAAGGTGATAAAGACCGCACAGGAGAGAAGGACACCGAGGAGGACAGAGAGGGTGATGATGGAAAATGGGTTGGATGGATAGAGATCCGGCAGAGTAGAGATGACCAGTCACAAACGCATGGGCTGTGAGACCATCATTTACCATTGTTTGATTTACTTTACAGGAACTGAACAAACTGAAAGAGATTAATAATATTATTATTATATCAGATAGACTACTGCGCGTGAAGGGAGTTGCAACGGGTATAATTATTAAATACAAAATGAGGTCTTTCCATTTAATGCAAATCAATAGAATAATCCAGTCAGAACATCTTATTTTACCACTAGTTTTTAATGACATTGTTCAAAATGTGTAAACATGGTTATTTTTTAGATTATAGTTGGTGGTGTTGTAGCTTTGTGTTGACTGGTGTGTCTAATCCTTTGTCATTTCCTGTAATGAAGGAGGCAGAATATCCGACAAATCTGATCAAAACACATAACCACCACTGACTATGACCTCAATGCTAATGTTAATAATAACTAACTGCAACTGATCATTGCAGCTACAAAAATGTGACGTACCTTCATTTCCACATTTACAATGAAGGAGCATGAGATCAACAAGCTTGGCACGAGACTCTTCTTTTGAAGTAATGCCACGCTTTTGAATGGGAGGTGGGGTGGGGGAGGGTGGGGTATCTATGTTTTCTCACGACCTGATACTACATCTTCAAACAGAAAGTACTGTGCTGGGAGGATTTCTCTTTCTCTCTCTCTCTCTCTCTCTCTCTCTCTCTCTCTCTCTCTCTCTCTCTCTCTCTCTCTCTCTCTCTCTCTCTCTCTCTCTCTCTCTCTCTCTCTCTCTCCCTTTAAAAAGGAATCATATGAGCCCTCAGTGGGCTGTGCTTACGGGTGGCATGCGTGTATTATTGGTGCACGGCCTTTTAATGTTGTAGAAATTAGGCGAGGCTGCCAGTCGTCCGGCCAATCACATCCCGAGGTGTGGTTCTCGGGGGGCGCGGTCACGATGGAAAGGGCGGTGCTAGAAGCGGAAGTGGGTCTCGGCTGATTTCTCGCTGACAGTCGCTGTCATTCGTCCACGGTCGGTTTCAGGAGAGAGGGCAGTCAAGGAAGCACACAGCAGTCGGCTAGCTCTGAAGTAAAGACAGTTAGCGACGAAATAATCCTGAAAATCAAACAAAAAATGAAACCGAGCGAATAAGGCTTGTGAAATAACCGCGGTCGAATAGAATTCAGTCGTTGCCACGTTAGCAGAGCCCGTTGATTCCATAGTCCAGATTAGAGGCAGCAGATAGAGAGCTGTGTCATCGAGCAGGCAGGACACGTCAGGAGAAGGGAGAAAAAAAGCTGACCGACTGCACTGTACGAGTCGGCTACCAAAAAAAAAAAAGCTTTGCCCGACGCACTCGCATTTTTTTCAAGGACATCTCTCTGCTTTTCAAACCGAGGAAAGGATCCCGACAAAGACGTCGCCGAGCTCGAAGGTGGTGATCAGAAGGTGAAAAGACATTTTATTCGCCCGTATTTTCTGGCTGTCCGGCTAGCTAGCATTAATGCTGACGGTTGGTAGCCGGCTAGCTAGCTAACTAGCTAGCGTTAGCAACGGATGGAAATTAGCTGGCCAGCTTAACATGTTGGTTTATTCCACCCGCTCCGCTGTTACTTGGCGTGTAAAAACGACCGTAACGAGCAAAACCCGGTACGTATTTTATTGTATGACATTTATCCGAGACATTTTGAGGTTCAACTCCACACACTGGTGACAGCTGTCAAACAAGGTCGTGTGTTTTTTCTTTCTTTTTTTTTTTTTTTTACTCTAAACGTTAACACCGTTAATTTGTTGATATTATCCAAATGTGATCCGTTCTATTTCGCACGACGGCGGTCCCTCTAAGGCTACACGGCGGCCGCTTGACGATCTGTCAGTCGGCTTGTGCGAAGGAACGGAGACGGTGTCGTCTGCACACAGCGGTGCTCCAGCTAGAGACACTGGCGGCTGCCAGCAGCTCAGCTGAACACTTCCAAGCTGGCAACGTCACGCGGTTATAATTAGCAGAAGATGTAATGTCAACCGGTTGGCTTTTATCAAAACTGCTCGGAGCCATAATAAGGGTTATAACAGATTGTTCCACGCAAGAATGAGCTCATTCATGACTGTGGTGTGTGTGTGTGTGTGTGTGTGTGTGTGTGTGTGTGTGTGAGATTGTCATGTGTGTGAGCGTTCTCTTGAGGGAGCGAAAACCGACCCGATCACAAGAAATCGTTGTATGACCATCACCCAGTTGTTTCTAAATCCCTTGACGTGTGGTGCGATAAGAGGGCCCGACTGCTAACTCGGTGCATGCCATCCTGTGTGCTCTTCTCTCAATAGGACAAACGATCACGGGATAGCTTTTGTGCGTGTGTGGGGGGAGAAAACAAATGGGGGATTACGGGTTCGGAGTCCTAGTTCAAAACAACACTGGCAACAAGTCTGCATTCCCGGTTCGAATCCACCCGCATCTGCAGCCCCCACACCACCACCAAAATGTGTCGCAGAGCCCTGCTGCTTTCATAAACAGCACCACAGCCGCGGGGAATGGCACCACGGGAGGCTCTCCCTGGCTCTTCCCTGCCTCAGCCACCCACAACAGCGTGCAAGACGAGATCCTGGGGGGGCCAGAGAAACCCAAGGCACAGCAGCAACAGGAAATGCAAGAAACGCAAGAAAAGCAGCAGCAGTTGTCCCCTGGGAGTCACCAGGAGGGTGGGGGTGGCGGTGGGATCATTTCAGAACTGGAAAAAGCCCGGTCAGATGAAGCCAAGACGGACAACGGCACGTCCGAAGGGAGTAACGGGAAGGAGAAGCAGTTGCGCCTCGAGTCTCCGGTCTTGACGGGCTTCGATTACCACGAGACGTCTGGTCTCGGGGGAACCGGCCCCGTCCAGTCCAGTACAACCTCGTCGTCACTTACTGGCTTCAACAACTGGTCGGCCGCCATCCCGCCGGCACCGTCAACCATCATCAACGAGGACGTGAGCTTCTTCAACCCGGCGTCTGCCAACAACGGGGCCCTGCTGTTCCCGAACTTCTCTCACCACGTCAGCCCAGGGTTCGGCGGGAACTTCTCCCCCCAGATCGGACCAGCGGCGGCCCTGTCCCAGCACCACGCCGCTCCCCCGCCTCACCCTCACTTCCAACACCCCCACAACCAGCACCAGCAGCACCGGCGCTCCCCGGCCTCTCCACACCCTCCACCGCCCTTTCCGCACAGGAATGCGGCTTTCAACCAGTTGCCGCATTTGTCCAACAGCCTGAACAAGCCCCCGTCCCCCTGGGGTCCGGCCAGTTACCACAGCACCTCTCCCTCCCCCGGCTCCTCTACCTCCTGGAGTCCTGGAGGAGGCTATGGTAGCGGTAGCGGCAGCTGGGGGGGGTCTCAGGGCAGAGACTATCGCAGGGGGCTGAATGGCGGGATGACCCCCATCAACTCCATCTCTCCTCTGAAGAAGACCTTCCCCAACAACCACGTGGCGTCCCAGAAGTACCCTCGAAACAGTCCCGCCGCTTTCAACCCCAAGTCCTGGATGGACGATGGAGTCGGCCGCAGTGACAACATCTTCCCCTTTCAGGTCAGTTTTTCCTGCGACGTCATCATTGTGCGGTTCAGCAATAATTCTGACCTATTAATTGAATTTATTTTGTGTGATTGCGTGTGTGTGGTCCCTGAGTGATTAAACGTCAATGTGTATGTTAGCTGTTCATTTTATTGCAGTGTTTTATAGTTTCTATTTTTAGTCATGGGGTTTGGGTATGAATGTACATGGATGCACTTCTTACCGTGTTAACGGAACTCAGCCGTCGTTGCTCTGCAATTCCACAGCTGTATGTCTCTGATGATGACTAATGTGGCTCTATTACTGCAGTGGTGTGTGTGTGTGTGCCACGTATATGAGTCTGGGAGGGGCGGGGGGGTATCACGCATCATGGATATAGAGGAAAAAGATGGGCAGAGGGAAGTGAAAATAGGGGTAAAGCAATCCAGGTGTGAGGAGAATGACTGTCTGAGATGTAAAGAAAAATCTAGATCCAGCAGTGAGCACGAAGACGTCCTGCTTGGATGTCTTTTTATTCCGGCCTAAAGCACAAAAAAACGGCCCCACAATACTGTGGATTTATGGCCCTGGCATAATGGGCAATGATTTTTCAGGGTTTCCAATTATTAATCACCTGGATTGTGGCTGCCATAGCCTAGCAACTGGTTTTCTAAATGCCATCCTATTCATAGTGTAATTTGGATACCCGAGTCCACTCATGAATATGGCTTGAATAATCGCATAGAGAAAAGAGAAAGGAGACTATCGGATGGATGGATGGAAACGGGCAACGGGAGCATGGAGGTAAAATCATTTTATTGATCTTAGCGCATGATTGATTGAGGCGGTGGGCTGGAGAGAGAGAGGTTGTGAAGGCTTCTTAACGCGCTTTAGATATTTTCTTTCATATTAACTCAAATTTTCTAAACCAGCATATTGACTAATCTTCACATTCCAAAAGTGATTCTTGTTGCGACCTTTCCATACTTTCCCATTTGCAATTAATGACCCAATGCACTTGTTAATTATTTATATATTTAATTAAGGGAGAATATTATAAACACACCACAGTTCAAACGGTCAGAATGTTGTGCTGAATATGTCTTGACATGTCTCTTTGCTTAAGTAGACAAACTCACTTTGCAGCTTCAATATATCATTAGCCAACAGCCCTGTCCGAAGGTAGTCATGGGCTCTGACACACACACACACACACACGAATAGAACATTTTGTTACATAATTGATATAGAAGCTACGCAATTAGCTTAGCAGTCGGCTAGCTCTGTTGGCATATTCTCATTCAATCCAGAATTGTGATTCTGCGCCCAATTTCATCAAGTGAGAGCACTTCCTGTTGCATCCACGTGCCCGATTTAAGTTAAAACTTGAATCACTTCAACTGCAATATATTATTCTTCACTGTGGAGGAGCATTGTCCTTTTGCCCTCTCCATACTGCAAGGGCGGACGAAAGATGGGGACAGAATTGTGTGTGTGTGTGATTATATAAGTAGACCAATTTACAAAGAATTGATAATGGGTCAAGATCATAAAAACCTATCAAGATTGTTTTTATGAATGAAGATGTGCGTTGACACTTTGTCTACATTTTGTGTTTTTGCAGTGTTGTGTTGCAACGAGAAACCGCTGTTAAATTATTACACAGGAAACCAAGTGTCAGGTTATTGACCAAAAGCCACCTGAGTGTGGTTTAGTCTTTACGTTCTGAAGACAATAAGGCGATTTGAATTCCCATTTACTCCCATTTTATTACATTTGCTGACAAACGGTCCCAAAAATGGTTCTTGTCAGGTCTTGTCCAGATCATGAACTGTTTAGAGGACTGATGACACATGATGCCTTACACAAGACGCCCCCCTCCCCCCTAAAGGGTTTGGTAACGAAATACTGTAGCTCCTGTAACGTTGAACTGAAGGGGGGGAACTGTTGTGACACTTTCCTTTCTTAATTTCTCAATTTGATCACCAACAGTCACAATTTTTCAGGCCGCGTAAAATCCAAGTTGGTTCATCAACACTTTTGGATCAGATGTTGGTGTAAGTACATGGCTCTACAGAGACCAAGCAGATAGACGAATTCCACAAATTAGCTGTGCTGTAATATTTTCAGTTGGCTGCTATTCAGAAGACGGAATCACATTTAATTAGCAAGATGTCGCAGCGGAGGTGTGTTCCAAAAGCCATCACTCTTTCCGCATTAACAAAGTTAGGCATCATCATGTGATTGCCTTGACATTATTTTGTGTTTCTTTTTGAGGAAGTGTGTGGATGCAGTTCGAAAGCAAGGCCATGCGCCATATTTCATCTCAAGTGTTGTGCAGCACCAAGAAACACACACACACCGAACGAACATGTTCTATTACCGTGGCTGTATTCGAGTTAATACCAGTATTTGAGATGGGCTCCAGACTGGGCACACTGGTGAGCCAGTAACCCGCCCTAGGTCAGAAATGAGCGTGTCTTAAATACTAGTTTTATGAAGCCAGGGTATGCTGGTCAAGCGGCAGGGTGACACCACGGACAGGTTGCCAGTCGAGCAGAGCGAGATGCTCATATTCACAACGACAGGCCATTTAAGCGTCGCCGATTGGCCTAAACTCTCGGGATTGTTGGAGGAAATCGGAGCACCTGGAGAAAATCGACGTACGTTTTCTCTTTTCTGTACATGCTCCCCCAATTTCTCACCGGCAGCAAGGTCAGCGGTATTCTGCCGTGTACTTTGCTAATTCCTACTGGTAAATTTGGCCGGGGACCAGATGGGAGACTGGTGGTGCCTGAGGGCGAGTGAGCCAGCACAGGATATTGTCTCAGTAAGCTACCAGGGTAACTGCTGGCGACTGATCCCTCCTCACTGTTTGTGCAGCTCACGTATAGTGCAGCCATTTTCAGGGCTCTGCTATGTGAAGGCTCCTTATTAAACCACCTTTTCGTAAACAAATATTGCACAACCTGTTGTCCAGCCTGAGGCTTCGGCCTCCTTTAGTTGAACCCTGTGCTTGTCTGAAAGCAAATCGAATCAATAGTGCAGGTCTTCAGGCGAGTAGAACTCGCGCAGGGGAATTTTTTTAGGGCGTAATGTTTAGCACGAGACTTCCACGGGGGAGGAAGCCGCCTTCTTCAAACCCAGGCATCGAGCTGCAGAGGTTTTGGCCGATGCCTCTGGTTTTCGTGACATTGCTGTGAAATGAGAGAAATGTTTTGGGGCCTAATGAGCGGCCCGATCTGTGCTGGCAAGCACCTAGCTCTGTTGCTCATACAGCCTCATTGTGCCCTTCTCACACCCTTGACAGACTCTCCGAAACGAGAAGAAAGGGAGCTTGTGCGTGTTTGTGTGAGGGGCCTGCATGCGTGTGTGTTTTATTTTGTTGGCTTGCGTGCATTGCCCACGTCTTCTGCACATGTGTTTCAACAAAGGAGGACGACACGGCAGCGTCTTCGCAAAGGTGTTATGTCGCGTTGTATTTAGCGTAGCCTTATACCTTTTTAATCAGCGTCTACTGGCACGGCCTTATCGATTGCAATCGACCTATTGGGCACCTCTGCCTTTATATATAAGGAGTCAGTTCAGTCAAATCCACAAACTGTGCAAATACACCTTCGTCACCCTGCTGGGACCCGCGCGATCACACTCTATCTCGCCAGCGCCGGGTGATGGTTTGTTTTTGACAGTTCGGGGTGTTTAATGTCACAGCAGGCCTTTGAAATACTTTGACCAGGAAGAAACCTCATCGCAGGCATCAAAAGCACAACCCGCTTCCCCTTCCTGCCCTTTTTCTTTCTTCTCTTATGACTTACCTCACTACTTACTTTCTCTCTTTTTGTCACCCCACTTCTTTCATCTGACATTCTCCCCTTCCCCCCCCCTTTGCTTTTGGCTTCCTCTCTCCCCCCGTTGTCTCTGGGATTTGATTAGATTAAAGGAATAAAACATTGCACAACCTCTAAGTGAATGAGAGGTGGGATTGGAGGGTCTTGCACCTCTGAAAACTGCCATATTACTTTTTCCACTTTTCCAGCCTCTTGCAACTTCTATTTTTCATTAACAGGCCGGAAGATTAATGTTGGACTCGGTCACCCACCGCTTGCTGTATTTAATCATTCTAAACTTCTATATATGTCATCAAAATATGTTCACAGTGGCCCTTTCTGTGTTTGTTGGTGAGTCGAGATTAAATGTCGTCCTTTGCCAGCCATGTTATTCATTTGGTCATTTTAACCTTTTTTTCCCCCTTTTGTTTAAAAAAAAAAAAAAGAATGTTTCTTCACGTAGAGTTTGGACAAATGCCACAAAAGTAAAACCCTGAAACAGTTAATAGTTTATCAAAAGATTTGCTGATAAATTATCCGATTATCCGATGACCAAATCGTTGACGCTCTAGTAGTCTGAAGTCGGGTAGCTTTGGCTAAGTTGAATTTCCCCCAAATCACTACAGCTGACTACTTTGTCAGTTTCAGATGAGCTGATTATATGAGAACACGCATCTACATTTCTTCATCCAGATCCACATTCAAAAGTGGTGGCAGGGCTGGGCAGATGCACTTTGCCGTGCTGTATAATGCAAATTGATCCAATCATGCAGGTTTTTATTGATGGTCACTGGAAAAAAAGAGGTGTGACTGACCTTACTTATCCATTTAGCTTTAACTAGATTAAGGGTGATTACATTCTTCCTGCTTACCCACGTATCCTGAACCTTATTTCACTCTCCTTTGCAAATATCCTCCATAGTTGCAGCTGTGCTCTTGAGGTTCGCATGGATACGCTTTCATAGATGCATATAATGTGACTAGCACTTCAAAGTCGCGTGTGTGCGTGCGCATTTGTGCCTTGCCTGCAATCTCTCTGGGATGAATACTTTGATGGTCATCTGGACAGTTGTCGAGAGGGACAAAGGCATGAATCTGATGATTAATTACACTCTGCTGTCCAGCCGAATGCTCAGAAACTGCAGAGCACCAGGCTGACGGGCGGATATGAGAAAATAGTGCACCTAGTCGGGCTTGTATCCCTGTGTTGATATTTGTTTAGAGGGAGGGAGCGGGCGGGCAACGGGTGTGTTCTCCTGCCATGTCGTCTTCGTCTTTGTATGTTCCCTCGGCCGATATTGGGAAATCTGCGACGGACAAAATGCTGCTAAAACGTCGTCTACAGCTGGTGGAGTTCTGGCATCCAACCGCGCTCTATGGCTAGCTAGTGTCAACACCAAACAGTAGATGGGGGTTGGGGGGGAGAGGAAAAAAAAAAAAAGGAGCTGCCGGCCTGCCCCGACCGACGGTCATGTGGTTCTCTGACGCGGGGCTGTTTTTCTGAACCCTTCGGCGTTTGACCCCTGTGGACTTTGTGATGTAACAAAAAATGCTCTGGGCCTTTCCTCACAAGGTGGTTTTACTTTCAGATCGTTCTCAGCAGATATTGATCCAAAGCTTTTGTAGCAAGAGCCCAACCCCCGTTGCTGGATAACTGGTTAGTAGAGAAGTAATGCTTGGATGCGTTTGTTGGAATGACAGCGGGGAATGAAAGATATGATTGACTATGAATAGGTAACAAAAAGGAATGAGAGACAGGTCGGGTTAATCTGGTTGTGCGAGGCTCCTCCATCATGAGGGCCGAGCTTATCAAACCGGGATGTTGTGGATTTTCTTTTGACGTCTTGCAGGGCAATATCAATAAACAAGCACCAGTGCAATGTTGAGCTTTATTCACATGATATTATGTTAATGCATTTTTAATATCAACTCATAATTTCTCTGTTTTCACTTTCTGCTATCTTGAGACGGATGTGATAAAAAAGAAAAAGTAGGCCAGCTGAACAATGGACCTCCATCAGAGCTCAATGCAAACACTCGCTACACCTGCTTATCATTCTCAAACGGGGAAAACAATGCTGGCTGTTCGGGATTTTTTTATTTCCTTAATATTTTTTTAAAGGGCAGGAAAAGATGGTGAGGCTTTGGCAAATTGCAGCCTCATTATCAGTAACACCTAACGCCATTAAGTCTCATTAGGCTGTGATGCGATCATCTAAATACTCTCCACGATTTGTCCATCAATGTGGACGTATCTTATAGCGACAACTGTCCTATGCGTCACTTTGTTCTCATGAAACGCTAATGCTTTCCAGTATTGTTTTCACGGTATCTATGCAAATCTTTTAAAGATAGCTCCTACAATGAATATTATTTAAGTATTGTGTATAGTCTTTTTTTTTTTCCTGGATATGGTGCATTAAGGGGGAAAAAGGTATTCCTGTCGTGACCAGACAGTAGAGAAAATGACTCAGCATTCCAGTCACGATGTACAGCTTATCGAACAACAACGTGTAGCCCGAGGAGTCATTGGCTCGCTGCAGCCTGCGAGACTTCTGACTCATCAATGAGGAATTTTTTAAAGGTATTTCTGCATTGAAGAATGACCGTAGAAATGCGGAAGACACAGTGGACGAAATGAGACAATCGACAATGTGATGGGGACTTTAAGCACCAACTATAGATGTAAGCAAAGAGGATATGAATGTTCTAGTGTGTCCTCCGCGGCATTGTCCACCTGACCTGTGGTTGGGAGGACACCAAAATAGTTTGTCATAATTTCTCTACAGCTTGTCAAAGGCTGCATATTTTTGTTTTTTTTGGCTGGGGTGGAGTCGAAACTGAAGTCTTATCAGCACGGCACTTGTTCGTGTACTGCAGTCGTGCGTTCTCACACATACTTCTTTGTATACAAACATCTCCAGGTATGTTTGTAGGTGACAAGGCTGTGGCTTCAAGAATTAGCTCCTTTTGTGTACTGACAGTTTCATTATGCGACCAAGCCCAATGAGTACATTTAGAGCTCACTTAAGTTTTCAAGTACCGGCAGTTACGTATAAGAACTACTCGAAGAGGGTAATTGTGGTTAGGTTTTAAATAATACAATCTCCACCTGCTTAACGGTTAGACCAAGATGCCATCAACATGGGCGCTCCGGTCTGCTCGACTGAAAAATGCACCGATGTAGTTTTCAGCCGAAAATAGAACACCAAAGTATTTTTAATAAGGCTTATCCGACTTTTTATCTCAGATTTTCAGAATATATTATTGAATCACTGAGATTCCACTCGCGTGAAACTAGGTCTCCCTCCTAATTTGTTTGTCACTCCCGCTATTTGTGCCGATGACTTAAGTGCCAGTGAGTCGAGGATGGAAAAAAAAAAATGAGTAGGGACAAACTAAACGAGGCTTTGTGTCTTTTGTGTTTCTTTTTATTTTAAAGTAAAACCTGTGAAAGTGTCCGGCTGCCCCCCATTTCTCCATTTTGTTCAGAGTTGATAGTGTTCGTCTCCTACTTGAGGCCGGTCTGCATTAACCGATGAATCCAATCATCCAGAGTTTCTGTTTGTCAACTGTTAAGACTGTCGACCTTTTATTTTAATTGCATGTGTGTCTCTATAGCAGGTAAAGAAAAGTCAATGATGTTCCTCCTCCTTTGTCTCCTCTCTTTAGGAGCGCACCAGGTCATTTGACAGCTTCAACATGAACACGCTGGAGAGCTCGCTCATCGACATCCTGAGGGCGGAGCAGGACACCCTGAAAGGTAAAGATGTCCGACTGCCGCCGGCAGCGCTCCGGTGTTCACGTTACACGCCGTCCACAGCAGGGACGTAACGCAGAGAAGCTAACCGGATGTGTCGTGGACAAAAGGCTGCTTGGATTTCATTTACTCATAATCCATATGCAATCTGTGTAATGCCGTACCAGTGCATTGTCCTTGTTAAGCTCTCCAGTTCTGCTAAAGATGTATTTTTAGCAACATGTGTTTGACATGACACATATGACATGATTTGCAAGGTCAGTGCAAAAAATATATATATTTTGCCATGGTAATGTGTCAACTCATTTTTAATTAGTTTAATAAATTGCTAAATTAATTAAACATCCAATAATATTATCAATAGCAGAGTATGAGTAAGATTAATATTAAATCGCACACAGAAGGACCCACAAATGTCCTTGCAAAGAATTGTCATTTTGAGTTCATATATAATATGTGTGCATTTCATATGTAAATCACAACAGTTGTGATCCCTTCTGTTTGTAATCATTAATATTGGGACTGATCCGACCTCATGGCAGTGTTATATAAAATATATAAAAATACATTTAAATTTAAACTTATATTTTTAAATAAACATCACACATATGTGATGAAGAGAAAAACAAATACGTAAGGAGTTAATTATATTGGACAAACATTTGGTAGGATTGTTGCACCGTAAGGTTTAATTTAATACAAATTATTAATAGAAAAGTTTTGCTTCCTCCGCTGATCGCGTTTGGACATCGTGTCGTATTTACATGTAGTGTTAAACCGTAAAAAGAGGTCCACTCACACCCCTGCGTTACTTCTCCTCACACTGAATTAAAGAACGTTTCCTCACTTTTGATAAAATGCGATGCAACAAGTCTGACCTCCTTTTTCCTGCATTTTGAGAAGCAGACGCAGAGCGAATGCGGCGCTGATGGAAGCTTAGGCTTTGTATGTAAGAAGGGATTTGTGAGCAAGATGGAAGGACTCCCACTGAAGTTGTGGGCTATCATTAGTTTTTTTTTAATGATCTCAGCGGCAAAGCCTCCCTTTTTTTTTTAAGAATGATAAAAAAATTTAAAAACAGGACTCACGGTGGTCTCTGTCCAAGGTGTCTGTCCCCTCTGGGATACACGCTGATGCATCTTACCTGTAGTGTGAAGTCCGGTGGTTGTTGATGGTAACTAATCAAATTGTAATTAGCACATTTCCCACATATTGCCATTTAAAGCTGGTAGGTAAATAAATTGGCGAATTCATATATATATATATATTGTGTAGATTACAAGGTGGGTGCTACTGCTTGTGCTTGGCTGAAAATTGTTCGAGACAAGGGAATATCTGTTAATGGCTGAATGGTGAACCGGGAATGGGTTCTTGAATACGGCAGGTAGCCAGTGTTGTTCATGATTCCAGAGCAGTCATTCCCAGGAACGTGGTCTGGACACACGGGTCTGTTGTGATTCAACATGCATATCTGCAGTCTACCTGGCCACGTGAAGGCGCCTGAATGTACGTGTAGCCTACCTCCTACAACGGAGCTAAGATGGAGTCTGTTTGTGAGGAAACGAGAGGAGCGAGAGCCTGTTCCTGTAGCCCAGAGGGAGGAGCTCGTAGGACCAGTTCTACTAGTGAATGATTGAAAGGAAACGCCTTTACAAGGCTTTAGTGGAATTTAAGGGATTTGAGAGTAGAGTTTAAGTTGTTAGCCATATTTCTTAGTTGTTTATCAAACCATAAGGCGTAACCCTGTACAATGTACAACAGTTTTATATTTCCTTTTACTTCAATAAAGTCTGACAGATCTCAACAGATCTCAATAATCTATGAAGGACATTTCCGTTTCCAGTCTGCATTTTCATGTCAAACTGTTATATTAAATGTTTTAAGTCATTGTGCATTACTCCTGGTACCTGGTTTAATCAAATTGAATGTATATAATCCCCTATATTTTTCAAAGAACGGAGTAACCCAGTAAATCCCACAGACCAGTTTCACCACCAGATTAACGAGATGAGTAAAACCTTGAGCGCCAGACACGTCACAACCGCCGTGCATTTCTTCCCGCCTCACCCACGACATCCAGCTGGGGTCTAATATTCCGCCGTCCAATCTGAGTAAATCTTCTCTCAATATTCACAGTGGAAGACTGGAAGGTTACCTTATAAGCCACCTTCTGGGGCTTTAGCTGCAGCCTTGCTGGCGCAGATCCCTGCGAGTGAATTGGATCCGAGCGCTCGGCAACTACTCGGTTTTCTTCATTAGGGTTTAAACCCTGAAAGCTTTTTAGATGATGAGGTGTTGTTGACCTGACGCGTATTAGCTGATTGTGAGGATAGCGGAAGAGGATGATCTTTCTTCAGCTGTCTTCTTCAGATCGGTTCATATTCAGTTGCCTGATTCTTTACAGCGTTCCCATGATGCATCGCGCCGCATCGTCCTCTACTCCTTATTGTTCCCCATCTTGTAGCCGTTGGCCTGCTCCAAAATGTGATCTCTCTGTTCCTTACTTCCATAATTATAGTCCAAGCTTGTAGGCCGCTAAGTGTAGCAGTGACTTAAGTTAGTCCTTCCTTTCTTTTCTTTTTCTTGCAGCAGAGTAAAAAGAGAAACATAATTACAGAAAACGTTCTTCCTCCTGCTCTCTATCACATGCATGCAGGCTAAACTATAATAATCACAGAGCGCATGCATATTTGTGTATTATAATGTGTATACAAGTAGCAGGCACATTTAGATGCACACAACCGGAGCACAAATCTCTCATCCCAGCAGAGCACGTTGAACAAAGCCAACGCGATGAAGAGAGGGAAGAGGCAACACAAAATGTCCACAGTAGAAGTGACTTTGATTCCTTTCCAGCATTGTCCTGACTGACAGAAAGGGCTCCTCTGTTCAACCAACACACACATGCTCACACAACACACTGTGTTGTGTGAGCATGCAGGCGTGTGTTTAAACTGTACTACATGCACGCTGCTTGCCACTTTGCAAATAAGGTTCAGGGAGCGAGCACAGAGAGCCCCGTGGGCGCCCGGGGACGGGGTGTGCTTACGTGCCCGTGCCCTGTACTCCCAATGTGACGGGCTGTCCCCAAGTGGACTTTGATTACAGGCGATACCCCTGTCGGCGCATAGTCCACACGAGCTCATTTAGAGTGGGACACTTTTAGTTTGGTTAAGGTGTTTCGTAGCAAAGGTCAGCCTGCGTGTTGATGCTGTGTGTGTGTGTGTGTGTGTGTGTGAGAATACTGTGGGACTCCATGAGCGAGGTGTGGGGGAGGGACCAGCAGAGTTCCATGTGGCATCGGAATGCACCAATCACAGGGTGGTTCGTTCGCGCACAACAATGGTCGCACTATTTCAGCTCTTTCATCTCATTATCCCTGAGCAGCATGCGGGCCTTGCATAACTTTGAAGCTCGTTTGGCATCGTAACATGTATTTGTGTGGGTGCGTGCGTGTGTTTGTGTGCGTGCGCGGCGGGCCTGGCGAATGGCTCAAAGCGAAATGTATGATATGTGGCTCAGAGAGAGCGAGAGTGAGGCACAAAGGGGGGGATGGGGGTTGATTAGGAGCAGGGAAACGGTTGGTGTCACACAGGTGCCTAATATGACAGGAATATGTCCCACATTGTGTGTAGAATTTTTCAAATATTGCCCAGGAGGGAAGTAAATCTCTGCACATGCAGCAGTTATTCGCTAGCGTTTTCCCATGATGCCAACCATTTGCCAAATTACAAATGAACTATATTTACTCAGAGGTAAAATGTGTGTGTTCCGTCTCCCTGTGCAGGTCGTCTGGGATTCCCCCACCCAGGAGTAGACAACCCTTTACCCCTCAATGGTACGTATGGCAGGTTCCCAAGGGCCCAACCGGGATTGAAATAATATAAAGGAGTCTGTGTGGAAAAATGTCTTTAAAAACGTATTTGATGAAATTTCAATTTATACAAGGGACTATCTCAATTCAAATAGTGTTTCAATCGAGCTCTTGGACATTAAATTGAACATATGGACCCACCCAACCAATCTAATAAAAAGTAAAGAAGTTGTGTTGATGACCCTTGGCCTAGTTATTAGTTTCTGTCAGATCAGCTTTCACTGCTGATCCAGTTCTGTTCCCCAGACCCATAGACCGAAAAAGAGGAACATCATTTCTTCTCTAATATCTATTATTTATTGTTCCGCTAACTAGTCTTCTTTCATAATGTTTGAACTGCTGATTTCGACACGTATTTGTTTACTTCCAATGTGGCGTCATCAGAATAGAGAGCATCACAGCTAATCTTGTGATCGCACATTTTGTAATCGATCACGTGTGTGCAAAAGGGGGGGGGGGGTCCTTAAGAATTGATGTCACATTTATTGCGCGTTGGCCGCGTTTGGTTTTGGCTCTATTGTTGTATGTGCCGGGTCACAGTTATTTATATTCTGAATCTAAATTATACAGCAAAATGTGTTTCTGCATCATTAGAGGCGAGCGTCAATACCGTAACATAATCGCGATTCATATTTGATCATTGACAGTTTGATTCAAATCTCATGAGCAGTGGTAGATTCTTATGTTTTACATCACCTCATGCAAACTACTGGGCGTGGCCCCAGATTTTTTTATTCCATATTTGAGGCTTTTTTGTTGTTAAAAATAAGAAAGAATGCAATATTGATTACTTTTCTTCATCCCTGTGTTTCTGAAAGATGCAATGAAGGTGATTTGATTTCCTAATACGATCCTGTTGCACAGAAAGCAAAGAGCGCCTTTATTAAATGATGTATAAAAAAACCCTAAATACTCTCCCATGGCTGAAATCCGGCAAATCCCTTTGACGTGCCACAGTTTCCACAATGGGGGTTTATTATGCAGTTCCGTCTCCTTTGCCCTGGTACACTCCCATTCCCTTCATCGTTATGTAATTGTGTTGTTGTAGCTTTTGCCTTCTGGTCTCGGGCCAGGATGTAAAACACGCGAGGCCACTAGTTCCTTCACAAGATCGCTGGGTCACATGGCGAGATCACATGGTCGCGAGCTGTCACCAAGCCCCGAGACAGATGGTGCCAGCGGATAGGCAGGATTCAGAGGTTGCGCACCAGTACCACTCTGTCTCTCTCCGTCTCGCGGTCTCACAAGCGTACACAGATTGCAGTCCTCATTACTTTGATTCCCATTTTCTCTCTCTGTCATCATCGTTTCTCAATCTCTTCCAATCAATTTCTCTCTCCATCAATCACACACACAACATGCACCCATACACCTTTTTAAAGCCCTCTCTGCTCTTTCAATCTGTTCTCCTTTTTCTCTCCGCCCTCCCTCTTTCTTTGACTCTCCCCCCCCCCCCCAGAGGTAATGTCCATCTGGGTTTGACAGTCCACTGAGGGGATTATTGCTCCGTGTGTCTACTTGATCCTCTCCATTTCTTTACAGTTTTAGATGGGTCGAGGCTTCAATCTATCCAGTGTCCACATTTTAATTGGTTTTTATTTTGGGCTGAGATAAGAGTGTTACGTTTTGCATTTATGTCTTAACATAATTATTTGACAATAACAACAAATAATAAATCGTAACCCAAAATCTGTTTTTTAGCACCCTTTGATTGAAAGCTGGTTATAGAAGAAACCATGACGCCTTCAAAAAGCGTTTTGCATTTTGCTTTAACTTCCTAAGTGTTCCATTTATTGTGCGACGGTTTGTTGGTAACTGGCTATTTCACTTGATTTATATTGAGAGGTGACCTCAAACACACATTTCCATCCCTCTCCATTATACATTAAGATGATATTACTGTTTTCACACGACCAAGCTACCTTTCTTTCCTTCAGTGTTTTGCTACAGATTTTCAAAAACTGTACTTTTGTTTAGTAGTCTAGTGCTAACAGGTGTGCTGCAGTTCCATAGGTTATTATCACTCACGTGTGAGGGGCAGATAATGGAGCATCTTGGATTTGTCATGAAGCACCTGGTACTTTTATTGGTAACAGTGTATTTTGCATCTTTTTATAATCACTCTTCTTTGATCTTTGTTCTTATTCCAAACGCAGCCAGGAATTATAGCAGGAGACGAGGTAAAATATATAATCATGTGCATAAATCCACTCTCTCGTTCTGTTTACTGAAGCTGCTGTTCTGATTTTATTATTTGTAGGCCGTTGGTTTTTAGATATGTTCTACATCAACGTTTGAATGGGCTCTGTGCAAGTACCGTGAAGTGACGTGTTCGTCTGCATGGTTGTCATAAGCTTGTGAAATGTTCTTTTACATCTATTGTTCAGTTTTGCTCTCATTCTGTTTGACTGCTTTTTTTGGGGGGTGGGGGGGTGGGTGTTACTCATTTTCTAACACACCTTTTGTGCGATTGTTTGTCAGACAATAGTTGTCACATTCAGCTCAATGTTAATGAGGCTTTGAGACCCACAAGTTGTCATATGATATTTACTCACTCTGCAGCAGAAGCAACGACGCATGGGCAGGACACACACACACACACACACACACTAAATCACTCATGCCCACCCGCACAGCACATACTGTAAGCTGAGGCTTCTCTGATGCATAAATCTTTCATGAAATAGCTGAGGTCAGGGCGTATAGGAGCAGGAATAGGCTTCGTCTCCACACATAGCCAGCAGGCACGGCCCTCTCTGAAACCACACAGACTCTTCTGTGTTTGTTACAGAGGACCTGCATGCATTTTCAGTCCTTCATACATGTAGCACCTAATCAAGTGACGTTTAGTTTTATTTCTTATTTTGTGTTCGTTGTCAGCCGAAGTGGTTGAGAAAAACACCTGCAACATTTCACTCTCACCAGAGGGAGTAAAAGGCTCTCGTGCTCTAATCCATCCTTGGAAACGTGCGTTGCATGCTGCTCCTTTGCCTAAATGATGTGGTAGGTGAGGTTAGATCAAGGCCATAAGAAATATTTTGTTTATTTGCCTTCCACCCAGCACAGAGTGGACCCCCACCACAACCCTGAGCCTCTACACCAACTGCTCTCCTCAGGAAATAAACTTTTCCTCTTGGCTCTCGCCTCCCTCCCTCCCTCTCTCTCAGGCCACTCCTCTCTCTTCCCAATGGAGGATGGTTTCCCTGACGACGATCGCGGCGAACAGGGTCTCGCAGGCCTGGGCTCTCCACACTGCTTTCCACACCAGAATGGAGAGCGCGTCGAACGTTACTCACGCAAGGTCTTCGTGGGAGGACTGCCCCCGGACATAGATGAAGGTAAACTAGTTGCATTAACCATCAAAGGGATTTCGAATTTCTTTGGTTATGATTTGAATCTTAAGAGATGGGTAACTTCAAGTTCTACCTTACTGCATCATTGGGATGTTCTACCTGTAGCAAAGCATCCTAATGTACATTAATAATGACTCCTGATCTAATACTTTTCCTCTAAATCTCCAATGTTCTCCGTTTTCTTTTGTTTTTTTATTTCAAGCTGCTAACGAGTAGTTCTGTCTGCTTCCTTTCAGATGAGATAACCGCCAGTTTCCGGCGTTTTGGACACCTGTTTGTGGACTGGCCTCACAAAGCGGAGAGCAAATCCTACTTTCCACCCAAAGGTCTGTTCAATTATTAATTCCGTGCCATTTTTGTCTCACAACCTACTGTTTGCTGAGACCAACTGCGACACTCTTCTTGACATTCACCAGTTTGAACTTGAGAATGATTTTATTACTACAAGAGATGTGACTCTGGTAGCATTGATTCTCCAATTCAGCATTGATGGCCTTCTGAGGCCTATTAGGCCTATCTGAGTCCTACCACTGTACCACCACGTGTGTGCGCGGTCTTGAGGCTATTATCTGAAGTCTTTTTACGACCATGTGTGGACTGTTTCTTTGTTTCTCGTCTGTTTGCCAAAGCTGATGCCTTCCTGCTGCGAACGCAGAATCAGAAAGTGTAAATCAGTCACAGTAATCGGTTCTTTGCCGGTACGTCTTGTGCCGAGCAGTCCGAATAACTCCGCCTGTACTCTGTAGGCTACGCCTTCCTGCTCTTCCAGGACGAGAGCTCAGTGCAGGCTTTGATTGACGCCTGCATCGAGGAGGACGGCAAGCTGTACCTCTGTGTGTCCAGCCCCACCATCAAAGACAAGCCGGTCAGTACAAGCGCACAAACACACACACAAACACACGCAATCGGCTCAGATCTTATAGCTCGACGTCATGACTTTTATGACTTTATAACCAGATTGTACTAAACCTTTTTAAAAGTGCTGTAACCTGTTGGCTTTGGGTGCGACAGGTCCAGATCCGCCCGTGGAACCTGAACGACAGCGACTTTGTGATGGATGGATCTCAGCCTCTGGACCCGAGGAAAACCATCTTTGTGGGAGGTGTCCCTCGTCCGCTCCGTGCAGGTACCCCCTCCGTTCCATAACGATCACTTTCCTGGCGGTGAATCGGCGGCAGATCAGCGTTTATGTAGCCGTCCATCATCTCTCGTCGCCAGCTGTAAACAAAATGTGACTTCCTCTAAGACTCTGGAATGTGATCGGCTTGTGTTCATAATAAACATTACACCTGCTAAGAGGGTTAAAGTGAGTCACTGTGCGCTGAGATCGGCTTTGACCTTCAGTGGTTTGGTCAGGAAGTACCCTGAGTGGCACACTGTGCTGTCAATACTCTCAAATTAGTGTTTATCCTGATAGCAATGTCATGCACACTGGGCGTTTGTGTTTTCTGCACCGCTGGTAGCTTTGTTGTTGACTTTTTTTTGCTTTAGTTATGGAAATGACCGTGGTCGTATATCCCTGTGGTGCATCTCACGTGTGTAAGATATTTGCATTTAAAAAAAGCAACAGATTTGTTCCATTATGAAAGTTATACAAGTAAAGCTTGATCTCCTCGCTTTGCACGTTTGTTAGCTGCTGTTAAGAAACACCCAATAAAGACCTTAAATGAGCGTATTGTTCAGCTAGTTCATCTAGTTTTTATTCTTCCCTCCCTCTGCAGTGGAGCTGGCCATGATCATGGACCGTCTGTATGGGGGCGTTTGCTACGCTGGCATCGACACCGACCCCGAGCTGAAGTACCCCAAGGGAGCAGGGCGGGTCGCCTTCTCTAATCAGCAGAGCTACATTGCTGCTATCAGTGCTCGCTTTGTACAGCTGCAGCACGGAGAAATCGATAAACGGGTGAGTGGAAAGAAAAGAGCGTAGTGTTTTTCAGTCTCTCTTCTCCTGCCCCTTCGTTCTTCATCGGTCTCCCCGCTCACTCCACTTCCTGTTGTGCGTGTCTCCCTCACCCTCCTCGCTGATGCCCCCTGTTCTGAGTTGTGCTAGAGAGAACGTCTTTCTACAGCTTGAGATATGAAGCACCGCGTGCATGTCTTTGCTTATTAGTGGAGTGTTGTGAGGAAGCACATTTTGCATAATGGTTGATTCACTTTGGTCATTAATCCAAACTTCAAGAAGAGATCTTCGCGCTAATTAAAATTCAACAAAAATTCTATCTACCATTGAGTAGGAGCACCAAACAGTACATGGATGAAAAACAACACGAACAATTGTTAAACAACAATTTACAAGAAAGTAATTGCAAAAATGCCACTTCTGCCAAAACCTAAACCTATAAAACCGGCATGTCTTACTCACAACTCACCGTTAGACTGAATTCTTATTTATATACAAAGGTGCTATGTTGTTGAGCGGTTTCCAGAAATATTGGAATGAACTTTTCAAGCTCTCCAGACTTCAGGTTTATACATTCACTCTTCATTTGGTTTTACATCAATTTAATTTTAAGTTTGTCTTTATATTGCATGGCTTTACACATGTTGTGATCCCTTTCAGTTTGTTTTGATTGACCGCCAGTAAGACAGGGAGGCTCCATACACATAACAAGGGCCACTTTTGCTAAACATTTCTTTGAATTTCCTTAACTCATTCAACTCCCAATAATAATCTAAACCAGCACTAAAGACCTCGTGAGAACCTTGTAGCCTAAACTTTTACCATATTCTGTTGGTTTATCCGTCCGAGCTGGGATGGATTTGTTCAGTAACATGCCAATATAAATGGCCTGTATGTATAACCAAATAATATATAGTTTGAATGGCCAACTCGAAAGCACAAAATGTCCTTTTTAGGTTGCATACGTGCGGAAGGGTTCTTGTACAGCAATGTGACCAAGGTCGTGTATTTGAGATTTCATTCTTTCCATTGTTTAGTGCCTGATAATCACCGGGTAAAACTTTCAATGGGCCTGTAGGGGATTATTTGATGGTTCGGGTTAAACAATAACCAGTGCCTGCTCAAAGCGTCACACAAGTCCACCAGTTTATGCCGCATGATTAAAATTGTGAAAGTTTTTTTTGGGGCTTTTGGTTGAACGTATTGTACTATTCTATGTGGAATTAGTCGTCGCCTGGTGATTTTCCTGAGGCGTTCATCACCGCCTCCTTTGTAGTGCTGCCCTCTAGTGTCTCCACATCATAGTCTCATGCTGCTGGATGACAAAACGGCCAAATGAGTAAAAGGATTGATGGTATTTCAACAAAGTATAAAGAAAGAATTGCCCCAATGTGGGTATTCACTTAAGATTTCATGGTGGATAATCACAAACCTCACATTGGCCTGATTTTGGCTTCCTGGGCGGCGTTCTGTCCGTCCTCCAACATTGACGGTAACCATTATTCTAAGACAGTGATGTCGCTCCCTTCAGACTCCCTCTGGGAACCCTGCAACCCTTCCGTGATTAAAAACCTTTCTCTCCACAGCACGCGGTTGGTTTTGAGTGGCATGGATGCCGTCAGATTATTTTATGAAACCACTGCATCAACATTAAAAATGGATCACTGTCTGGTCCATTTTAACTACTTCTGTGCCGCAACAAACTGTCGATAAAGACCCTTTGACTGTGAGGTCACATTGAATTACTGGAATACGAATAAGCCGCTTACTCTCTTCCATAATGCCGGGCTGGTTTCTTTTTGCCTCCAGTGATATTAAACTGCTAGACGCACGATCAGGGAGCAGACTTTTTTTTGCGTGAATCCTTTAGCTTCCATTTGTCTCATCTCCTTTCAACTCTGCTGACAAACATCTGGCAGAGATGGGTTTTTATTAACAAACAGCTGCATGGAGTCCGAAACAACATCACTTAATCTGTATGATCTAATTTGCAGGTGGAAGTGAAGCCATACGTGCTGGACGACCAGCTGTGTGACGAGTGCCAGGGGACTCGCTGCGGCGGCAAGTTCGCGCCGTTCTTCTGCGCCAACGTCACCTGTCTGCAGTACTACTGCGAGTACTGCTGGGCGGCCATCCACTCGCGCGCCGGCCGGGAGTTCCACAAGCCCCTGGTGAAGGAGGGCGGCGACCGGCCCCGCCACATCTCCTTCCGCTGGAACTGAGCGGACGGCAGAGGGGGAGGCAGCAGGAGGGCAGGTAGTGCAGGAGGCGCAAGTCGTTGTACAAATAAATGCACTTTTCTGTTGCTGGTTCCTTTCTGTTCCAATTTCACTGAACCGTTTTCCTAATTTTTTTAAGTTAATATATATCTATATTTTGAAGATAGAAAAGAAAAACTGGAATTATATCCAAATATGTCCAGCAAGGAAAAAAGATGTGTAACATAATTTTATTTATGCGTTTTGATTTTTTTTTTTAAGTATTTTTATTAGTTCTCAAAAAAATGCATATATAGGAAAAGTTTGAAGTTTGATATGGTACTCTGCTTTTCAATTGGCAATTTTTTTCTAAACTATGTATTTGATTTTAATTTTGATACGAGAGGCCCCAAAACAAATACACTTCTTTTGACATTTGATTGACTTCTTTTGTAGCAGAGCTGTTGCTTGTTTTGTGTACCGAGTCTCCAGAGGCTATTTATTTCTGAGAAGTGTGATTAAGTTCTGTATTCATACAAGAGGCTCCAGAACAAATGTGGATTGAAAAAAGGTGTCGCTAAAGAAGAGTGCACTTATTTCCAATTCAAAAGAGTGCAGATACGCTATATGAGACCCTTGGTAGTTAACCAAAGCTGAATTAACAGAGGGGGGGCCACTGCAGAATGAAATTATTATTTTCCCTCCCACAATTTTCAACCTTTCTTTTTTTTTTATGAGTTCCGACATCATATAAACATTTTTGATCTTACTTGAAAATCGCGACAAAATTTTAGCAACACGCATTTGGGTTCCGATCTCCATTTTGACATGCAAAAACTAATACCTCAAACTCCGCTGCTAATGTGCCGAATACAGTTAAGAAGAAAGGAGAAAAAAGAAAAAGCACGAAAGAAGAAAAAGCATTATCACCTGCTTGTGTTCTCCTTTCCTTTCAGAACTATAATCAAAGGGAAGTGATGCAACAGGCAGAGCGTGATGTGACCGGCAACGTTTTGTACTCGCTTGCTTCATCACCTCCTTATTTTTATATTCAAACCCAGGGTTGTGCTAGGGACCGAGCAGAGCGCCATGCCGCGTGTCAGGGGAATGTATGGTTCTAGGGAGGCTACGGGAGCGACACGCAGGCCTGCTGGTAGAGAGTCCGAGCCCCGACCCCTACCCCACCCTCCCCCTTCTCCCTCCGCCCCCCCCTCCTCCTCCTCATGGCCGCATGCGACCTCCGCTGCTAGCTAGCAGCTAACAAAGGGGCGGGCCTCGTGGATCCAACCCCCCGCTCCTGTGTCTGCAGGGGATTAGATCCCCATCTTTCAGGACTGCAGTTGTGGTGACTCCTAGAGACGAGGCTGGTTCGCGGCCGTCTTCGTTGCAGTTTCGATGGGGGGGGGGGGTCTGCCGCCCAGCAGGAAATGCCTGTCCCTTTTGTTAGTTTTTGATTGTTGTTGTTTTTTATTTTTTTTTACGCTTTTGTGCAATTCTCCCCAGTCTTTAATGAAAAGGTTCTACTTTGCATCAGAGAGTCAGCTACATTTGAAAGAAAGAAGCAATTGACAGTCCAGTCTGATCTCCCAGTCGTCAGCATGCGCGCGAGTCACGGCGGGGGGGCGGGCGCCCTTTTGGCGAACCCTTTATCCGTTCTCCGGCTAAGCTACTCCTACTCAGCATCCAGTGTTTTTGAAGCATAAATGAAGATAGTCTCTGCAGTGTGCTCTACTACTACACTCCGTGACCCACATGCAGATCGCTCTTGCTAACAGTCGGTTGTGCCCCGTGGTTTTTTGGGAACCAAAGATGGCTGTGCGGTAGTGGGTCATACTGTAGCTCATTTCTTAGTTAGCTCTTTATTCTGATTTCTTTTTTTTTTTTTCATTTCTTTAAGGTGTCTTCTCATATATATTTTTTCAATTCAGTCACTACAACCCAGTTTTGCTCAACTGTCAAGCCCAGCAAACCAAAGATTGGCCTTGAACATAATATATTTATATATATATTTGACAGTGCAGTCAAAACACATTAGAACACAATAAAAAAAACAGGGCTTCTAAACACGTACACACACACACATGCGCACACACACTTACACACAAGGCCTCAGAGCTCAATATGGCGGTGCACGCTGGTAGGCACAGTTCTTTTTATCGCAAATAGGTCTGTGGAAAGTTTAACATAAAGTGCACATTCACACAGCAGAAGTCAAACTAATCCTTACATTTGTTTGACGTTTGAAGTCACTCAGTGGTGAAACCTACTAGCTGAGCATTTAAATATGTCAGGGAGTTAGTGCAGAAACTTGATTATACACACTAGTGAGATACATATCCTCATCTTGCCGTTGTTGCACCAGTTTTGCACTCTGGACATTAGTTTTTGAGGGTGTGATGGGGGAGCATTTTAGAAGATAAAACACTTTGTGAAGAATTTGCTGTTAAATGAGTCGAAAAAAATTATTTTATACATGGCCTGCTGATTTTTGGTACAGTGTTTTCTAGCTAAATTATTTTGTCATGCACATATAAACATTTATTATGCACTACTTTTCTAAATATTTTTTCTTTTTCCAACAGTCATTTTAGGCACATTTTTCACAAATGGGGAAACTCCTTTTTGCAATACCTCAATTTTTCACATTGTGAAAGGTAGCTTTTGTACTTTTGTTACTGAGAGATCTGCATATACGCAAATGTTCATTTTAAGAAAAAAAAGTTGGGTGATTTCAATTTCAATATATATTATTTTCAATTATGCTTTTTATACATTTCAGTGCTGAGGAAACTTTACAACTAAGTGCGTACTTCTGTTGATGCGGCTTCAGATCTGCAGAGGAGAGACCAAAGTGTATTGCTCTCTTGGTCTTAGCTTTTTGTACACTAGATAATTCCAGTCAATCTGGTCGATAACAGCATGGCGAGAATAAAAATTTAAAAAAACACAAAAAAACAGTTGTAATTTGAAATTGATGTTAATGTCTCTAAACATGGCTATACTAGTTGGACAATGGTAACTTCTGTCTTGGTTTCCTCTCCATGGATGGATTATAACTTAATATAAGGAGAATGCAAAATTTGGTTCACGCTTAACGCTGAATCTCGTATCACAAGAATGGATGTTTGGTGTTTAGATATTTTAATATTTCAAAAAAAAAGTATATATATATATATATATATATATATATTCTTAAACTTGCCAACTAGCACCTATCGTAATCCTTAGCATGCATGACAAAAAAGAGAAAATGACAAGTACATGAATTAGCTATTAAAATTAATTGTTGTGGTGTGCACCAAATGTTTCTCAACTGTATAAGTTGTTAAGGACACCCCAAACCCGCTATCACGTCACCCCCCCACCCCACCCGACCCCTCCCCCCACCCCACGGGTTGATCTCCTCGCTTCCCCATTTGCAGACCTCCGCAGGATGCACGTGACAGAAATAAGACGAGAAACGAGGCAAAACGTAACTTACAATCCATTCGGCAGTGCGGGACTTTGAGCGTCCTTCTAGAAACACTGTTTTGAAACGACTTGAGAACTCATTCCCGCTGTCTGAGGTGATCTTATATAGACCTATCTGGAGGAAGGGGAGCTTAAAGACTTGAATGTGATAAATGTTGCAAGTTAACTTCAAGTTGTTATGTGCAATACTTATTTTGAACCTTTTTCCAGATAAAGACTCTTTGCAATGTAATTCTTTAATGCCATTTTTAATTGCAGACATTTAATTAAAGAAGATGTTAATATGTTTTTCACAGTCATTTTCTACTGTTATTGTAATCCTTTTCATGCTGGTGTTTGTAAAAAAAAAAAAAAGAAATCAAACTATTTGTACTAATATAAATAATTGAAGTTATTTTTAAAACATTAAAGGTTTTGTGCTCATTTGCTTATTTTGTTTATTTTAAGCTACTGTGATTGATTGCATTGTAATTATTAGGTCAACAATGTATTTAGCTGTTTATTGGTATATTTTTAATTGGAATGTATAATTGATTTTTATAATTTTGATCAGATTTTTGTTATATTTTTGAGGTGAAGCTTTTAATATGTTAAAGTGTCTAGTTTTTACTAATTGCTATATTGTGCTCCACAATATATGGTTCACATTTTCTGAAGGAAAATAAATATTTAAATATTTGTCTGTTAATGTTACTTAATGGCAAGATTTCAATAGTTTTTAACTGTGTATGGGAAGGTTGTTGTATTTATTAATAGCATTTTTTACTTAAGATATCACCTTAATTTTTATTGTCATTTCACTTTATAAGTTCCTATTTTTGTATTTTCCTTTCTAATTAAGTTATGTAATACGGATATGTCCATATTTCTAGGAGTTGGTCTGTAGAAGTGCTAGTGAAACGAAAAAGAAAAATCTAATGTTATTTAATTGTTTGCAGCCAACTATTTATAACAGTATGCATAATTTTTAAATATTTGTAATGTGAAATGTTGAATGAAATAAATCTTAACTGTGATGAAAAGATGTGCCTGGTGTGCTTATTCTTATTATATCTGCTGTTCAACAGCGAAAACAAAAGGGCAACACTTCAGACACTGACATCTTTTCAGGACTTTAAAAAAAATAATGTACTATATTTTTTGACATACTGTGCTAATAATTTATTCAACATGACATACTATTTTTTTTTTTTTACAGGAACCTTTTCACAACCTTTTAAGATCAGATACTGTTGCTATGTGTGATCAGATAACCCTCAGACTACGTATTCCTCACCTCTGTTTAATCTCCGGTGCCCAAAAGAGGCCTTACAGCTCAGCAGCCTCCGGGATCACAGGCGTTCTGACCTCGGATCCGTGTGCAAATGTAACGCGCGTCTTCCACACAATTACTTGAATCCAGACAGTGTTTTATGTCAACGTCTTTCTCTGTGTGTGTGTGTGTGTGTGTGTGTGTGTGTGTGTGTGTGTGTGTGTGTGTGTGTGTGTGTGTGTGTGTGTGTGTGTGTGTGTGAGACGACACAAGTTCCTGTGTCTTTGACTTGAGTGAAAGTCCGGCATTGAATCTACATCGGTACTCTGAGACCGAACACCGCGTCCGAGTGTGTGGCTCTGTTCTTCATCGTTGAGATGGATTAACAGATAATGTCAAATCTATTTCACCTTTACTGCCTTTTTAATAGGATTGTACTGTGTGGTGTGCCGCCCCAGCCTGAAGCACGGGACAGGAAGTGGGTTTAAACTGACCTAAATAGCATTACAGTCTGTGTTTTGATTTAAATGTTCCTGCTTTTGATCCACCTCTTTGTTTTGTATTGTATTTAATTCAACCTGTTTTCCTACCATATTGTTGTTGCAGGTCCAATCTTGAACTGTTGTTTTTCTTAATAGCTTCTAAATGTAAAATGTAGAACTCATCAAGTAAGTTCTAACATTATTTTCTTTGAATTTTCTTTGAATTTTGAAATCAGCATTTTCAGTTTCAATTTGTCAAAATCTTTATACGAAGAGCTGTTGGGAGTTGCTCAATTTTCCTATTTCAACAAAAACTGAATTTGATTGCAAAATCCCTGATTCTCAGTCCTTAGAATACAGACACCTCATGTTATTAAGATGGTTCGTGGTTATTTAAAGATTTCAGTTGAAGCAGAACCGAAGACGACCACTGGATGCAGTGACATGCTGTCACAATATTTCTTTACCTTTCTGGAATGTATGATTTGCAAACAGGTGCTTTGGTTTCTTAGCTTCTTGACGTAGTCTTCGGCCTACTTGGCAGCACAATCTAAATCCCTCTTCTCCTTTTACTCAACCCCCCTAAATCCTCCTCCCTGAATTGAACCCACATCGTTTCCCTCTCACACGCTCAAGCAGGTGAAAATGCTTCTGTAAAGATCTGGATTCACATGCAGCGTCTACAATGAAGGGATACAGTATGTTCTCATACGATCTCACACAGGCTCAGACGATGCAAACGTTGTGCAAAGACCTGCAGCGCTTTTGTGCTCTCAGACACAGCCAACAATTCATTTACGATTTGCAGTCGGATCTCATCCGATCAGGTGACAAAATGTTGCTTTTCTGTGCATTTTAGCCTCCATATTTCCTCTGGATTCAAATTATACGTTGGACAAGAAAACGATGGACACTATAAATGAAGAATTGTATAAGTGTTTTTTCCCGCCCATTTAATTTGTATTTAAACAAAAGAATGAACTCTATTTCAAACAGTGTAGTTAAATGTCCATATTGAGTTAGCAGCTAATCAGTAATCACTTCTGCTGCTGACTTACAGTAATAGCCGCTGCCGAGTTGCTCCTTCTGATAATGTCAGCATGTAATCCTCACCAGCTAACGAACCACCAAGTAGGATTTCAGGTGCAGAGTAAACCTCGACCTGATTCTGCAACCTTTCCAACAGAGCACACTGCAGCAACCAGGGCGAGAAAAGGATGGTCAGAGACCCAAAAGAAAGAAAACGTGTTCAGGATCCAACACGACGAAGAGGAGTTCTGGTTGTTCTGGTTGATGCAAGATAAGGGGGAAAAAAAGACTTATTGAATGCAACCCAAGTGGATTCCACTGTTCTGATTTGACTCCCTGCAAAAGTATACGGTAAGTTTTGCTGTATTAGTACAAAATGTGCAAACACGACGTAAAATGTGCTATGGCATTATTAATTACTTCACAGGATGTTTTTATGATCAATTATATTTCATAATTATATTAACTGCCAACTGCAGTAACTGCATTTGAGGGGACTTGTACTTCTGTATATCCATTTTTAATTAACTTTTACTTTTACTTTAAAATATTCATTTCAGCTTTAGTTGAAAAGCTTTAATTGATACTTTTGAGATTACAATTTTTTTAATACATTTTCTCTTTAGTGATATTCACATATCTGAAAATTTCAATCAACTGGAGGATGAAGGGATCTTTTACTGGTTGAGAAAATTGTCCTTGATCTGAAACTATATAAAATCTTCTGATTTAATACAACAGTGATACATACATGTCAAGACCACAGCCAAGCTGCAGGGCAGAATCCTTTACATTCCACTTGCACAATGAGTTCTTTTCCTAGTTATATTTCAATTAAAGATTGTTGGCCATATTTACTCACTTTTAATAAGGCAAAGCGAATGTATCTGTAAAGCACATTCCAACAAAATTGCATTGCAAAAAGTGGATCACATAAAACCAGTGAAACCATAAAAACATCTGGCAAAAGAAAATTATGTTTAAAAACAATTAAGTAAATGCACATTAAAACAATTTTAAAAAAATAACCAAAAAAGTGAAAAGAGTAAAAAAAAAATAAGAAAGGTTACAGTGCAGTTTATGAAATAAACAGTTAAAAATAGAATGAAAGTTGCAATGCAGTTAATGAAATAAGTAAACTTTCTGGGAGTTTGTTCCAGATAAACCAATAAGACCTACACAAACATTCATCAGCAATGAATTCCTCACTTCTGTTAAGTCTCCCAACTGTTTAAGCACATTTAGAAACACGTCTAAAAAAAGGTTAATTAAAAAAGTAGGATGGGAAATATCTGTAATAAAAAACCCTGGTGTCGGCAGCCTTTCTCAATCGGATTATGCAGTCAGGAAAGCACCACGGCCAACAGTATCTCTTTAGGTATTACACGTACCAGGTCAAGACAGAGCGGCTTATACACCTGACACATGCAACCAAAAAGTCTTAACATAGTGATCCAGTGACCCACTTTAAAATCCCGGTCCAATCTAAAACATCTATGCTCCCTGATGAGTGTCCTTGGTATTAACAGGCAAAAAAAAAACTTTCTTGAATTGTTGTTTTGAACCAGCAGTCAATAATAACAATAAATCTAATGAGAATTCCTCCAACGGTGCAAGAAATACAAGCAAAGCAATCAGTGCTTGTGCTATACAGTATATGCACCATAGGACATGGAGAACTCCGGTTCAAATTATAACATCAGGGAGGTAATCTGCACAAGAGAGAGGAAACCAGGAAGAGGAAGTGGAGGCCTTTGGGCGATTGAGATTAAGCTAATGCTCTTCTACCTCGCAGCACCCCAAATCCCTCTGACTGCGTGACACAAGCAAGTGCAAGCAGAAGCTTTTTTTCCTGCCCTGTCCGAAGCATCTGAAATAGAAAGTCTTCTTCTGTGACTTCTGTCTTTCAAACAGCAGGGTGCAGCATATCACAACGTCAATTCTTCTCCAACTTCAACTTCCCTCTACATGGAAAAAGTAACCTTATTGTCTGTATATACTCTCAAGCAGTAAATGCAATGACACGGACACTGGAAGAGGACACAATCAAATTGATGACTTGCTATACATTATAATACTTTAAAGTTAAATCTACGTTCCACTTAGATGGTATTTATATAACATGAAGTCAATAATAAACCAACCAGGACAAAAACATTTTAACCTCACAAGGCAGATTAGGAAAAATCGAGAATAAAATATGGGAGCAGATTTAATCATCAATTCCTAATAAATGTCAGGACTGTTTTCATCCCGAGTCCCCAGGATCACATTGATTGTAAAAAAGGTCTTTTCATCACTCTCGTTATCTTCCTTCCTGGCTTTCTGTGTGCCAGACGAAAATTCGGCCATGGACATCGGCGGTTTGGAGACGGTGGTGGCGAACTCGGCCTACGTTTCGGCTCGTGGAAGTGTGGACGGAGCGGCGGCGGCGTCCATGCGCGACAAGAAGATGCGTGCCAGGCTGAAGCTCCCGCACATCAGAGATTGCGAACACATGAAAACCACTGTGGACGCCGCCTTCGACAGCCTGTGCGTCAAACAGCCCATCGGCAAGCGCCTCTTCCAACAGTTTCTGGAGAGTGAGCCGAACCACCGGAACGCCGCGGAGCTGTGGAAGGACATCGAGGCCTACACCGTATGTCAGGAAACAGAGAGAGCGCAGAAGGCTCAAAACATGGTCAATAAGTACTACAAGTCAGCTTCCAAGAACTTCTGCGGCTTCTTGGAAGAGAAGGCCGTCGCCCGGGTTGTCGAAGACTTCAAGAACTCTCGCGGTGACCTGTTCAAAGAGAGCGAGCAGCAGCTCCTCAGACACCTGGAGGAGAAGGCCACGGCCGGCTTCAAGGGCAGCATGTTCTTCCTGCGTTTTGTTCAGTTCAAATATCTGGAGAGCCTGCCTTGTGACGAGGAGTGGTTCATGGACTTCAGGGTCCTGGGTAAAGGAGGTTTCGGGGAGGTGTTTGCTTGTCAGGCCAAGGCGACGGGCAAAATGTACGCCAACAAGAAGCTGGAGAAGAAGAGGCTGAAGAAACGCAAGGGCTACGAGGTACAGCGACGATGCGGTGCCCGTGTGTCCCACCTATTTCCATTCTTAGAGGCAGAGGAGTTAAACCATTCTGCTGGCGGCCTCATGCTGATATAAGACAGAAAGCCTCGTGAGGGAATTCGACCTGCAGAGGTTTACCTTTGAAGAAAAAGGCTTAATGCAAAGAAGCTTGTGATTGTCTTTAAGACCTCAAAGCAGCTCAGAGAGACACAAGAGCCTAATGCTTCTCAAAAAGATCTTCAAGTCGGCCCACTCAGTAACATGTGCAACAGTACGTTAAAATCCACACAGTGTTTTTTTTTCGCTGATTAGACCTCCGCTTAGTTACAAGTACTTACTTTGGGTCTGTCAGTAAGCAGACCTTTAAAGGACAATTTGACTATTAATAAATTAGTTAATCCTGTTAAACTAAAACTAAAGAGGCCTGGCTTTGCTTCAAGTAGAGCAGAACTCTGCAGGGATGAGAACCCGCGCTGTCACGTTGGCCAACCCTTGACTGAGTCGTGTTAGAGGAGCAGCATTTTAATACAGTGACATGAAATGACATGTGAGGTGTAATCAGGAAGAATACTGGCGTTTTTGACCTTGTTCTGATGTTTGATTTGTGTTTAGGGCGCAATTGTGGAGAAGCGCATCCTCGCGAAAGTTCACAGTCGCTTTATTGTGACGCTGGCTTATGCCTTCCAGACGAAGACTGACCTCTGCCTGGTCATGACCATCATGAACGGTGGAGACCTCAGGTGCTTCATATCAATACACCTCAATAAAGTAGAGACATTTACATGCAGGCCTCACAGACAGTTCCCCCTTCAAAAAACATAATCCGATAACACACCATCCTCTCTTATAGGTTTCATATGTATAACGTGGATGAAAAGAATCCTGGTTTTGACGAGAAGAGAACGTGTTTCTATACAGCTCAGATCATCTGTGGGCTGGAGCACCTTCACCAGCACAGGATCGTCTACAGAGACCTGAAACCAGAGAACGTGCTGCTGGATGATGCAGGTTAACCAGTATCTCATTTCATATTAGAATACGGGTGGATGAAATCCAGCATTCTTATTGGTTGAGAAGTACTTTTTTACCAAAGGTTTTAATGGCATGTTATGAAGTAACGTTTTTAAGACACGGTAGACAAGATCTTGACTTTTATATTATATGACTTATGACTTACTTAATTAAAGAAAATACCTTTTTTAACATGTTGGTTGTGTATTTAATAGCCAGATGCCGCAGTTGTAATCAAAGCATTTCCATTCAGGACACGTCCGTCTGTCTGATTTGGGTCTGGCTGTTGAACTTCCACCAGGACAAGACACAACTACTGGATATGCAGGAACTCCAGGCAAGTAAAAATCCAACGTATTCAAAATTCAGTTAAACAAAGGCCCAGTGGAGAGTGAATACTATCATCCATGTTGATATCAATGCAGAGCATGTTTCTCTCAGTAGTCGATTGTGTGTGTGATCACGTTGTCCATAAATACAGGTTTCATGGCTCCTGAGCTGCTGGAGAAGAAGCAGTACGACTACTCGGTGGACTACTTCACGCTGGGAGTCACCATTTTTGAGATGATTGCCGCCAAAGGGCCTTTTAGAGTACGAGGAGAAAAGGTACTGTCAGGATCACCGATCCCCCCGAGTTGGTTGATGAGAAGAATCGCAGCACGTTGATCAATTAAAGTCAAAAGTTAACATTTATTTAGAAGAGAAAAAGATTACATGAGCAATTCTCCGCAGATATCTGACTCTAACTATCGCTTGCAAGCAGGAGGTCCAACACACCAGCACGTATCTCAGCGCTCGGCGTAATGACGTCTGCGAGCAGTGAAAACGCTAAGTTTTTATACACAAGTGAAGAACATTCTCCGTGCCAGTTACGAGAAGCTACAAAGCAGGTTGAGATAAGAACCCAGGTAAAGCTGAGGGTAGCACACACACACACAAGATCCTCCTCAGTGGCCGGTGCAAATCATTATTAATTGACATAAAGTAAAAACGTGGATCCGGAACGAAAGCTCAGAAAAAGATATGAACCAAGGCCATGAACAGGAGTCCTTTGTTTTGAAGCTTCTACGAGATCGAGTTAACCGCTTTCCCTTCTCAATGCGCAGCTGCAAAGCAACATTTTGTATCATGCTGCTTCTTGGACTTCAGGGTCAAATACAGGACACTTGAGACACGGCCTTAGCACAAAACAATGTTCTAATATATTTTACCAGTACATGCATCTCACAATTCCCCCTTTTGATCTCTTCAGAGATCACCCCAGCTATTGGAGAACGTCTGCTGGATCAGCCTCCTCATCTTGCCTCCCTTCCAGGCCGATAACGGGATTGTGTCTTGTTCTTGTGTTTTTTTTTTTTTTTTTGCTAAACTAATGCGGAGAATTGAGAAAGATAGAACAGAGGAGAGGATAGTTATACACTTATTCTTGGTCTTCTTGGTTGTAGACAGTCGACACAGATCACCGTGCTCTGGGTGTCTGTCGGTCAACTGCCCGTTGAGAGTGAGTTTGGGGACCCTCCGGTGCCCGTTGCCGCCTTTTGCTCCTGATCCTTCAGGACGTCCTGGAGAGTGTGAGCTGGTTCCTCTGCGGTGGTGCACTGGCTCCAGTGGTACCAGGTATCACCTTTCCCTCTCAGCCTCGCTGCATGTGAGGTTCTCTCCTCCACCTGGTATGGTCCTGACTCTGACCACTTTCTCTTAATGACCCTCAGGAGGACCCAGGCTTCCGTGTGGGGGTTGTGGGCGTTCTGATCCCCTGTTTTGTCTCGCACCTGGTCCGCAAAATCTGAAACAAGAGCTCGTAAATCGTTATACGACATGCATACTCACCTGATGGAGCTTCCGGGTTGGGCCTAAGCTTCTGGCCGGCACTGGATCCAGGGAACTGTCTCCCGTTGGTCAGTTCGTACGGGTTGAAACCTGTACCTTGATTTACTGAGCTTCTAATGGCCATTAACGCGACTGGGAGCGCTTGAACCCAGGTCAAATTTGTCTGTGCACAGATTTTAGCCAATTTTTGTTTCAAGTTTTGGTTCATGTGTTCTACTTTGCCTTGAGATTGTGGATGATATACTGTACCAAACGCGTGTGTCAGCCCCACATGAGCCATGCGCCTCCTGTAAACACTTGTTTCTGATGCCCGGCGGCATTACTGGGCGACACCCCCTTTTGGGCTTCCTTAATCCGTTCCTCATTAAGTTGTGGCCCCAACTGTCCCTCATCGTCTGCACTTACCATTTGGAGCCCAATTTGGTAACCTGCAGCCTGTTTTGCAGCTTGGTCCGCTGCCTGGTTTCCCTTGGCCACCATACTGTTGGAGTTCTCGTGTCCTTTGCACTTAATAATAGCAACGGTGCTCGGTAGAGCCAAGGCTGCCGCCAAATCTTTCATTTCTTGTTCCTGTTTAATCGGTTTTCCTCCAGCCGTCAGAAAAACTGCTCTTAAACCACTGTCCCAGCTCCACATGAGCTGCTCCTCCTGCATACGCCGAGTCAGTATAGATGTTCACTGCCTTCCCTTCTGCCAGCTGTAATGCTCTTATGAATCCGAGTACCTCAGCTCTTTGAGCTGACTGACTTCCCTGAAGTCTTTCTGCTCCCAGAACCTCTGTCACTGCCCCATGGCTTCTGACTACCACGTATCCCGACTGCAACCCCTTCTGTGGATTGTCTAAAGCAGCTGCCATCAGTGAACAATTGCCAATCAGTGGTGTGCTATTTTCATTACAAGCTTTGCGACCCCTGCTGCGTGTTGTGTGCATTCATGATGTTGTTTTTCCATGTTATCCAACATGACACTGTTATACAGAAGCACCTTCCTTTTACCACCCCCCTTTTTCTCAAACAAACCCTATTTACAACCCCTGTTGTTTCGGAAACATCCAGGTAAAACGGTGCGCTGTAATCCGGTACTGCAAGGTCCGCGGCCTGTGCCAGTCATGCTTTTAGCTTGATAAACGCCTCCTCCGCCCCTTGGTCCCATTCGAGATTAGCAGTGTGACTTCGCATCCCTTTTTCGTTTACCTTTGCATGCAGAACTTGGGTGGGAGTCGAATAGCGCGAAACAAATTGTCTACTGAACCCCGCGAGGCCCAAAAACGAAAGCATTTCTTTTACGTTTTGTGGACGTGGATGCTGGAGAATCCTGGACCTGTGAGCGGCCGAGAGCCCTGAGCCGCTTCCCGACAGTATTCTACCTAAAAATGAAACCTGTCTTCTGGCGACCTGCAACTTAGACTTACTGACCTTAAAACCTGTTTTGGCCAACCGGCGTTGGACGGTGTCTGTTGCTTCCAAACAGGATTCCGCTGAAGTGGATGCGAGGAGGATGTTGTCCACATATTGGATTAATGTCGTACCCCCTGGCAGGCAGCACCCTGTTAACGCTTGTTTCAACACTTGGTTAAAGATACCTGGCGAAAGCGCGAACCCTTATGGTAGCCGAGTATACATGTCTGTTCCCATACGTGAATGAGAACACATCCCGTAAGTCTTCGCGTAGCGGCAGGCAAAAATCAATGCAAGTGCACCATTGCTGTTGTGGTGTTAAGACTAGTCAATGCAGTGTACGGGTTTTGGACAGGTACTGTAGTGGTTACCAGTCAGTCCTTTATCTTTCTGAGGTCATGTGCCATGCGATATTTACCAGTCCCTGTCTTTTCTACAGGAAGAATGGGCTTGTTCCAGGCGGACTGTAAGGGCTCCAATACACCTGATTTAATGTGGCCCTCGATAGTTTCTTTGATCCCTTCTGCTGCGGCTGGCTTGTGAGGGTATTGGGGTTGCCAAATGGGAGGACCGTCATGAACTTCAAACGTCACTGGTTTACATGCATTACAAAAACCTACGTCAGTCGGACCTTCTGACCAGAGGTAGTCTGGAAGTTTCTCAAGAAGGGTTGCTGTGCAGGGATGGTCGGTCTTTTCGCGTCCGTGGTCTCTGGACACCTGTTAGTGTGTTAAAATGCCAGAGTTAGTTGCTTTCCCTGTAATTCTGTACTTTTTAGCGAAGGGACCCACATAGAGATTTTGGGACGTCCCCTCCCATTCCGTGTTTTCTAAATGTTCCATGAATTCGTCACAATAGCACTCACCCCCTTGTCTATCATAAAACAATGTTACATAAGGAGGATCTGGAAGAGGAACATACGGATCAAGAAGAGTTATCCAAGGCTTACACTTTTGGTAAAGAGTCATAACCCCTGGGACTTCAGGACACTCAGGCTTCAAGAGGCCCCAATAAATGTCAGCATATTGTTGTTGTTGCAGCAGTGGCTGCACCACCCACTGACCATTCGTTTGTCCATTGTCATTGCAATGCAGAACCGTTCCATCCATCATGGTGACGCTTAATCCGTCTGGGCTGCACAAGATCGAAGCCCCCATCTTAATGAGAAGATCTCTTCCAATAAGATTCACTGGAACTTGAGGCGAAACAACAAAAGAATGAGTCAATGTCCGATTTCCCACTTTCACCAGTAGGGGGACTGTTAGAGGCCGTTTCTGTGACACCCCGGAGAACCCTGCAACGCTGACGCTATCTCTGGACATAGCAGACAAGCCCGCTGCCTGTATGGTGGAGTTCGTGGCCCCAGTGTCAACGAGAAACAGCAATTGTTGTTGTAGCACCGTGAGTGACAGCATGGGGTCTGCCCTGCCCCTGCTGTCCGGGTCTCTCCCGGGGGTGTGTCACTGAGAGGCATCTGCCTCATAGCCCCAGTCCTCCAGTGTGGGGTACTGTCCTCTAGGGGGCGGTGCAGCATGTGCGTTGGGAGCCCATGCTTCTTGGGGTGGGACACCTACCCCTCCCTTGTCTTCCTTTACCAGGACACTCTTTAACCTGGTGCCCCTCCATACCACAGTGGAAACAACCTCTTCCCCATCTGCGTCCGCCTCTTCCTCCTCCCCCTGCATATGGACCTCCTCAACACGCTCCTCCACAGCAGTTACCTCCATAGCCTCCCCTGTAACCACCTCCTTGGGCTGTCCCATACGACGTCTCCTCCCATGGTGGGAGTGGATACAAATCAGGGGCGTTACCTCCAGCTGGGGCAGCCTGTGCAACCATCTATCACTCGTCTTTCCCTTTCTGCTTCTTGTCGCTCACTTCCTGTCTTACTTTGGCGAGTTGGAGCTTCAGCAGTTGAGTCTGCAGCTCCTTTTACTGTTTATCTTCCCCTGTCGCTTCTTCTGTCGCGTCTTGTAAATGGTGTAGCAAATGTCTCTCCCACACAGCAAAGTCACTACCTGGCAGGTCTGGGTTAGTGATCATTTTGGCTTTCACACTCTCTGGTATGCCCTCCAGTACCGCCTGTCTAAACCATTCCCTTTGCACTCCCGCAGTGCCTGGGTGATGACCTGTGTCTTTCACCCATGTTTTCTTATATTCGTCCAAATAAGCGTGCAGTGTTATTCCCCGAAACAAATTTATTTCTTGCTGCTCAATTTGTTTTCATGTTTATTTCTATTTGTTCAAATCATTTTTCATCATATTTTAAATCCTTGATTCAATTGTTACACTTAAAAAGAAAGTAGTTCAGCGAAACTAAAAAATGCAATGTCTTATCAACCTGTTAGTTGATTTCATAAAATCCCCTCTACAACCCTCTACAACCTGCTTGTTCTTGTTCATGTTGGCAGACCTTTGACAGCCCAGTAATGATGAGCTTATTCTTCTAAACTGAAAAGCAAAAGGACCATTTATCCTCTCTATTCTATATCATGGTATTCAAGAAAGATGCATAAACCTAATTATATCACTAAATGATGGCACTCAGGATTAACTTTATTCAACAGTATGTGTGTGTGCTTCTTAAAGTGAGGAGGTATAAAACCTTCGTCCAGCCTTATTGGCCTCCACCGTTGCTCCCACACATCTTCTCACTGCTGTGACCTTTTTACTCCCATAAAACCCCCGCTGCTTCAACAGAAATTTATTACGCTTATTCTAGCCGTTGTTGCTTTAAAGACTTTAAATCTTCTTTTTCTTTCTTCAATGCATGTCTACAATTCTACTATTTTTAAATCAAAAGTGTAGTAATAGCTTGGAGAGCTTAAAAAAAAGGCTCTGCAGCAGCAGGCTTGTTGGTTGAGAATCACTCTCCTTTTTGTTTTTTCTTCCCTCGTATGGAGGTGGGTTTTTTCCGAATTACACCGTTCTTGGTTGTTTTTGTCTACGGCTTTACTTTTTATCCAAAACGAAAACCATACGGACCTCAAGTCCTCTATTTTGTCAATTACTTTGTGAAGTTTCCTTTTTTCCCACACATTCACCATCTAACATTTTGCTATCAATGTTCCTTTGATCAGACATTTGCTTCCATCATCAAGATACTGTATCAAGTGTATCGTGCACTATACACCCAATAAGCAGCACTCAACAATTTACAGCCTATCTCTGAGTTTAGGAAAAGACACAAAAAACTACAAACATTAATACAAAAAAACTAAACTTTATACAACAATTCTCCTTATTTCTCATTTTTCAATTTTGAATGACTGTTTCCCCTCTTTTTAGTAAATCAATCTTTCCTACGGTTTTAAGTCTAATTTAAGATGACACTCTCAGCAGTCTATAATCTCTAGTCTCCCTTCTCCCACAATATGTGCGTCAGTGACGCTCTATCTGCCAAACCAACGCCTTTCTCACCGTGTGTCCCGTGTAATCCACAACATCATGTTTCTTTTTCTCAGTGGTATCTCCGCTCACCGCCACCAACACATCCTCAGTTGGTCATTTATTATTTTCCATCGATACCCCGGCGCTGGCTCCCAGCCGCCGTCTTCCACTTCTCCATCAAATTCACCTTCCATTTAACAGCAGTCAACCAGTTCGTATGTATTTTACCGGAGCAGACAGCTATGTTCTGAAAGTTTATACTGACCTTTCAGAGAAAATGTTTGTGTCCACGAGCTTATGTTAGTCTCGCAGAATTAATTTATGCCGAAAGTTTATACTAACCTTTCGGAGTCAATGCGTCTGTGAGTTTATGTTAACCTTTCAGACTCAATTATTGAAGCCGCAAGTTTATGCTTTAACCTTGCGGTCTGTCTGCGTTCTCAATCCCTTAGAACGTACTTCCAAAACTTATTTCTTTAAGTGCATTTCTCAACACATTTATTTATTTATTTAATCACTCCTCTCTCTCCCCCTCCACACTCCATAGCGCGCTGTTTATTTTACTGTATCCCAGCACCTCTCCAAGGGCTGCAAGTCTAGGAATCGAATATACGTTTTTTCAAGGAACCCTAACCCCGGGTGACCAGCCCGCAGACCTTTGGGGGTCCCCAGTTCCCAGGCGCCTGTACCTAGCGGACTCAGCCCTCGTCAGGGTCCTGAGGGGGGTTGCCAAAACCGAGACCAGTTTTTCGGGGGCCCCCAGATCCCCAGGACACCACACCTAGCAAAATCAGCCCTCGTCAGAGTCGAGGGGGTTGCCAAACCAGAGACCAGGATCTCTTCGATCCCACGATACCCACCGGTATCCACTAAACCATAGTTAATTTATCTATTGCCAAACCTCAGCGCCGTTCGATTCCTTTGGTTCATGACGGATACTAGATCCCTTGGTACTTGCAGGTACCCACTAAACAACAGTAATCACTTCTTTTTTTGGATTCCAGACCTTAAGCACTGCAGTACTTTTAGTATTAGTATTACTAGTAGTAGTAGTATTACTTCGGCTCGTACACCACCAATCCACAACGTACTCCTTACTTTAGCTTATTCAATATGCAGAATTAGATGTAACAGGTTTCTGCTTACCTTGTTTTGAGGCCGACCTGGGAGTACGTCGCATTCAGCAGGTGTAAGCGTTTTAGATTGAATCCGCCTGTGCAGGAAAACCTCTCATCCCGGACGAGCCCCCAAATTGTCAGGATCACCGATCCCCCCGAGTTGGTTGATGAGAAGAATCGCAGCACGTTGATCAATTAAAGTCAAATGTTAACATTTATTTAGAAGAGAAAAAGATTACATGAGCAATTCTTCGCAGATATCTGACTCTAACTATCGCTTGCAAGCAGGAGGTCCAACACACCAGCACGTATCTCAGCGCTCGGCGTAATGACGTCTCCGAGCAGTGAAAACGCTGAGTTTTTATACACAAGTGAAGAACATTCTCCGTGCCAGTTACGAGAAGCTACAAAGCAGGTTGAGATAAGAACCCAGGTGAAGCTGAGGGTAGCACACACACACACAAGATCCTCCTCAGTGGCCGGTGCAAATCATTATTAATTGACATAAAGTAAAAACGTGGATCCGGAACGAAAGCTCAGAAAAAGATATGAACCAAGGCCATGAACAGGAGTCCTTTGTTTTGAAGCTTCTACGAGATCGAGTTAACCGCTTTCCCTTCTCAATGCGCAGCTGCAAAGCAACATTTTGTATCATGCTGCTTCTTGGACTTCAGGGTCAAATACAGGACACTTGAGACACGGCCTTAGCACAAAACAATGTTCTAATATATCTTACCAGTACATGCATCTCACAGTACCAAACGTGTAGAAATGAAGTAATGCCCTCAACTCCCCCGTTTGCGCTCGTTCAGTCCCAATTCTCAGATGCCAAAAAAAAAACATATAAAACATATATTTCCCTCTTCAGGTTGAGAATGATGAGGTAGCTCGGAGAATCCTGAACGATCCAGTTTCCTACACACCAAACTTCAGCCAAGCATGCAAGGATCTCTGTGAAGGCCTGATGCAGAAGGACCCATCTAAACGCCTCGGCTTCAAAAATAACCATTGTGAAGAGCTGAAGAATCAGCCGTTCTTCAAAGACATTAACTGGGGCCGCCTGGAAGCCGGTACGGAGGCACATTCAGGAGACAGAGGGCACAAACGGTGAACATTACAAAAATGCTTTCTCATTGAATTTGTTTCTTCTCCCGCGTTCTGTCAAAAGGTATGCTGCCTCCACCATTCGTCCCCGATCCCAAGATGGTCTACGCCAAAGATATTGACGACGTGGGCGCCTTCAGCTCCATCAAAGGTGTGGTCCTGGACAACAAGGACACGGAGTTCTACAGTGACTTTGCTTCCGGCAACGTCCCGATACCTTGGCAGGAGGAGATGATCGAGACCGGCGTTTTTGGAGAGATGAATATCTGGGGAGAGAAAGGCAAGCTGCCCAATGACCTCAATCCAAACCACGTGGAGGCCAAAGGTGGAGGATGTGTGCTCCTTTGAGCAGAGACAGAAGGAAACAGGGGAGAAGAATGTCTTTAATCTGACACATTAGGATACATCTGTACTGTATTCTGTAATTGTCGCAGTGAATTCATACATTTGTAAATATAACTATCATGCACCTACATTTTAATATTTACAGTGTATACAACAACATACCACATATGTCAATATGTTGTTTAGTTTTTACAGACAAACTGAACAAAAGTTGTTATACAGAAGCGATATACAAGGTTTATACAATAAATCGAAAGGAAAGCATTGACATGATAACAATATGTTATGTCTTCTTAGATAGAAAATGTTTTAGTTATTGTTAACGCCAACGTTGTATCAAAAGGGGTTAAAGTGATCAATAAAATGTTGCAAAATCGTATGTTTTCTGTCTCCTTTCCACATGAATGTGTTTATCTAAAGTTGATAACAAATGACAGAGAAGACAAATAAAATGTCAAATCTGACTCAAATGTGCAATGTCTCCAAATATCTCTATTTGGACATTATATAAAATGTCTGAATGTTACATCTAATTGACGTCTTTGATTTTGACCAATCAATATTTTGACCATTAAAGTATATTGGAATATTGGTAAAAGCCAAATGGACTTTTGTTGAGGGCCTTTCTAGTCCTCTCACCACTCAAAGCTCCGTTAGCCACATGTGACCATTAATCCACTCACACCCACACTAACAAAACGTACATACGTTCAGGTACATTAAGGTAAAGTACTTGAATTTAAAGTTAAAGTTTTCAGTAACAATTGAATAGTCAGATCACCTGTGAAAACGGCACAAGCAGCCATCCGCACTTCACTGCTAATTTCACCTCCTGGATAAAACATAAACTCAGAAAGGATCTTAGAAACATGACGTCGCTTTTGTATTTTTTACAGATGTTTTAGTGTTTCTAAAACAATTAGTGAATAAAGTAATAATATTCTGCAACGGTTTGGTTAAAAACGTTATGGACACTATAATAACGTTAAGTAACACGAATGACTGGATAGCAATGTTGAGAAACTTTTATGAATTTTAAAGAGTTATGTGTTCAAGTGTCTAAATCAGAATACATATTCATACATGTTCAGTTTGAACATTAAACCCCTTTTACATCTCTATACAAACATGAGGTGATTTAAGTCTATTGTAGTTTAGATAACAATACTCCAGTGTACATTTTGGTCAAACAATAACTGAATCAGCAGCACAGTTGTTTAAATTATCGCTGTCTCCTGGGTTACCATAGGGGTAAATTATTAAACCAAAGAGCATTTCGGGTCTAACATTAAAAGTTAATCTTACATTAACACAGCAGTAAAAGTGACCGTGGGATTGAATTTTATGATACTCCATCCATCCATCCATTGTCAAACCGCTTATCCTGCACACAGGGTCGCGGGGGGGCTGGAGTCCATCCCAGCCAACTTCGGGCGATAGACAGGGTACATCCTGGATTGGTCGCCAGCCAATCGCAGGGCTACACTTTTATTTTATGATACTACTGTTACTATTTCTCTAATAAGACCATTAGTACAGTTAGATGAGTTTTCCACAAGGAAATACATCAATAATCACTATTTATAACACTTATAAAAAGAAAATAAATGGTTGCTTTGCTCTGCTTTGAGCTAGAAGCTTAAATCCAACATGTTAATGATTTAAGTTTTTTTTATGACACACAGAAGACCAAAGAAGGGGATGAGTAAAGTAAAGGGTTCTCCCTCGACACGACAATCACTCCAACAGTTGTTGAGGCGTTCTAGTCTGAACCAAATTGTGATCGGACCCACTGAGAGAGACGGACCGACGCGTCCGTTCATTTCCAATATGAGGCTAAAGGCTATTTTTGTTGGTCAGATACAACGTTGCACTTTGATCCGTCATCCACATCAATGACTGTTCAAGCTTCTGTGCGTGAGCTCCTGTTGGGGAGAGACAGGAGTTCATATTAATCATCCCATCTAGTTGTGACAATGTCTCATTATTCAAACATTTGCCTTAATGAACCTACTCGTGAATCTAGACATAATTACATTATTCTCCACATTTCCAAAGTCATGTTGAAGGCCAAACAGCTTGCTTCATTTACTGATCAATATCATGGTAACTGTGGCTGCTGTTAAACTCACGTATCATATGTAATTATATATACACTTTAAATTAAATAGATTTAAGAAGAATTTAAGTCATTTAAGTGTAAGCTTTCAACTGTTGAAGAATTTGTGAGTTGGTGTAACTGCGAACAGTCAAACCATAGTGACCAAAGTTTGCTACTCAAGGAAGATTATGACGAGTACAATCGCTACTGCTAATAATAATTACTATAATAACAACGCATGATATCATAATTATCGTTAGAAAAATTGTACTCAACCCTGGTGTTAAATCATTGAACGGGACATTTATTTAACGCTTGCAATCATGGAGCAGAGTTGACACACACATACTTGACATTTGAGTTATATAGTGACAAACATCTGAGAAGAGAAACGTTGTTTACCCCTGAGCAATAAAACCTCACAACCTGAGTTCCTTGGGAAAATACAAAGATCCTGGTTCAGAAAATTATCCTCAACATCTGTCAATCTCAGGAACACCATATATCAGTTCAAGAGGCTTATGTTCATTTTCACAACAATTATACACAAAAGAAAATGTGTAATCCTAATCCCAATAAAAACTTAGGTGACCTTAACACCGCTTTCGACCTGGTTGTCACATCTGGTTTCACACCCCATCAAACCTTCAGCTTCAATTGAACTTTATCTTCAAGCAGGGAGTTCAATGCGGTCAAAAGTTGATAAATCTTTCAGGTGACTGTGGGAAGGGCAAAGAAATGAAATATTAACCGACATAAGATTATGATTTAAAGGCTGAATGTCCATCCAATACTTTAAGTTTATGACAGCACTTTGAACTCCGCTTCTGATTACGTGTCGGCAAAAGAGAATTCCCATTTGATAAGATACCGACTGCGAAAGGTGAAGTTTCTTATAAACGGAGAGTAGCTCAACTTTTAAAGTCATCTTCACGGAGAACAGAGGAGGTTTCTGGAAAAGCTTTTGTAAAGACTGAACATAAGCACATCACAACTTCTATTATAGAATGTATAGAAGCAACCTATTGACTGTAAGGGTACCCAATAGTTGAAAGCCTTGTATTATGTCAACAACAAATCCGCATCTTTTGTCCTACAGCAGAATCGCTAATGCTTAACCAGTTTTTAAATAGACACTTTCTGCCTTCAATAAATCGCTCTCTTACCGCGCTCTCACTGTTTGCTTTGCCCTCTATTCAGCAATTCCCATTAGTATTTGATTAAAGAAACTTAAATGACTCCCCTAAAAAAACAAGCTAGCAATTCCTCAAAAGGAAATCCACGCAGGAGGACAAGAAGGCAAAGGCAGAACCAATCAATCAGGGATAACGATTCCAGCCATCTGGCGCACGGATTGAAAGTTGTGATAAATGTTTCACAATAGACGATAACTGCTAGTCAAAAGAGGGAAGAAAAAACCTCATTGTATGCTTACATCTACATGCCAACATGCCAGGCAGGTGAAATTAGGGCGGGAATGGAAGACTTATAGTGTAGCTCCAGCCAACAAATTCCAATGTTCAAATTAGTCCAGAGTTGAGTGGAATAAGTGGGGTGGGGGGGGATCAGTTCAGATCGCACACTCTCAAAATGTATATGAGATAAAGAAGTTGGGAGCTCCTCACAGAGGTACCATCTATTAGTTGATAATTATTAATAGAAGGGTACTTTCAAAATGGAAGAGATCATCGAGGTATTGGCACTTTTCTTAGGTTTTACGGGATGGATAATGATTTTCATATCACTACAAGATCAATATTGGAAAGAATCGACCACAGAAGGCAGCGTGATCACGACCTCCACACTCTATGAGAACCTCTGGATGTCTTGTGCAAGTGATTCAACAGGGATCTATAACTGCCGGGACTTTCCATCACTCTTTGCTCTTCCAGGTAAGTTAAAGCAAGTAATTGGTACAACGCAGGATCTTTTGGCATGTACTGTGAAAAAAAAAGTGATCATTATTGTTAATTAATAACTATTTACTTGTTGTTTTATTCAGATTTTTAAGTGACCATGTATGCTTTCATTTTTCTGATGATTCGGCTTTGTGAAACAGTTACTATTCTTATTATTTGTGTAATTGACATCTCATTAAGGATTGTCTTTTTTCTTACTCTTATTACACGTACATAATCAGATAGCCAGACTTAATATATATTAACTTATACAGCAATGCCGCAGCTGTAATCAGCAGTAGAAGTCATTCAGTTCAACACAATACCCATAAAAAGTTTCTGAAGCTTTTAAATAGCATTTTTGTGTGAGAGGAATTTAAATACATTTAAGGAACATTTGTTATAACATAAATTGTACTACCTTGGATTGTATTTTCTCAATTTTCACAAACTAAAAAAAAAACAAGAACTCATAAACCGTCCGAGCAGTGCTGTAGTCCTGTAAGATTATCCTCACACAGCAAAGTTCTTAGAGTTCATTTCCCGGTGTTGAAGTGCAGAGTTGAAATCACACTGCAATAAGTTGAATCAACGCTTCCAGAGTCAATTGAACGAAAGAGTTGGAGTCATTATATCATATCCAGCGTCAAGATCAGATTCATTTGCGACACTTAAATTAACTCTTTGATGGGTTTGAAATGTCACTGTACAGTGTCACACTTCTTGGTGTTTGTTTTAACTCTCTGCACTGTGGCGCACGGAGTAGAGAGATGCTCCATGTCCCGCGTCAAAGTGTCCCTGAGCAAGACACCTAACCCCTAATTGTTCCCCAGGCTAAAATGCTTTGGATAAAACGTGTCAGCTAAATGACATGTAATGTATTTAACACTGAACCAATTTATTTTTGACACATATTCTGAGTTAAATTATTAACACTTCGTTGATTTAACATTGACAAGATTGGGACAATATAAACACCAGCTTAGAGATAAAATTGGGGTCGTCGTTGCGCAGGGGTTAGAGAAGGTACACAAGGTTGTTGGTTCGATTCCAGGCTGCCCCATGTTCCATGTTGAAGTGTCCCTGAGCAAGACACCTAACTCCTAATTGCTCCCTGGGCAAAAATGTGAAAAAGCCATGGGTTTAAAGTGTAATGTAAGTCGCATTGGATAAAAAGCGTCTGCTAAATGACCTGTAATGTAAAATTGAATCTCACAGAGTCAATTTAACTCTCTGGAACGTGCTGTGTACAGCTGAGCTGTTCTTGTGAGATGCTACTTTCCTCCCATTGAGACGGTGTGGTTCTAATAATATAATGTCCTTTGTTATAAAACCACATTAATATGTTTTTAGAAGTGTCCAGATTGTCAAATTTTATGTACAGCAGTTCTTGTATTTATTTTGTAAATATTTGCAATAGAGTCAAATTAAATCTTTTTTTATTATATTATGTTTACATTTTTATATGTTTGTTTTTATTTTTATAAAAGGCTGCTGTGTAACTTCATCACCATGATGACAATGGCCGGATAACAAACGGCATTACATTTGTAAACCAGGTTTATCTCCTGTGCAAGGAGCATGGTCGTGCTCAGGAACGCCCCCCCCCATCACTCCTAAATGCCACTAACGTACCCACCACCCCCAAAACACGGGGGATCGAGGAGGCAGACCTGCACTCCCATCAATAACAGCTGGGTATCATTGACACAGTGTTCAAAGCAAACGTCCCGGGTCGAGAAATAGCTTCGCCTATAGTCATTAATAAGCGGACCTGAAGGTCGGACGTCACGTCTCTGTTGTCCCTTAAGTTGGGTAAACACGTGGAGCCTTTGAAAAGGTTCAATGGAGTTGAGAATAAAAGGTACCATCATAAGTGGGCTGTCAGGAATGAATCATTAATTTGTGGATTTCTGCACAGTCTTGGCTCGGGGGTTGGTGGGGATTGGTCTGGTAAACTGAGAATTTGGGGCCAACTCCACCCATTTGCGAAGATAAATTGCTTGGAGTCAACGTTTGAGTTAAGTGTTCCTCTCTCAGGATAACTACATAATTCTACGGAAGAAACAAGGGAGTATGAATGCGATAGTAGAAGCTTTGGCTTTCCTCCTGGGCTTTCTGGCCTGGCTGATGCTCGGAATCGCCCTTCCAAATCGATACTGGAAGGTCTCTTCAGTGGACGGTAACGTAATCACCACATCGACCATCTATGAAAACCTGTGGATGTCCTGTGCAACTGACTCTACGGGAGTTCACAACTGCCGAGATTTTCCATCTTTGCTTGCACTTAATGGTATGTGGCCGACACGGAAATAGTTATTTATTTGTGGATTGCTTCTTATCTGGCGTAAATGCTCATTCACCCACTCAAGGAATCAGGATTTTGGGGACTCTAATTTAGGCAATTATAAAGAACTTTACTTCTCAGGCAATATAATACAAAATATAAATAGAGGGGGGAGGAGGGGGGGGGGGGAAAAATACCAATGTATTCTGTCAAAAAGAGTGAAAAATGAGTTAAATAATAATGGTTCTCATTGCATTCAGCTGAATCTTTTACAAATTGATCAACCCACAAGTGGAGAGAAGGCTATTTATTTGCCCTCTTTTACTGAGACCTGACCTCTAAAGTGCACCTTTAGAAGCATATCAGCAGCAATTTACTGTGCAGGCTATTATCTGCATTAAAGGGGGCAAATATAAGATATGATCGACACAACCGAAATTGAACCCAGGCAAACTCAATACCCATGAAATACTAAAAGCTCATTGCTAAGAATAATCATTCCAATTTGTTGTTTCTTCCAATGGTTTGTCACATTAGTGGGCAATCAAACCTTTATGGATTCCATTCAGCCAACCAAAGCTACAACAGCTATTTAAAACTATGATTCAAATGTTAAATCTGTTTAAGGAAATATCTTTGGCGTCTGAAGTGATATTGGCCGCAGGTTTTGCTCTGAGTATATATATAGTTATACAGTTTTTTCAGGTCATTCATGTAACAATATGAGTTCCGATAATGTAAATTCCTCACATTCAACTTATATAGAATCCCTTATCGTCGCATCCCTGATCACAAAAGCATATATGCTCTTATGTCTCTTATGTTTGCACTCAGGGTACATTCAGGCCTCCCGGGCCCTCATGATCGCTTCCATTGTGTTTGGGACGTTCGGGCTCGTGGCGACTCTTGTTGGAATGAAGTGCTCGAAAATAGGAGGAGAAAACTACTTCTTGAAGGGAAGGATTGCTGCCATTGGGGGAGTGTTCTTCTTACTTCAAGGTAGAGACTTGAGAATGGATTTCATAGTCAATAGTCACGTGACAGATATTTACAGTACTTTACAAATGTCCGGTCCTTAGAAGGTCACCAGAAATCACGCAAAACAAAACAGCCAAAAAAGTAAACCGCCTCTGGGACTCAAAAAAACAACTCTTTGCTATCATTATGGGTTAATTGGAAAGGGTTTTAAACGTTTTAATTAAATTGTTTAATTGTATTTTAATAGTGATCACACTTATAATATACATGTTGTAGAGTGGATATAAAGGAAAAGTCCTTACAACAAGCAGGTAACTTTGCTCCATGTAACTGACATGGCTGACATCATGATATTTGTTTATAAAACTCATCTTATTTACGTTGTCTTCGCTTGTTACTGTGTGTGTTGTTTGCATTGCAAAAAACGTCCCGCTTTAGCAAAGAATAAAGAGTGGTTTGTGCTTTGCAGGGATTTCCACCATGATTGCTATATCTTGGTACGCAGCCAACATCACACAGCAGTTCTTTGACCAGTTTTACCCAGGCACAAAGTAAGTCCATATACTCTCTGCATCACTGAGTGATGATCTGCTGTTGCAGATTTACAGATTTAATAACAATACATTGAAAAAAAGAATGTGTTAAACGTTGTTGTATGACAGGTATGAGATCGGAGAGGGCCTGTATATCGGCTGGTCTTCAGCCATACTGGCCATTTGTGGAGGGGCGTGTTTGATCTGCGCTTGCAAACTCAACACACCCAAGGAAAAAATGTGAGCCTGTGTGTCTGAGACGTTCGATCGGTGGGGGGAGCAGAATCGGTGCCTAATCTCTGAACTGAAACTTGTCTTTTTGTTTTTACAGCCCATATCCATACCAACCATCCTCCAGAGGACTAGTGCCGCAGACGGTGGCGATGTCTCAGTCCGCCGCGACCAACTATGGTAGAAATGCATACGTGTGAGAGGGGTTGTGTAGAATCAGCTCGGGGTCAATGTACCTTACTAGCGTGCTGCGTTGTTACACATAGAAACTGCAGCATAGTGAATAGTGTGACAGGGTACAACTTCGTTACAGTGTCGATTACTGCTATAAATTACAATTAATCTACAGAATATGAAGAACATGTTGAATGCTAGACTCCATGTCCAGAATGCAGTGATGATAGCAATGTACTTACAAGCAAACATGTACAATAAATTACTTTTCCTTACTATTATTTTATTGATTACCACACGTTGATTTTATGATGAGAGAAAGAGAAAAATCTTACTACTCTGATATTATTTTGAAGGTTTTTAAATGATGTGCTATGCCACTCTTACTAAGACTAGAAGTAAGAAAACCAGAAATATTTAATCCTCGAATCAACGTAAACTTTTTTTTACAGTTATGTCAATGATTGAGGTTTGTGAGGTTTATAAAGGTGTTTTAATCCTTTTAAATATCTGTGTATCCTCAAACCTGCCATCAGGTTTAAAGGTCATAAAGATGAGAACTGCTTCCCTTCATAAAAAAATATTTCTTGTGGCTGTGCTACAAATTTAGAAAAATGTGTATGCAAAATATTAAAAACTCAAGAGCTAATTCCAGATCCAAATCAAACAGAAATTGCAGAAATTTCTGCAATCTACTTAAACAATAATCTGAGTGGTTTAGCAGTAAATAAAGCTCTTTGAAATATGACCAAATGTCAAATGTCAAATCAAAATTTGTCAGTAAGAGGTATTAAGTCTAATTATGTGACTTGCCTGTGCAAAGGTTATGAAGGAAAAGTGTTACTTTCATTTTCAACAGTAACCAGTAAAGCACCACAGCGCATCAGTGTGATTTTATTTAGTCATTTAGTTACTCAAGGAAACACATAAACATACACTTTGTAGTTATTTGGAGGATAATGTTTTTTTGACCATCTGTGTACAATTGAAATGTAATGTCACAGTCTTTTGGATGATTTTACATGTGTTCCTTTGAATTTCGGTATGTTTTTTACAAAACATAAATAAAATTTCTGGCAACTGAACAAGTATCAATGGGAGATTTTGAGTTTCAACCAAACAAACATAATGACATGAATATGGTGTTATCGTTAGACAAAGTAACCCTCCAGTACTAAAAGCTTGGTGGTGTATTTAACCTCATCGTTGCCTGGACATCCTCTCAGCTCAGTCAGTTTTAAACACGCCACCTACTGGCTAGATATGGCATCACATCAGGGATTCCACTTAATCTAATAACATTGTCTTGCTCGTAAAATTGCAAATAATATTCACCCAGCATCATCCGATCTGACAAAGATGATAATCAAGAGATAAATTCTGTTGGATTTCCTAATATAAGCAGTCTTTTGTTTCATTTTGCTAAATGATCAAATTGATGATGGTCTTTATAAGAGTATATATTTTAAGAGTACTCAAAATCATAAATCAAAATTACACACAGAGCCTTGCAATTGATTTTGTTCAACCAGAAAACAACAAGAAGGATGAATTACAGTGTTGCATATTATGGCGGAATCTTCAGGGTGAATGTTTAACAGCCAGATTTACCTCAGAAAAGCGACACGTTTACCTCAGAAAGCGACACGTTTACCTCAGAAAGTGACACATTTCCCTCAGAAAAGCGACACATTTCCCTCAGAAAAGCGACACATTTTCCTCAGGTAAACCTCTAATCTTTAGGAGCCTCGTTCGCCAAATTGTCCAGGTCTTGTCCGACAAAACGTAGAGAGCGCCAGCCTTCGCTGGCGGTGATGTCCTGAGCCCCTTTAGCAGCGTAGAAGTCTCGAGATGGCGTATTCCAGTCCAGCACCGACAGCTGCAGCCGCACGCACTGCTTCTTCTTCCCCACCTGAGAAAACAAAGCAGCCGTGCACCGTCCCCTCTTCGTCACACGGGCCTTCTCCATGAAAACGGGGATTTAGGAGGTCAACGGAGACATCCTTACCTCAGCAACTTTGCTCAGTAAACCCTTGCCAATGCCCTTTCCTGGTTACAGAAACAGACAGAAAATGATGATTTGCACAAAACGAACAAGTGCTTCGTTGATTACAAGTCGATGCGTATTTTACCCCTGAAGTCCGGCATCACGTACAGGTCCTCCAGATACACGGACCGTCCCTTCCACGTACTGTAGGTGTAAAAGTAAAGGGCGTATCCGACAATTGGGAATCCTACGGAGACAAGCGATGAAAAAGAGATGGAGGAAGAATACCTGGAAAAATGTGATCCCTGATGTGATGCAAGTATTTTTTTTTAAGGCAATTGTGTTTTGCTCATTGCTCAGTTATTTTACACACCTCTCGACATCAGCTGTGAAAAGGAATCAGTGAACAACAAGGGCTGGTTTCTAAAGGTGGTAGAGGTGTGCTTGTTGTGATTGGTTGGAAATATCAGAAACAGCGAGGTCACAGACTCGTCATTATGTGCGTGAGACCCCGACGGGCTTAAAAAGGCCTCTGTGGACACTTCACCTTCTTTAGACCGATGCTCCTCCGGCACCTCTGCAACAAGGCATTCGAAGAAGGGATTTGCACAGAAACCGTCCCTCTCCAGTTCTAAAGTAAAGCCAGACAGATCAGGGTTACATGTCATCGTCATGGTAAAGACATAATTTTATTCATCAGTGCAAGAAACATTATAATCACTTTTTGGTCAACTCTGCTGTGCCGAGCATGTGTGAGCTGGAAGAAGTGCAAGTGGGAAATAACAAATCACATCTCAAATGTTTGCACCAAACGTCTGCAGGTTTTATCCAAGTGGTTTGACCATAAATATTTTTGAAATAATAACTAGTTAATCAAACTACATTGCTCAGGGAAACCCTGAATGTTTGGAACCTGCTTGCTTTCTTCTCATTTGTCTTCAGATAGCGAAGAGGACTTTCCATGTGATCGCAATCAAAAACTCAACCGATGCCTTCATGCAGGTGTTGTGTGCATCAGTCACATTGTATCATTACTTATTCATTCTTCAAGCCGTTAGGTTTGATTATCGGTTGTGTGCTGCCTTTTAAAAAGGGAAACGTTTCCACTGCAGCATTGATTCCTCACATTGAGCACAACTTACCTTCGTGAGTGATCTTCACCTGCTCGGGCATTTTCTCATAGACCGCCAACTCCTGCGCGAAGGACGGATTTTAAGGCGTCATGTGTGAATGTATTTAGTCACCTGTGTCATTAGACAAGTACACTAAAGTGCATGCAAATATTCCGTGTCACGTTTCGGAGCCTCACCGAGATCATTCTCGATATTTCCTTGCAGTCTCCTCTGGTCGCAGGCCGGACCTTGACATTCATGTTTGTTGAAGGTACCGCACTTGGTCTGAAGGAGCTGCGTTCCTCGTCAGACAGAAGCAATACAAGGAATGTATAAACCCTGAAACGCGATGTTGACGACGAGGAATTGGTTCCGGTGTTGAAACGTCGCCTTCAAAATAAAAGCTCAATCAACAACAAGAACGCTTCCGAAGGAGCAAGTGGATTAGTAGAATAAGCTACAGGGTTAATCGAAAAAGAGCTTTAAAAAAAAAGTTGATTTACTCATGAATTTGAAGATTTTAACACCGTATGCCTTGTCTGTGTTACTCTGCTACACGGATCTGATCGTTCAGCAGCACACTTATATTAATTTACCTGCAAATAACGTAAACATAGAAATATATGTACATCTACCTGTGAAATTTTGAACACAAGGCTTATTTTTCGGGGGGGTTTGTGATTTTTACCCACGTGTCCTTAACTGGCTTGTTATCAGAGGTGACAAAGAGCCTGTTGGAGAGAATAACCCGTTTGTTTACATAGTTGTTTAGATATTTGGTTTTAATAAAGAATGACATTTTTAATGACAAACTGTAAATATTCATAATATGAACATAAAAATCACAACCAGAGGAGTATTTAATACAAAATCTGATTTATTTTAGAGTAAAAAAAGAGCATGGGATCAATTAGAATATAAGCTGAAACATTACAGATCGCACAGCTGGACCTGAGTTTTCATCGAGCATTAACATATTTACAATGTCTAGTCACATTTGCTCTTCATCATTCTCGTCAAGAGTTCACATATCCCACTTCATACCGTGCCACAGTTCACCCCTTTATGTTCAGCCCAAACAAACCATTTTGGGTGTTCAACACGGTAAAAAACCCACCATCTACACAAGTCTCAGTGTGGCGACTGCGTGCTCGCTCCAGGAGACTCAGACCGGTCGAGCTTCATCGCGGCTTCGAGTGGGTTTGAGGAAATTGAGGTTGGTAGCACGGAGCTCTTAGTCTCCAAGGAGGAAGAGGCGGACGAGGGCAAAGATACAACTATGTACTTCTGCAGAGGCCGTGAACCGGTCAGTCCAGGTCCACCGCCCGACTCCAGTTTTACCAAAGGCTGTAAAGTGGAAGTGGCACTGGGAACAGTGCTGGTGACTGGTGTGGCTGACTGGGAAGAGCTGAGGGTGATTACCTACAGGGGAGACAAAAGGGCAGATTTAAATGAATACGCTTGTGATTCTAAAGAGAAGGGTCTCATTTCCAAATAATAAAAATATAGGATATAACATATTTCATGGCTGTATTAACATTTTAATACAACTTGTGTCTGTCGTTTTCATATTGTAAAACTTCATCACTCATGATCAAATTGTTGTTGAAACTGATTTGTTATCAATGTGGGCAGACGGTGCAGAGACATTCTGTAGCATCGGCGCTGCAGAGCAACGTTGCGACTGGATTTAAAAAAAAATCAAAGCACCTGCTGAGTTGAAGCGGCTCCAGCACTGGTCGCCATGACGATGTATTTTGTTGCCGGGGGAGATGGCTGTGAAGGGGTCCCTGGTCGGGGAGTCATCAAGGTGAGGGAGCTTGGAACCTTAATGATGCTGGGAGTGCGCGGCCCCCCCGACCCACTGAACCCGCTTTGTGACACAGTGAGGGTGGGACGAGGCTGCAAGAAACAAATTCATCATGGGTTGGTGAACAGCTGTGTGCTCGCTTAGTTACACCTAAATTATACATAATAGATTTTTCCCCAAAAAACTTTGTTCAAGTTTTCTCACGGTTATTTTCGTCACTGAACAATGTATTCAGTATTGAACGTACCTGTGTGATTGTTAATGTTGTCCTGTTGACTTGCTGAGCTTGCAGTGCTGCCTGAGTCCTGGCCTTCATCACATGGGAGCAGAGCATGGGTCCAAGGTAACCGTAGTCAGTCCGATACTGTTCAGCGAGGTCAGGCTGAGGTCGGATCTTGGCAATAACACTTGCACAGTGTTTCTTAAAAACAAAAGACATTTTGTTAAGATTAAACAAACTCACCTCACTGATGAATGGTCATGACTGTTTGTATACAAATGCATTCATCTGTAGGAAGTAGTCTATTTTTCAGTGCATCATATTAGTAATAATAATAAAAATGAACTTGTTACCAGCAAGAGGCTTTGAACATGGTCAGCTCCTATCTTATCGATGTTTGAGACCACTTGTCCTTCCACCACTCCTTTGATGCGAGCCCCCTCTATAGTAAGCCTCGGGAGGATCAACGTCTTAATGACCTGCAGGGGAAAAGAATCCGGAGGTTGGTGCCGAGTAAAAAGAGTACATTACGTTTCATTTCATTCAACAACCTGCAATAAGTAAATTCAACCTAGAGGGTACAGACCCAGAACAACCAGAATCAAGTACTATTTTACAAGAAAGAAAGACTACGTGCTGTAGTACAAATTCAATAGGAAAGGGGATCACACTCACATCAGGTCCTAGTTCAGAAAGTCCAGCGATGCAGCCATAACGTGTCGTCCACTGCGTTTTCTCATCCAACCAACTCTGAGGAAAGAAGTCGGTCTGGTTTAGAATGTGAAGTTAAAAAAACAAAAACTTTAATGTTAAATTCAACTTTTTATTTATCTAAAAAGTGATCACCTTAGTAAAAGTCTTGGTAATACGTGACTGGATGTTGTTGGTCGTAGTACTGAAGGTTTTACAACTCTGGGCCATGAGGCGAGCCGCAAAGTCTCGTAGCGCCCAGTGGTTGTCAACATCTGGTCGCAAACACAGCTGCTTGCTCACGATACACGTCACAACAGCTGGAATGAGCTCATGCAGCTGCAAATGAAGATTGGAAAATTAAAACACAAGGATAAAAGTGAATGTTGAGATTATACACCATCAAAAAAATGATATATAAAGTTTTGCTTTCTTCTGCACTCACGTATTTCTCCAAATACAGGGTGGGGTTGTCCATAAGAGCTTTGACCATGCGCATTAAATAAATCAGCAGGGCCAAGTTGTTTTGCACCACATTCACACGAACCTTTAAGGAGGACAGAAAGTCAGTACTTCCAGGACAGATATAAACGGTTGTTTTATATGAGGTGAGTGATGTTTTGGAACACTAGTAGAAGTTGGAAAAGATACTCACTCCTTCAGAAATGAATGTGCTGAATCTTGGAAGCATCTGATAAAGTCCAGGATCTGTGGCAATACTTTGTAGAGCTTCCTGAAGGAGAGAAAGAGGAAAGATTTATCAAAAAAAAAAGGGACTTTTGGCAGAATCTTGTAATTACTCAATAGTCTTATGTTGGGACTCACAGCTCTTTTGGCCTCACAGGAGCCCACGCACGCTTCTGTGATCTCCTTGTAGTAGAGCTGCTGTTCCACAGACAGCTCGTGAGTGCTACGCGGCTTCAACCTTATTAGACCCTTCTCCTTTCCTGTAAGAGACAGATGTAAAGACGATATGATGGAGGAAAAAAATTATCCTAAAAGGATTAGGGCGAGAGAAGTGTTTCATTCTAATATAACAGAAGATACTGACCTTTGCCATCAGCAGCTGTTGCCCCTTGAGTCTTGCCTTGAATTGTACCGTCATCCTCCTGACCAGGTTTTACGATTTTGAGGGGCTCTGTAGATTCAACCTTTTGCTGCTCTTTTGGTGCTGAAAAAAAAAAAAATCAAACTTAAGTTTTTTTCCCCCCCCCCAGATAAATGTATAGATGTTTTTTTTTTATCCTTTCAAGGGACGACTAAAAAAAGGCTCACCTGGCGGTGGATTTTCTGGAATTGAAGGCTGCACCCCATCAATGCTTAACCAGTGGGCTGTGGATCAAAACAAGCGTGGTGCATGAGTTTACGGTCAAAACAAGACAATATCTTGGAGAACAACGGCATGCGTACCTTTGAGAGACACATCTAGTGGTACTCTTGGGAGCGGTGTGTTAATAATGTCACTGAGGTCGACCTCCTTTTCCTCATAGAAATGAAGCTCTCTTCCACCACCACTTGCAAAGCGGAAAGGGATAAACTCTTGCGACTGGAATCCGTAAAGGGGCTATAACAAGAGGATATGTACTTAGAACACAGAAATTGAGTAAAATACCCACTTCGAGCTTTATTTTGAACAAAATATACAAAGTGCTCTAATAAAAGCTACGAGTATGCAAGTTCTCCCTTACCTCCACATTTTTTAGTCTGAGAGCATTATCTATGTCGTTGGTGGTTAATTTACGTCTCTTCCCGTGATGCATGAATTTAAGAGCATCCTAAGTAAAAGAAAGAAAGGCAAGAGACCAGAAAAATATATATAAAGATCATGTATCAGTTATGCCAAAAACATTCAAGCATGACGTTTCAGAATAATTTATAGACCCACAAAAGAAAATATCACGTCTACCATTCATGATTTACCTGTGCTATTTCTTTTATTCTGTAGCTGACTTCTTCACTTAGTGCAGCACAGCTTTCCTCCTGTAACTGCCCCACTCCCACAGACTCAGCCATGGCCTTCATGGACTCTGTGGGCAGGGACACCGAACACTGCTTCTGCCGACGTTCCTCTGCCATGGCTGACAAAGTACACAGGTCTGTGAAAATCACCCCTCGAACGCACATGCAAAAAATCCAAATTAAAACAAATGTGCTCATAACATTAGTTGTGCATCATTATCTTAAACTTATTAAATAGGAATTATTTTAATTTTACACATTTTGAATGGTTATATTATAATAATAATAATAATAATAATAATTACAATAATAACTCAAAAGTGCCTGAAGCAACAAACGCAGAATCTTAACATATTATTTGACGAGCAGTCCTGCTGTAGTTGTGTGATGGTTCAGCAAACGCTATATTGACTTTAATTTACTTTTATTCTGTTAATACTCCAATTCCCCAAATGTAAATATTAGAATGTTTGTGTTATAGCAGCTAAACATTTAGATATTTAACAAAACGGCTTAACTATTTATCTGCCTTTTGCAAGCAACTATCAAAAACAGTGTTCATGCGTGCCGGGCCTTTCAGGGGCCAATGTCATCACACAAGTCTGACATATGAAATAAAGTGCATATAACTGGCTGTTTGAATGCAGTTTAGTGGAATGATGACAAGAATATATTTAATCTCGAAGGCTCTATCAATCTCAGCAGGCGTTGGCCAAAGAGACTGTGAAGGAAGGTCGATATAAAAAGTATCTATCCGGAGTGCTGGGATGTGCACGCAGATGTCCCAGCATGCAGTCATTTCTGCTGAGGACGAGTGACGGAAATAACGGTCATCTATTTGATGGGGATTACGTTACGTTTTGGGTTTGATTTATAATCCCAATTATGTCCTCTTTGTGTCTGTGTCGAATGGGGTTTACGATGCACACGCGAAAAGTCCATGGAACAAATACTTTTCAAAAGGGTTTAAACTTCGCGTGTAAATAAACAGGGAGCTCCTCAGAAAGCGGGCTCTCCTCTCCGCCGGAGAGCCCATCAACTAACGTTAGCAACATTAGACACTGAAGCCACTTCTAAAGTAACGGTATTGCCATACAAATGTAACTACTTGATATGAAACACAACACACGTATTAACTGTAAACCACTTAACGATGCATAGTGCTTTCATATTAACGTGCAGTGAGATTTTGAGTGTATTTTAGCTTGCATGCTAGTAACTTAGCTTCCGATGACATTTTACCTGTGTGAAGTTGTCCTCTCCGTCTGAGTTTAAGCAAGAACTTACACGAATAAAAACAGTCAATGTTGAGATTTACAACAATAATTGTTTCGCGAAGGTAATTCTTCTCTATGAATATCCATCGTTCGATAGAAATGACTAACTAATTCACGGATTGCAGCTGGGACCTCCTTTCGTGAATTAGCGCTAATGTTCCGTCGCCATTTTGAGTCACGTTCAGTTGAGATATCGCGAGAATATAATTGAGCTACCCCGACAGTTAGTTACACTTTCCGTTTATCAAAAAATCTCCATTCCAATAACGGAATGTGCGTTTTGACCGGCAAAATAATACCATAATATCATACATTAATAATCTGGAAATATAACTTAATTGAATGGCACTTCCTCTATAGAAAGTAAACTTCGCATCATCTTTGTATGAAGTACGGTATCCGGAACCAATGCCATTCTGGCGTTTTGGAGGGTGGCCTTATGATGTAGCACCGGAGGCAAACGTCCGGATCGTGGAAGGGCATCACAAGAAGTAATCATGTATAGATTTTTATTGCGAACAGTATGCACGGCTCGAACTTCTTCAGCCAGTGTATTCGAGTCGTGTGTGTTGCCATCTAAATGTGACAACTCTGGAGCTCCTCTGTTAAGGTGAGACCTTGCTGTGAGTCAACGGGACATTCCAAGCACAATGCTACGAATTATCGTTTGCCCTCTTCTGGGCTGCTATTGGGTGTAGCTTATTTGTTGCGAATTTAAAGTGTGTATTGGGAAAATAACGTACATTCAGGCTCGCTCAAACATGTGTTCTTTCCATAGAAGCTGGCGATGGCTAACGTTAGCTGTTAGCTTACTGAAACTGCTCTAATGTAGTGGGACACTTTCTTGAGTTGTAGATCAAAAACTAACGTTATATTGATCTAATGACGATGGTTCGAGCAGCTACCTTGTGACAGGATACATTAACATCTCACTTACACACAGTTACTATTAATGTATAACTAACTGTGGCCTTTCCACCATGTACCGGCTCACACACTATTGCTATTATGCAGATTGATTGCAGTTTATGAGAGCGCCCAACAATGACGTTTAGCATAAAGGCTGTTCACTGTTTTATTATCATCGCATCGTGTTATTTTAAGTGTTTCTGTCCCCTATAACTAGTTACTGTGTTTTTTTTTTCAATTTAATTTTGTAATAGTAGTGTTATTATCGTCGTCAAGTTTCTAAGATCCATTCCGAGTCGTGCCCCCCCATCACCCCCTTTGTGCTATTAACACTGACTTTCTCTCATAGGGTTGCCAATGGAGGTGGAGTCAAAGCCCTCAGCACAACCTCAGTCAGACTCTGTGAAAAGACAAATGATGGCGCCAATTCTAATCAAGTTGACAAAACAAAACCTTTAGATGTCGATGGCGAGCCAGCAGAAGCTCCAACTGTTGTTACATCGAAAGCTGAGGAGGACAGCGACATTATGAAGGTGGAGGTTAAAATCGAGCCTGTCATGGCAACGCCCAAACAAGTGACGACTGAACCAGCGAAGAGTGGAAAAGAGAGTCTCCTCGACCTTCTCGGGGCCATGAAGGTAGACGTAACTAATAAGAGGAAGCTGAAAAACAAGGTAGTTCAGTCAAGTTATGAGTCTACACCCAAGTCAAAGCCAGCAGCTATGGAGAGCACCATCAGTATGTTTCAGAAGGCCACAGAGGAGGCTTCATTGCAGAGGTGAGAGAGTTTGAAGTTACTCATCGGGTTGCATTGCCTTTGCCAAAGCGCAGCTTTTTATGCTCTATCAAAACATTGGTAAAGAAGCCTTTTTTTCCTCAACGCGATGAGATGACTACGCGGTCACTGCTGCCACGTATTCTATTGCGAGTTTGATCGTTTCACCCTTTACTTACTTCACAACCTAATCATGGGAGGATATCTGAATCCACGATCTCTCTTCGTCCACTGTGGGTTTTTTTTTTAGAGAGGCACTGGATCCTGAACTGGTTGCAGCTGCGTCTGCGGCTGCCTCCACTCTGCCTGACCGCAGCCAAGCAGAGTCCGAGCTGCTGCGGCAGCTGAGGGAGCACGAGACCATCACTGAGGCTCAGAAGAAAGGGGACATGAACCACCTCGGGTATGTGTCTGAATAATTAAATAAGGCGTTAGTATTGTATCTACTTTTTCATTCTGTATAATGGAAAACATCTTTTAAAAAAATGTTTACAAGTAATAAACGTGACTATTTTCGCAGAGGGATCATCGCTAACATGAAAGTAGGAAAGAATCCCAACCGACAGAAAACCCGGCCATCAAATCAGATCCGATTTGATGACGACGGGCAAGGATACACGCATGACCGAGGAGTCACCGCTGAGCTGGACGGGATTCGGAGGAGGTAAGTACTTTCTTCATTTTTCTACTCGTATGGGTTTTGAGATGGACCCTGTATTTAATGCCTTTCAATTTTTAGGATAAACTTGTTCTCGGGGAGAAGACTTAACATCTTCTCTCCCGCTACTGATGAAGATGGAGCCGAATCAACAGTTGGTAATAAGGAGTTTTTGCAATAAGCCTTCTTTCATTTACGCCGTTATTTGTAAATTTCCTTTTTGGGCTTTTAGAAATTGTTGCACTGGGATTTTAACCTTCCTTGATGCTTAATGTCATGAGTTGTTAAGGAGGTGGAAGCTGTCTTAATGTGACATTACAAAAGCTCAGGACGTTTGCCCATAATGCTGCCGTCATGTTTTCAGCACGGCCAACTCTATGGGACATGGACTTTGCTAATCAGTTGTCACTGTTGACAAACCAATCCCCCCGCAACGGACTTGAGGAAATGATACAGTGGACCAAAGAAGGGAAAATGTGGCAATATCCAATCAACAATGAAGTTGGTGAGTAGCGAATGCTTTATTCAAGCTAAATGTACAGAGTAGAGCAAAATGACACTGACGCTGAGTCTCCTTGCTCTGTTTTAGGCCTTGAGGAGGAAGCCAGTGTGCCGTTCCATGAGCATATCTTCTTAGGGAAGCACCTGGAGGAGGGTTTCCCCCGGCAGGGACCAGTGCGTCACTTCATGGAGCTTGTGGTGGCCGGCCTTTCCGGGAACCCTTTCCTCACAGTCCAACAGAAGAAGGAACACATTTTCTGGTTCCGAGACTACTTCCAACAGAAAGAGGAAGTCCTCAAGGAGGCGGACGTTTACCTCAAATGAGTTTAGGACAATCCGCATACGTTTTCAACATTTGTTGAGGGTGGACACATTAAACTTAGTCCTGTTTACTCAGTGGGGCTTTGCATTTGTGATCTTTTTCACTCATACGGGTTGGATTTCTTGACTCTTCCTGGAGGCCTATGAGGGATGACTGGCACCAAGTCTGTACTGCTGGCAAACATTGGACACTATGTTCTGTCTCTATTGTTCAGACTACAGAGCAATTGTTGCAATGTTGCTCTAAAGGGGCTTGTACAAAGTACTATACTAACAACATAAACAACAAAAGTACAGGACTGGCTTGATTTTTGTTGCTTATTTCATTTGTTCAGACAATATTTGCATAATCCAATGTCAGCGCGGACAGTGACACTTTTACAAGAACAAAGAGGATTTTCTGTCCGGATTATTAAATATGTCCCAGAAATAATTGTTGTATCAATCCAATGTGTTGTGTGGTATGGAGGTGGTATTCAGTGATGTGAAAGCGTTGATTTGTTGAATTATACTTTAATTATGAATAAAAGTTTTAAGTTAAAACTAGTTTTAAGTTAAAGGTCATCCAAACACCTGTAATTGTGATAAAAAGGACCTCGGTCAGGTTTACAGTTGGAGCGTGATAATGCCCTTTCCAAGGGAACTGCTTTTAAAGGAGAAGAAAACATGGTAACAATGTGCCGCTCAGATTCCTTCTGGTCTAAAAGCACTGTGCAAGCTGCTGCCTGAGAAAGTGTGGAAAAAGGATACGGATTTTAAGCACTGGTAAATCATTACTACTGACATCTCTGTGCTGGTCTATGGTGGGTGGGGCGGGACTCCTCGTCCGTTACAGGGTTAGTTTGGTTTTGTGAAGCCAGGATCCGCTAGAGTTGGAGGAGAGTAACGACATCCGTTTTACTAGCAATACCGGACCAGTGTTTTTATTCATTACAGGTAAGAAAGCTTTCGATCTCTAGTCGGTTTGGGAATCCCCTCTAATATCTTAAGCCTGTTTTAAAGCGTTTACTCACTTTCTTTTTGATTAAGACCTCTTATGACAGAGGAGGAAGTAATATGGGTCTATCTTACCAGTCATCAGAACCCCAAAGCTTCAAATAAAAGTACAGTATCTGCCCAGGAACATATTAGGAAAATAGTGTACTTAATAATAAGCATTTCTTTCTCTCCCTTCTGTGGACGTATGTTTCAGCGGCAGATGATACCGGATGCAGGGCCTCAGGATTCAGTGAGCTGACTCCCCTCCTGCCCCGTGTGCCACCACTGCTGCAGCAACAGCTAGCATGCATCGCCATGGAAACTGGTCCACTCAGATTAAATGTTTTGGTCTGTGCCTACTTCCGTAATGCAGACTGAGAACTGGAAGGAGCTTCCTTTTTTTGTTTACGTCAGGACGAGGATTTGTGTCGTCAGTGACGGTGGTTTATGTCAGGAGGTTGGGAACAGGAAGCCCAAACAGGCCTATTCTTTTTTAGGGCTGTTTATGAAGCATGCTTAGTGTGCGGATCAGATTAGAAAGTTACTTATCAGTAGTGAATCACAAAAACAACTAAATGACACTTGCTTTTTGTCCTTGGTCCAGCCTATAAGTAGTAACATGTGAGAAGATAAAGGTGTGTCATCGGTAAAAGTGGTTCTTTAAAATAATAGCTGATTGAAATCGTTTTACTAGAACACACTGGTATGATCGATTTAATTTATTTTGTATAACCCAAAAATCACAAATTTGCCTTACTATCTGTGCGCATCCTGCGAAAACCAGGTCATGTCATTTAGAACGATTACTTACTACAGAAAAAAATTAAAAATAGAAAAATCAGTAATCTACCAAAAAATTTGCGACCGCCTGCAGTAACTCTGCTGATCCACCAGGGGCCGCGGACCCTCTGTTGAAGACCTCTGCATGTTCTGCTGCTTGTATGGTGCATTTAGGGGCCCTCAAATTGTCCAGATACGTAATACAATCATTTTCGATGATGATTTAACAGTGTGTACTGTTTTTCACTCTCTGCTGAACCGACATAAACTTTTTTTCACGTCTGTTAAGTTTGTAATGCACACCACGTGTGTCACAATAACTTATAGCTGACAACTCTATTATTCTAACGATTCCGAGGATGAAACTATTCATCAAAGGAATATACATTGCACATTGAATGTGAATTTAATTTGAAACCGGGTGCTCTTAGGATGTTTTTAAGCTAAGAGATCAAATAATAAAACATTTTCGACATTGAATGCAGCGTCGAGTAGCATAACTAAGATGACTGATCCTGTCAGTGGTCTTTGAAAGCCGCATCGGACTCGGAACGGTTTTCGTTATTGACAAAGTGGCAGACTTGAGAGTTGCTACTATTCGATGCAGGATGGTCTGAACTTCAGCGAAGACTTTGATCGATACAATTCTAATTGTATAAACACCTCGTATATGCAAGTCTAGCCTGAAACCGGAATACAGTGTGTGAACGCAACTTTTTATTTTACCTGTTGATTCAGTCCCCGTTATTATTTTATTTTTTTATGTGAGTGACCGGTGTGACCGTGAGAGCCACGCTGACATGGCTGAGGTACCGCCTCCGCAGCCGGTCGAAATAGACCCCGAATTCGAGCCTCTCTCCCGCCCGCGGTCCTGCACCTGGCCGCTGCCCCGGCCCGAGCTCAACGACCCGGCCGGCTCCGGCACTTCGTCCCCGGCTCCGCCGGCACAGCCGGAGCCGGGAGGGAACCCCGAGTTCACCGGTAACCTCGGCTTGTTAGAGGAGGACTACGAAGAGTCTGCGGAGCAGAAACCTCCTCTGCCATGCAGTGATTTCCAGTGCAAGGATGGAAACGGTCTGCACCCACATCATCATCAGCACCACCACCGCCAGCATCAACACCACCACCACCTCCATCAGCCCCTGCAGCAGCAGCAGCAGCAGCAGCTCCCCGGGCCGCCTCAGCAACAGGTGCCTCCTCCGGGTGTCGCACCGCTGGGCAGCTCCGGCCAGAGGAAGAGCAGCTCGTCCCGTCGTAACGCGTGGGGGAACATGTCGTACGCCGACCTGATCACCAAGGCCATAGACAGCTCGCCCGAGAAGAGACTGACGCTGTCTCAGATTTACGACTGGATGGTGAAGAACGTGCCCTACTTCAAGGATAAAGGAGACAGTAACAGCTCCGCGGGCTGGAAGGTGAGTGTCCTGCACGCTGGCGCGCGTAAAGGGGGGAGTCAGGTTGGAAAGGGGGAAGTTGAGAAGGGGTGATGGTTAAGGTGCGAACGTGGACTCCTTTAGCCAACCTAAAACACCAACAAAGAAATCAATGCCATTAGCAAATTCATTTCCCCCTGCAATTCTGTTTGAAAATTACAACATGAGGTCTCTCAAATTAAATCAATCCTTAATGCAGCAGTGTAAAAACAGGCCCTTTATAATCTGCTGAATACAGGAAATACATAGAGGCATGTATCACAATAGGAAAATTACAAATATTAAATTGAATGGTCAAACTGGAATCCCTTTGTTATATTTTACCCACATCCCAAACCGCTGTTTTACACTAAGAGTGTAATATTGAGGGCACATTCAGTGGTGGTGGTCATTTATCCAAAAAGATAGTAGGAAAAAATCCTATTTCTATCATCTCACAAAATAAAAAATGTTTGATTGACGATTGCTGGCTCTAAGCTGGTTTGGCTGAGGAGAATGTGATAAAAACTTTTTTATATAGAACCAGAAAAAATGCTGACTCAAGGTCGATGCAGCATTTCCACGCCAGTGGATGAAGTGGAACATCCCTGGGAGTTTACAGAGCTCCGCTTTGTGGCCTGGAACCATGTTGGAAATATTTAGCACCAGGGAAAAGCAGTAGCCTGGCGCCTGTGCAAACAGGCTAATCCGGGGGTTAATATTGTCCCGCCGGGTGTGGCAGTTACTCAGCCATGAAGGATAGAAACTAAATGTCCCATTCCTCATTTTAAAGTTCCGTAGAGAAATACCTTTGTGAACCTCAATCAAATATGGCTTCCACTGTCCCACCCCCCCTCCCCTCCCTGTGAAGAGCTTGATCTATTGTGACTTATGGCTCGGCTAAACCTCCCTCTCCCCCTGCAGAGCTCCAACCTTGCGATACAGTAGGTCCTCCGGGTGGGAATCGCTCAGGTTTTTTTTGGCGGAGTGGAGTAAAGTGTTCCCCCCCAACAATAACAGGAGACGACACAAACAGTTCAATCAGTGTTGGGGAGTGTGTCGGAGGGGAAGGGACTTTGGAGAAGGGAATGCTGGGAACAACGTCAAACATCCTCCATTCCTGAGCTGTGCGCTCATATCTTTGTGTCCCTGTCTTCTAGAGTTTCCTCAGCGGATGCCGCGGCTTGGAGAAAGGGATTGCTGCTCTTTATCCGTATACGCTTCCTTCCCTCCCTCAGGCCTTCTGCTGACGGAGCGAAGGGAAGCTTTTCATAGGGTGTCCTTTTAAGCATCAATATCTGTAAATAATGGACCTTTCTCACTTACTTTTTCTTTTATTCACAGTTTTTTTGATAAACAATCAATCACATCCAACCAGAAGTTCCACCAACGGCCCAAAGTGCCAGTGCCTGTTTCGGCTTTCTGTGGTTCATTACTCCACTTTGTTGGCCCCTGATGTTTATTTGATTGGATTTTTTGGTGTTACCTTTTAAGCATTGTACTCAAAGGGTTTGAGAGACCGGTTGTTACTGTAGCGGCTTTTTGCAGCGTGTGACATTGACAGAAGCAGCAAATGCCTCAACAACAATAGCACCGGCCTGTTTATCTTTGATTTTAAATCAACACATCACCACTTCAACCTCTGCATTCCCAAATGTTGGCATGGCTGAGCCTCGGAACCACCGGCTTACAGTTATTTTTACACTTTCCTGTTAAAAAAACACGATGGTCCCCTCACAATGAACTATGATGCATTTCCTGCACAGTGGATGGAAAACAGTGCCATGTGTTAACATCCCGGGCCGCGCAAAACACGAGGGTCCGGGCTGTAAAAAGAGGAGGAACCAATAGGAGGACAATGTTTGTGCGTCTAATTTAACGTGACGTCATTTTATTCCATTCCACTGTCCCTGCCACATGTTTAAAGAAATATTCAGCCTGTTATTGTTGTGTTTGGGGTCAAACCCTGGCCCAGGTATTGACTTTGGGATCCACATGAGGTTGCCTGATTGTCGTGACGGATGGAGATAAGCCACAAACCTCATGGTGGGTGGAGGGCGTTGTGTTTGAACCTCAGTGATGGTACAGCTCCACCTAGAAAACTGAAGGTGGGTGGAGGGCAGGACGCGGCTGACGCCGCCGCTGCTGCTGCTGCTGCTGCTGCTGCTGCAGCTATGGCTTCCTGTCTGCCTCATGTCACAGAGATTGTTTAGTTTTTTCCTCAACAAATTGTGCGTTCAACATAATGCCTTTACCACAAGAGAGGGCCCCCGCCAACCGTTAGAACTGGTTCCCCAGGGATGTTGTTGGTGGTCCGTGAGTGGCACAAAGATACTTTGCCGTCTGCAGGGACACGTTTTTTCTCAGTGAACGGTAACCTTAAATGATGGAACAGGAAGTGGCGCTCCTGAGTTTAACTGACGCAGAGGTTCTGAGGTGTTCATTCGAAAAACATGTCAACTGCAAGAAATTATTGTACCAACGGCTACTTGAACTTTTCAAAGCTTGTAAAGTGTGTGCGAGCCATTGGTTTGTGGTGCTGTGCAGATAGAAGGCAAATTGGGTGTTTTGTATTAATATATCGTTTTTGGTGACGTTGGTTTGTCTTACAATATGATTTAAAGGGCCCTACGCTACAAATCAGTAGCCTTCTGGTTGTGTGGTTGGGCTCCTGATGTTTGCTTATGACCAAAACCAGACATTACGACCGTATTTAGTCAGTATGAGTCAGTACTGACTCATACCGATGACAGGGAGGGAATTTTTGAGTGAATTTTGTGGCAGGAGTGAATGGCAGGATGAATGTAATATACATGCAAATGTATGTTCTTCCTGACTGAAGATGAGCTTATTTAGATAAGCCAAGATGAAACGCATTGGTGGTGTGGCTTGACTCTAGAAATGGAAATGTTGTTTGTTGGTCAGTCGCTCCACCATTTCTCTACTCCTCTATTGGATGGATTGCCTTTGAATGATGGACAGCCATTCGTGGCCCCCTGAGGTCAAGTTGTCATGGCTTTGGTGATCTTCTGCTTTTTCCACTGGGTGGTTCTCATTTGTGGCTGTAAGTGTACTGACTCTGACTGTTGGATCGACTGCCACGAAATTTGTGACGCATTTGTCTTCCCCCTCAGTGTGAATTGCACTTTTCACCTTGTGCTTCTATGGCGTCCAAACGTCAGTTTCTCCTACTCTTTGTTTCGTGACCAAATCCTTATAAGCTCAAGACATCCTCTAAAGTTCCAGCTTTTCTTTGTGTTTAGTTTCTAATTACTGCAGCGAATGTTAATACGCCAATGCACTAGTTTAAGATACTTAACATGGTCACCACACGGCAGCTGACCTCGAGCTCAAAGCATCACCAGGCCTCCGAGTGCAGATGATTTAAAAACCCTCTATCAAGTCAGAGGAAGAAAACGTTAAAAGTGTTAATAGTCGGTTTAGGAGCTATATTTAGGGTGGCAAGCTGGAAAAGAGGTGGCTAACAAAGCAGAGGGGGGGGGGGACTGAACAGCTTCCAGCTTGGGATCACAAGATTAAAAATGCAGAACTGTCCTTAACTTAAGAAGCACTGAAAGCCTCAAAGTATCCCCATGAAGAAAGTGAGGCTCGGGGCCGGGGCTTTCAAAGAGGAGCGACCAGGGGGCTTCGGGCGAGCAGTCAGCTGACTGGCGGTCTGTGGGCTGAGGCCTGTGTACAGTCTGCTGTCTACACGTGTTTGAGCCTGGGGAATCCGTGGCATGTTTGAGTCCTGCATTGTCCTCCAGTCCTGCGCGGGGTAATATCCCCCCCTTTATTATGAGATGGCCATGGATCCATTGTACTAAATATGAAGGACATGATAGCTGAGGAAGGCGAGTAAATATGGTGCGGAGAGAGAGAAACGGGATCAGCGGTAACTGAGATGAGTGTGGAATCGTGTAAAAAGAACAGTTTTCCTTTTCGCCCTGAAAAGTGTGCAAAGAATGTGTTTCACCCTCAAGATTAAACTGAGAAAGATTAGAGATGAAGTTTCCAATCAGCTTAGTGTGTCTGAATAATACGTCTGACTGTGTTTTTTACTCAGTAGTCCCGTGAGGATGTTTTATTCTCAATTGCCTTGTTTAAAGCCAAAGCTGAGTGTGGGACACTAAGCCCCCCCGTACCTTTTCATAGTGGCACTTTGAAGCCATTGCAGAAGAAGGTCACTCAGTGGGTCTCGTTCTGTAACAGAAAACACTTCCCGGGTCAGAGGAGTAAAGGGGGAGGGGTGCACAGGAAGACACTGTCAGGAAGTGGCTTGTCCTTTTACTGAAATCTATTTGCGCTCGTATTCTCTTATTTACACAACCTGACTGCTTACAGGAGGCAGTTATTCAGCATAAAAGCAGTGATTAATAGTCGTCTGATGGTTTTCTTATTTTTATTTAGCAGATATTTGGAGATATGGCTGCTGCTAAATAAGATACATCATCATTTTAAATTTACAGGAACAAGAAATATGGCTGTAGTAGTATTTTTAAGCAGAATGCTATTGTTGCGATACCAGTTCATTGAGTCAATTCCAGCCAAAGAGATTATCACACTTCCTTATTTTGCTGGTAATGTCTTTTTTGGGAAATTGATTCATGTGTTCCCTCATTCGCTTCAACTTTTATTTAAAGCCCTTTTTGGCAGAACTAACCACTAAAACAATGCACTGAGGGCAGTTGCACTCTGATTAGAAGCAAAAAATAATGATGTTGCATCAAAGTCACATAGTGTCAATTCAATCAGTTTGCGTCAGCGCTACCTGCATCACGCCGCGACATACATGCCAACGTAAAGTGATTGTCATCACTAACTCAACATCGGGCCTCATCGTTGACACAAAACGCCGTTACTGACTTGAGTGGCAGCTGGTCTCCAGCAGCGGGTCTCCTGGGAGATCCTCTCTTCTCCCGTCTGTGGTTGTGTCTGCCGCTGTGCTGTATGTAAAACGTTTGGACCACTCTCATTGCGCTGCACCTGCCCCCCCCCCCCCAACCGCCCCGCAAGCGGCCTGGACTTGTTTACTTATCCTGCGACCGTTGCTGCCTCACGCTTCACCGCGCAAGGAACAGCAGCTGTGTCAATTTTGATTGTTTTTGTAGTCCAGGAGGAAGAGGAGGAGCGGCTTCACGCTGCCTTGATGCCGTTGATCGCAGGTGATTTGAAGTGTTGGCCGATGGCGGGTGGGTTTCCGTTACAATACGGGCTGCAGTGTGTTGGAGCTCTGTAGCAGCAGGTGGACTCGGACTCTGTCTGCAGAGACACAACTGCTTATAACTGTTTTCTCAACTCAAGATCATAGATTATAGCATTATAATGACAGATTTGATATTGGAGTATAATGCATTTTAGCTTGTGCAAAATCTTGTGTTGGATGTCTGCTCATATTACTCGACACATTTACAGTCATTTAGAGGCTTTCATAATCCGTGCCTGGAAACTCCCCTGGATGCCAAGAAAAGGTCAACAGAGAGCATGTCGATTTCTTAATGCCCCAAAATTCACACAAGCAACATCCGGTTACATGTCCGTGTATTTCACTGCTTCTAAGTCAGTTATAGATGACGGATTTGACCATATTTTTTATGAAGAACTTTAGCAAGAATGAAACTTTCAGAACTCGCTTTCAGAAGCATAATGCATGAATGGGGGCACCTCCTGAATTACTGAGGCAGGGGTGTCTTTTGTTCTCTTTTGGGCGACGGTGAGGTCTTTCTCCGACGAGGATTACGTCTGGCTGAGTTGAGAATTCCCCCTTCCCCGCGCCCAGCCATGCATCCCACCATCTATTGTGGGCGCTAATCAGAGGCTGCCGACGTATGCATATGACTATTGATGTCAACTGTGCGTGAGCGGGACGCGTCGTTTTGGTTGGTTGGAGTATAAGGTCAGATCGCAGACAGCGTCTGTCGAGCACACGGCTCGGATCTCAGGTCCTCCGCTAATGACTCATTTCCTGTCTTCCTGTTACAGATTGAAATCATGTAAAAAGAGAAAGAAGGGTCATAGAAAAGGTCATAAATTAGAGGAACACAAGTCAGATTGGGCATCGCGTTTTGAGGCCACGCATTGATCTCACGTCTGCATGTACAGGATGCAGGAAGCCTTATTTTCAAAAGTCAAGGGAGGAGTCTGGTTCACAGAGCGTCACCTCTGAGGCTTCTCCTCCTCTCGCTGTTCCTGCTCCATCCGACCTGTTATCATGACTCTGTCAACGCAGGCTGAAGAGCTCGAGTTCAGTCCACAGTGAACTCATTGACCTGCAGGCACAAACATCTCACTCCGTCACCCTCCCCATCCTCACTTTGAACCCTGTAACCTCCCCCATCGTTCTTTTTCAGTAGAAAATGTCAAATTCATGCACAGCCAGCTGCGCTCTGAGGATCGGGCTCCACGCACGAGTTGATGTATAGTTGGAAGTTGAACTTGTTGTGGGTCACTGGCTTTGCATGGGGGCAGTCAGCCAAAACAATAGTCACAATATTGTTAAGCTTCTTCTGTTCTGTTTATTATTATATATAATCATTATTCAATTAGTCATGCAGCTTCAAGATGTTTATATATATTTATCAATATATATATATATATATATATATGAATTTACAGTGCATTCTTCTTAATTGTAATCATTAAAATGCTATGTCAAATCTAATATTTAATTGAATGTATTGACCCTCCAAGTCCAAACATTTATGTCCAGAGAATCCAGTATATACAGTACATCTGTGTCGCATTTGACCGCCTCCCTATCGTTGTTTTTTTTTTAGAGAACTGCAGCAAGAGGCGCCTCCGCGTCCTTTTTAGACCGTAGCATTTATTAAAACATGGAAAGGAGGAGGCTTTAGCTGAATACGTGTTGGCACAAGGACAAATGTTACCTCATAAAGTTCACGGCTCCTTTAAGTAATTAAAGGACAAAAGCTAAACAACAAAGTTAAGTACTTTACTGTGATACAAAACGGCATCTTGACCAATGGGAACACATCATTTAATTTAGTGTAAAATAAATAACTCCCCACGTCCCATCCGTCCCTCGCACCCTCATGCCAAAGTCAGTAATGTCTGTTGCTGGAGAGCGTGACGAGGGATTGGAAAAGGCTCAGTAGACATAATGTAGCTGACGGAGGATATGGACATACACGCACTTCCTGTTCATCTGCTGGCTTTGACATCACACTCAGCTATTCCTGCATTATGGAAGATGACAGAAATTTCCTCTGCAGCAATACCCCTTCTTAATTAATTCTCGTGGATCTCTCCCAGTGGCTTATTTTTGCTCCTGAGGATAAGTATTTAGTGTTTAATTGTATTATTTAATATGTATAGATGGACTTGCATAATTCATGGAGAAAAATATTTACCTTTTTAAAGAGAGCCTTTGCAAACCAACATGAAAAAAAAAAGTCATCTTCAGAAAAGATAACTGACAAATGACCCACTTGTTTCCCATCCAGAACTCCATCAGACACAACCTCTCCCTGCACAGCCGCTTTGTGCGCATACAAAACGAGGGAACGGGAAAAAGCTCCTGGTGGATGCTGAACCCGGAGGGGGGAAAGAGCGGGAAGTCGCCTCGACGCAGAGCTGCTTCCATGGACAACAACAGTAAGTTCGCCAAGAGCAGAGGAAGGGCCACAAAGAAAAAGGTAAAGCCTCCTTTATTATAGCAACATTACACTTGCCTACTCATAAAGTCAATCTGCATATAGCTTCCCCGTATTTCTTGCTAATCACCTCGTGAAATGAAATGCAATGCGCCGTGTGTCTATCTATCACGATTTTCCTTGAATCTGTGTTAAAAGAAGAGTTTGTCACATTATAAAATACACTACATCCCGGAAAGAGTTCCAGCAGCCACGTTGTCACCTTGGCCGCTGGCCAGCCAGGATGTCCTAGTGTTATAAACTAATCCAACCAATCGGTGGTTGTAAATTCAGATATTCGAGTGGCGTCGATGTTCTCCTCTAGCAAGCGCGCAAATAAGCACTTTCCCCAAAATGTTTGTACTATTCTTATCACTTTGGTTTCATTTCATTCCACACTGGTAATTCTTACTGCCGCCTTTGTTAAAACGTTAATGTTTTTCGGTCCTTAGATGTCTCTACAGGAAGCAGCTGAGGGAGGAGCGGGCAGCCCCAGTTCCCAGTACTCCAACTGGCTGGGAAGCCCAAACTCCCACAGCACCGAGGACTTTGAAGCCTGGAGCTCCTTTAGAACGCGCACCAGCTCTGACGCCAGCACCCTGAGCGGCTGCCATTCACCTTTTCCCCCCGAGCAGGATGACCTAGGGGAGCCGGACGGCCACATGATTTATCCCGGAGCAGCCGGGAGCAAGATAACCACCACGCTGCCCAGCCTGTCCGAGGTGGCCGGGTCCATGGGTCAACACGGCTCAGAGAGTGTCATGGAGAGTCTGCTGGATAATCTGAGCGTGCTGTCTCCTAAAACGCAGCTGGGCTCTGACACCTCACATCCGTTAAATGCTGCCATGCTTCAGAGTAGCCCCTACAGCTCCACCGGCTTGACCCCGCACCATCAGAAGGACTACCGTAAGTGCATGTACAACCAGCTGAGGATTAACCCCCAGTCCCCTGCTCCCATGCAGACGTTTCCAGAGACTAAGTCGGGCTTTAGGGCTTACGAGAACCAGTATATTTGTCCCGCTGGCCTCCTCAAGGAGCTGCTGACCTCAGACGGGGTGGCCAGTAGGGGTACGCAGGTCTCTCCGCTGGGGATGGGAGGTTGTCTAATGCCCAATTACGGCCGCCCGAGCCACATGGGGGGCCATAATGGAGCAAAAATGATGAGTCCTCCCCAAAGTCACTTAGTTCCTCATGTAAATCCACAAGATGTACACAGCCAGGGTCCTTCGACCTTACACGATTTGAATGGCCGCAACATGATCCCGCTGACTTGCCTGACTAGTCTAGGAGGAAGAGGAGGAGGTGCCCCTCCTAGAATGGCGAGCCTGAGGACATGCGTGCAGTTGCCCCGTGGACACCCACTTCACAATAACGTTGTTTCGGCAAGCTACGGCAGCAACAGCGGTTACAGGGAACTCAACTTGATTTACCCGAATGGTCATCACCAGGAGCGGCTGCCCAGTGACCTGGACAACGTGTCCATTGAGAGGTTTGAATGTGACATGGAGACCGTGCTCCATGACACCCTCATGGATGGCGGCGCACTGGACTTTAACTTTGAGCCCACAGCTGGGCCTCATGGTTTTCCTCAGAGGGTGAAGACCACCCCACATAGCTGGGTGTCAGGCTAGGACAAGTAGTGGGTCAGTAAGTACATGTATTAAAACGGTACATTTCCCTTTTTATGGATTTTGTTTCTCATCCCTAAACATTTTCCATTGTCCCTCACAGGTTTTCCGCAGCGTCCGGCCGCCGCTCACCTTCATTCAGAGCCTTTGAAATGTAAATCAGCCACAGCCTTCACTGTCTCCAGAGCATTTAGCAGAAACTCATGTTCTTGAGTTGCACATCTATGTATAACAACGCATAATATTAATTGATACATAATATAGTAAGTGGATCTAAGAGTAAACAAACTCTTAGATCCAGATAACTGCATGGAACACAAGCTCTGCAGAAAGAATAGAATGAGAAACAAGGCGTCGCAAAGTAGCTTTGTTTACAAGTACCTGTCCAAAACTGGAAGCATGTATATATTGTTATTTTTGCTGATTTGTGTATATACATTACATTATATTACATAAGACAGAACAGAGAATCGGAGCGCTAAACAAAATTAATTTCTCAAACATAGCAGGATACATTGAGTTTATATGAATAGCTTGTATATAGGCTGATCGTGGATTCTTTAAGGGTTAAAGGAAAAGCCCATATTGGAAAATTAATTTAATCATTCGGTTGGAATATTAGATAAACCAGCTTATCATTTGCATATTCCTGCATATCATCTTTATTATCTCCGAGTGTGTGCCTGTGTCTGGCTGTCCAAGGATGATCCAGTATACTACCTGGCCCATCAGTCTAAACCTTTTGGTTATTGACTGTTTTATACAGTGTTTATTGACTGCTGACCCTCACTCTTACCCAGTCGATAGGGGGCACAAGTCATCAACAACTGCTTCAGTGGCTACAACATTTAAAATTTGCCATTCATATGTATGAAGACATGTATTTGTGTTTTACTTCATATTTGTATTCATGCCCTGTACTTTCTATCTTGTACAAAAATGTGTGCCTCTGCTGTGTATAATGCGCACACCGTGTTCCATGATATGCTCCATTATTTTGTGACTTCAAATGAATGTTGAAGAAGTAAAATAAAGATTCATTAGAGATATCGCTCTCTGAAAACAGTTCACTGAAACTCCATATCAATCGCAATTATTTAAGATGAATACAATGTTATTGTTACGTTAATAGTGTTTACATGGAATATTCACGAGAAAACGTGGCTGTCGAGAAGTCTCCTCAATATCGTAATTCGTAATTTACGTCTTACCCTTGAAATGATGAACAACTGACAGAGAAGCATGGTGATCAAGTTGAAATCCTACTTGTTTTTTTGCTACATTCAGAAAAAGGGATATTTTGTAGAACTTTTGAGATGTTCCCCTCACAAAAGATGTATGATACGGCGGCAGTAATAGATTCTAGAGTCTAAACTGAATGGAAATAGATGATGGCCTTCAACGATTAGCTGACACAGCACACAGTTTAATGCTGTTTAACTTCCAGCAGCTACAGCTATTATGCACCAAGGAGTTTGTACTCTACCACACACATCACAACTCCCTGTGCCTACACAGTCTCCCAGACTTATAATGCTGTACACATCATTTGCCTTTGTAGTCGATTTTTTTAAATGAGGGATTCAAATTACTTTTCAGTATTGTATTAGTAAGTATTATGATTGCGTTAGCAATGGTTGTTTACATATCTAAGTCCAAACCATATCAATAAATATATGAACACTCATACCTCAAAATATTTTACCTCTGAAGTGTTGAAATGATTCTTCTCAGTAAGTATTTTATTGAATTTCTCCTTTTTTGAAAATATTTTTGTTTCATTTGAATGGATTTGACTTTGACGCATTTGGACCTGTTCAGGGTAATGCAACGTATGTGTTTGGATTTGTTTAATGTATTGGAGGGTTATAGCCATTTGTTTCTAGTAAATTTTTTAAAAATTATTATTTCAAAGCATTTTCTTGAAATAATACATTTTTAAAACAGGAAATAATCTGTTCAGTTAAAACTCAAGGAAAGGAATTCAACAAAGCAAATATAATTATATCTTGGAATAATGCTACCACTTCTACAATTATAAAAGTGTATCAAAAGTAAATGTCTGATGGTTGCCTTTTTTAATGGGTCAAATTGCTACCTTGAACAAATTAGATTTCTGATTCAAAAAGAGTGTAATGTATTTCATATGTAATCTTGGACATTAGACAAATGATGAAACCCACTTATGTCCACACAAGGGAAAACGGAATGCATTCATATTATATATTTTATATTCACATACAGGTATTTTTTAAATAATGCATTGTTGTTTGTAACCCAGTCAGTGCATAACTTACTTAACAAAATGCACATGCAAGTAAAGTAACAAAACAAAACAAAACGGTGTCAGTGTCTTCATTATAGTAGCATTTTATAACACTTAATGTTATAACCACATCAGTGGCATTTACATTTTCTGTATTAAAAGTTGAATCCTTCTACTCATCTTTATCTATATATATATATCTTTACTTATGTCTATATAGATGTATATTTACTGAGCGCTTCAAGTAAATGTTGCTTACATTGAGGATTTTTGGACTACACATATTCTGTGTGTTTTATTTCCTACAATGTGCAAGATGGTTATGAGTCACTTTCGGATGATGCATCTCACCAGAGGCTTTAATAAGTTTTGACTATACGTTAAATGGCGGGCGTCATTTTATTTCATTGCTTGTGTGTGTGTGTGTGTGTGTGTGTCTTTGTGTGTGTGTGTGTGTGTGTGTGTGTGTGTGAGAGAGTGCAAGTCTTTCTGCCATAAAAGCACTCCATTGAGTCATGCGGCCACTTATCTGAAAAGAAATTGACGCATTTCCTCATAGAAAGTGAAATAAATGAATGAAACTTGTTATTTTTGAATCAAATTATATTAGCTAACAAAAACACGCTGTACCTCTGCCACACGTAGTTTCCATGTTATTAGCCCTGGGCAGGTCCCCAAATGTACAGCCTTTTGGTTCGTCCAGATGTTTTGATTACTATCAGGGCACATCATCTCCAATGGTTCTTGACTAAAATTGAATGAGCTATAACCTTGGTAACTGTTGTTAGGTCTAAACTGAAGGTTTCAGGCATTACATATTCATTGATTGGAAAGCTTTTAGACAGTCTTCCCCTGAATAACATCTATGGTGTTGCACTTAGTTGTGTAGACAGGAAGTGATGTAGGAGGTTCAAAAAAAATCCAGCATAGTTTCTCAGGTCACCCAGCCGATCAGGGCCCGATGTGGCTGGGATTACTGGATGATTAGTTTCTGACACTCTGCTTTTGACAACGACATGTTTTGTGGATGGATGTTTTTCTCAGGGCTCAGTGGTGATGGTCCTCCTCTATCTCTCACAGTTTTAGTATGTTTTAATAAATAGCAAGTTATGGCATCATTACCATTTATATGAGTTACAGTTACGCAACGAACGCACTGAAAGGAAGGACCCCATATGAGTATCAAATGAACATAGAGCTTGTTGCAGGTCCTGTTGTAAACGTATGATTCCTATTCCGTTCTGTTTTGTCACTGAACGTCTGTGAAACGTATAGCTGACGGCTAAAAGTGGAGCAATCACATGAGGCGGCTTGGCTACAACACATGGCAACCTGCAATAGCAGAACTACTTCCAGGAAACCAAATGTTACGGTAGCAAACAAGCATCAAATTGTAAATGACTTATCTGTCTTGCTACCTAAAGCCTTTTCTTTTTATTGCAAACCTGCTTTTACTGGGGACATGATATATTGAAGAATATGTTGGTAAAACCAATGGAACAGGACAGAAAGCTGGTCATCAAAGTGTCACAACATCTGTAGAAGCGAGGTGGACGCTTTAGTGGGGTCAAAGGGACACGCGCTGTCGTTTATTTGTGTGACTGGGACAAAACGTTCCCTCTACCAAACGCATGAGCCACCTCTTGAGTCACCATAGAGAGCAAACAGGGAAAGAAATTAGGAAATCATCTTTTTTGTTTTCTCACAGAGGGCAATTAGATCAAATGAAATGAGGCATTGGCACAGAAAGTTGCAAAGGAAAGATGCAAATTTGCCCATCTGCACCGAGGCAATTGTTTTAGCTAAAGCACTACGGAGTGGAAGAGTGGAGTGGGGGTAAACAGCTAGCTGTGTCAAACTGAATTATATTTATGACAGTTAAAGGTCAATAAAAGTGCTTAGAATCAAACACTTGTGAAACCACAGCTTCTCATTTTAACGTTTCTGTTTGTTTGTGAGGTAAAAAAAAGGTGCTAATTAGTGATCTTAAGAGGTGCTGGTAGGCAGATTTTGATGATTATCTTTACTTATGGGCAGTGCGAGGCTAGTTTACCCCACTAAGCTAAGTGACTAACTGACTTATGGCTGTAACGTATGACAAATGTATTAATAATGATTTAATAACAAACACTTACAAAAATGTGTCATTCTTTACTCTGAATGTCTTCCTGCAGCACATCGGATACAGATCATTACCTCAGGACACAGATGCGGTCAACAGGTGTCCTCCGGTGCTCCCACTTCTTGTTGATGCGCTAATTGACTCATAGAAAGTGCAGCCGAACCTCTATTAAGATCTGCACGCAGTGGAAGATAAATGCTTGTTTAATGCTCATAGCTGATGCAGATTTTTCTGCCGTGTTTGTGTGGCTCGTAAAGGTCTGCACAGCGAGTTGGGGACGGGTTCATTTATCTGTGTGGCCTCAGCACAAAGCCAAGAAATTAGGCGTTCTGAGCCATTGGAGCTTTGCTAATGTAAAACACAATATGCACATGCACGCCCAGCGTCAGATCGGCAATGCATCCACGTATTTCTCAGCGGAAAGCCGTGATAAAGATGAATTAATCTCAACATTAATCCGGCGGCAGCGAGTCAAGTCCCATCACATCGCGCTCTTGAACAGGAATCAGAGGAGATCAGGTCGGTCCTACAGGGGAAAACACATCTGGATCTTGGCACAGGGGGACAGAATCATAGTTTCTTGCAATTAGAAAAGAAAAAAATGCTACAGTGTATTTCAATGTAATACAATGTTAATAACACAGCAGTGGTTTTGAGGGGAAGAAACATAATCTGAGAATAGTCTGGACGCTGTGCAGCTCTAATTTGTGTTAGAGGGGCTGCTTAGTACCGATTTTATACAGTACGACACTGAATACAACGTTAAAAGTGACCTAATTTTGCATCAATGGATTACTGTGTTACTGCTACCTCTTATGTTTATGTTATGGGTTATAAATCGAAAATATAATCTTTTCAGCTTTTGTTACTGATCATCATTTGCAGTTTTGAATCTACGATCTTCCATCCTACAATTTGTATTTTATATTGACTGTTTTAATCACATTGTAAAGCACTTTGTCTGTAAAAGCGCTGTATAAATACTTTTTACTTACTTACAGTCTCCAACAAAATTACATTCCCATACAACTCAAGTTCATTCTCAGTTATGTTCCAATGGAAATGCATTTTTGAAAAACTTAAAGGAACTGTGTTTAGAAATTCGGGGGATTCATTGCCAGAAATGGAATATAACGAGGCTTAAGCGGAGGTTCAGCCAGGAAGACACGCGGAAACAGTCCTGTTCATTCATCAGGGTTCCACATCTGTCCCTGGGATTCCTCCATCAGCTCAATGGGACTGTGCCCATTAAATGAACCATCCATCGGGTTGGCACTGTTACGTAAACCAATCCTATCGTCGCTGTCACACCTAAAAAACTGTTCTTTCTCTGTTGTAGCCGGTTGTCGTTTCAGCGTTTACCAGACGCAACACACTCCTCCACTCCAGACATCTCCGCAACTGCTGCAAATTTTTAATTATGATGAGTCTGTGCTCGAGCTCCCAGTCCTCGTTCACGCTTCCATTACACGCAAAGCATTTACCACAGCACATGACCCCAGCCACCAGCTTCACTGGGAGAAAAAAGAACACAACAATAAGAGCCTCTGCTACCACTGATATAAATATCTATATATTTATATATACTGTGCATCCGGAAAGTATTCACAACGCTTCACTTTTTCCACATTTTGTTATGTTACGGCCTTATTCCAAAATGGATTAAATTCATTATTTTCCTCAACATTCTACACACAACAACCCATAATGACAAAGTGAAAACTGTTTTTTGCAAATTTTTGCAATTCTGTTAAAAATAAAGAACGAAAACATCATATGTACATGTATCCGCCCCTCCCTCCCTTCGTAGCCACAGAATATCTTGTACAATAGAAATAGTGGAGTATCCCTTTATAGTAATCTGTATTATAAATTCACTCTTAAAATGTTTCTCATTAAAAGACACAAACTGTTTTTTTTTGGTCTGGGACTGACTGTGGTGAAGTAGATAGATGAATATTACCTATAAGGACAGGAAGCCAAAAATGATATTTCTTCTCTTCCCCTATGAGCTCATGTCATTTCCATGACTAGTTTCTCTCATCTGCACTATAATTATCACAGGAAGTGACAATCCGCTGCAGCAGCTTTGTGTTATTCTTTTACATCTCTTTACCGTTAGTGACACTGTTGTTTTCACATCACAGTTTTGAGGCAACTTCTTCAAAGAAATACTTTTTTTCAGAAGTAGTCTTTTCATGGACTACTTGAGTGTGACTTTTCATAAAATGTACCGATACGACATTGTTTTGAGCTATTTTTACTCTAACTTTATGTACTGCTGGCAGATTGAGTAATGACATTCCCTCGTATTTTTAAGTCAACCTGTTTCCAAAGTAACTAATAACTATAATGGGTCAAATACCAAAGTAAAAAGTACAGACTTGTCCTCTGAAAGGTTGGTTGAAATGTGTAGCAGACGCATCAAGCTCTGCATTATGGCTTCAGTTTTAAATGTCGCAATAAATCCTGACAAGGAGCAGCATACAGCATGCCAGCGCCAGAGGACTGGATAACTATTTTCATCAATAACAACGGTAATAAAACGGATGTATTGATTTATCTCAAAAAGATCAGAAGAGCCAGCTTGATAGGGACTACATTGCATAACTTCCTGTTAGGGACCCGGTTTTATTAACAGTTTTTCCCCCCAGTCTGTGCTTTTGTTTTTGCTTGTTTTGTTTCTTCCTATAGTTTCCACCTGTGTGTTCCGCCTCCGGCCCCACCCCTCTCCCACGTGCCCAGCTGTGGCTCATTCCGGGGATCACTGGTGACGAGTATAAAGGCTCCTGCTGTCAGAGGCTCGTCGTCAGTCCGTCCCAGTACCCAGGCTGGTCTCAGGTGCCGTAGATACTAAGATTCAGCAGCTAGACCAGTTGATTCATGTTTTTGGTTTGTTTTGGTGTCAGACCCACGGAGTACCTCGGAGTGCACGTAACCTGCCTTTTTTTCGAGTTGGACTGTGAATCTGGTGTCGGGCCTCGGGTATCCACACCAGACCCTGTTTGAGCCACCCCAGACCGCCAGACGTCGGTGGAGTTTCCCTCCCGACTCCAGTTGAGTCGCCTTTCTGTTTCCCGTGTTCCCCTTGTTTGTTTTTCGTGAGAAAATAAAACTAATTTTGGCTGAAGATCCAAGACTGCCGTGCGTGTGCTTTTGGGCCCACCAAATTCACCTCACCCCCCACCCTAACACTTCCCTCTGCAGGTACAACAGTGACACTGTCAAATAATAAAACAGCAACTGCACGCTTTGAGGACATTAAGTATAAGAGGTAAAGGAGATATCCTTTATACACAATCAGAGACTCAGCCCTCATAATTCTGTCCAGTTCTTGTACTGATTAGGTCATTGTTTAGCAATAAGCGAAAAGGTACTGTATATAGATATAGTGATTTGTGCAGAGGGAACACAGGACACTTTTATTGTGCATGACCTTTATTATCTACTATAGATTTGCTGTAGCATTTAGCGCACTGGGAGGTGGACGAAAATAAACAAAACAAGCTATCAATGTGTTATGAAAAATATAAGGACATATTTATTGCAAGTGCTATTTGGCCTATAACACTGCCATCATAAGAGATTGGTTACATGAAACAGAAAGGTAAGGGAAACATAATACATGTATTTTCATTCTTATACTTTTTAAAGTGAAAAAAATGAAATAGCATTCAAATTGAATTGGCACCGTGCGGAAGACTAAAATGGAAAAAAACAAAATATTCTTTCATACTACACATATTCTGTGTGTATTAAAGCATACATACTTATACAATAGGTATGTATGCTTAACGCATACATATCGTTAAGCAGACTTTGCAAACCAGCAGCTTAAACTGTCCATCTGCACTTCCTTTTAGGCGGTACGGAAGATCGGCATCAAAGCACTGAGTGAAACATGGTGCACTCACTCTTGTATTCATCTTATTGCTGCCCAAGGGAAGTAGAAAGGAGACTGTGACCAGGTGAACCCCGCACGGGGCTCCAGTGTACAGATACAGTCTTAATTCTACTTAAAGGTACTGAAGGTATCAGAGATTAGCAATGCTAGCAGGAAAGGCAGTGTTTGAGCAGTTATCCATTGCGTTTACTCAATAGCCGCGTCAGCCACCTGAATACATGTCTAGGTTACATACTACATAACTATGGCTGAGAAAACTGGTGGGAATAACACAAACCAAATTAAAATAAGGGGGGGATCAGAAAGAAACTCTTTGATGAGTAGATATCTTCAGAAATCCAATCAAAAGGCTCTATGTTCCTTTAGTGTTTATGGGTCTTTAGTTTTAATGTCAGTGTATATAATTAAACCTATTTGTATACAGAGCATTCATTTAAGATGCAATATAAATCTATAAGAAGCATCCGTTTTTCTTTAAAAATAAATAATACAAACAACACAAAATGTATATTTGTTTGGCCATTAATTGTTTAAACAAATACGTCTCAGTACATCTTATTTACAAGGAAGACCTGATCAACCCAACAAATTAAAAACTTGCCATTTGAATAGATAATTAACACTATGTTCTACTGTATTCGTTTAGAACGTCTCTCAACTGTTCTGATTTCTTTCCTCTTTTGGTAGCATTGTGAAACAATGGTGTTCAAGGTACAGTGGTGAAAATGTTTTTTTAAAGAATAGCCTAATGCTCAACCAAAGGTTGATTTCAAAATAATATGGAATTAAATCATCAACCATCGATCCACAGTGATTCACAAATGATGTAAGAAAGGTTGTTTGAGTGGATCCCGCATGTGAAAGTGAACGTTCACGGACTCAGCAGACCCACAGCCATGGGAAGTGACATGACCAGAGACAAAAACCACGGCGTTGATTCAAACAACACACTGATTGCCGAGCAGATGGGAAGAATCCCTGCAACAGAGCACAATTTAACTTTAGACATTGTTTCGCTTGAAGTCTGGAGGAAAAATCCAAGGGCCGAGTTACCCCGAAGGATCCAAACTGCACTCACTGTGATGGACCGCCATGCTGTTCTCCTTCCAGCTGCTGCCCTGGTAAACCCTGCAGGTGTAGGTGAAGGGCTTCTCATCAGCCAGCGGGGCCCAGGTGAGGCGGCACAGATTAGGAGCGACCAGGCTGACGTTGCTCCTCCTCCGGTCCTCTGTGGACACATAGACCACGGCGTTGGGGTAGGTGCTGCCCACCAGGCGGCTGTCCTGACGATACTCGCAGTAGGGGCCCGGGACCTGGTAGGTGGGTGGAAACTCACAGTCCACCCTGACGTTATGCTCCAGGTATGTTAGACACGGAAACATCTGGGGCCCGCGAGGAGCGAACAGAAACGTAGTCACAGAGTTCACTGAAAGAGACACAATGTTAAAATCACATGTGATTTTTTTTCAATGTGAAATCAAGGCATCAAAGTTTAAAAATGTTTCTGGCCTTGCTTTACTTTCTGTCTTTGTGTGTGATCATTGGAACCAGAATGATTGGTTCTCCCTGAGTCTAATCCGATTGAGTGTGTAGTCAGTGTCCTGTCCCTCTATCGGCCTCAGCCTTCTTTAGTAAAGTACTTTGTGTCCGTCCTCCTAATCTAGTTTACTTCAATCTGCTGGTCTGGTTTTCTACATTTGGGTCCTTTTTTTAAATAGACAGAAAGTTGCTCCTGTTGTTTAGCTATTTGTTTATGTGTCGTTCTCTAAGAAACTTTATTGACACTAACAGCACTGCTGCTGACACTGTCCCTTGCTGTTAATGCTGAACCATTAACAAAAAAAATTTAACCTATTCAACCTCTACATAAAACTAAAATCACCCGGATTGAACTATACTGAAATCTGTGGCAATAATGCATTGCACTTTTTCTGCAACAATCTTGGTATCAAATTCCCATTATCCTCCATAGGCCTTTATAAAGCCATCTAAAAATGAACGACGGCCTACGTCAAACTAACTTAGACTACAAAGACCCCGGCCTCGATTTAAAGATCTGACAAATACAAACATACAAAAAGAATGGCACATACTGTGAGTTTGATGCGTCATCGTCATCCTGCCAAAGAGGAGACAGGCCGTGGCGAACAGGTGAAGCTCCATGGCGGCTGGCGATGACATCAATAACCTTCACTCCACCTTATGGCCTGCAGAGAGTTCAACGTGGGACGACGGCATGAGAAAGTTGTAACATGCAGCCACAAGACGCTCAGCGCAACGCTTTGCGGACCCGCAAGCGAGCACGCAACCTCCCAGCGACGACAACTATGCGCGCGGCCGGCTGCAGCCGATGCGGCACTACGCCCACCCGTCTCCTCTCTGCAGCAAACAGCCTCCCCTCCCCGTGTGCTGAGTGCGCATACACACCGTGTCCTCACTGCGGGCGAAATAACCCGACGTCCCTGCGGACTACAGGATCCGGATGCGCGGCAAACCGAGGAGAAGATGCGCGTGCAATGACAATGTCTTCTTTTTTTTCTCCTAGCTAATGAGACAAGAGGGTCTTACCGGTTATGCGGTCCTTGTCCCGAGGTGGAGCTGCGCCGATGCGCCGCAGAGCATGGCGCGCCCCGCTCGGCTGAGGATGCTCGTATTGCTCTGTGTGGCTGACGTGGTCACTGAAACCTCCCGACATTCACATCTGCAGGGCGTTCTTAGAATACCAACCAACTCGTTTCTGCACAGCGTTGATCCAGGAGCGTTTTGTTTATTTTAGACTTTAATTCCATAGTCGTGAGGGAGCACGGTGACGTTGTTAGTTCGTGATGCGTGACTCTTGTTAAAGAGGAAGAGTGTTTGGAGTTCCTGCGTTAAAAAGTAGATGAACTGGAACTTTAGGCACAATGGAAGTGCATTTAGATTTCATTGCATTATGGTTTTGGGGGGAGCTGTGTCGTATCTTACTGCAGAAGAGTTCCCTCTGCAGGACAATCATTGGAACGCCACCAGACACATGACAAAGCCTATTGTGGGCACATCTAGTTTTTAAAATGGTAAATGAGTGGAGAACATCAAAGCCAAATAAAGCTTTAGCATTCCTAGCTTTAGAGTTTACTTAATGTTCATAGAAACTAATTTGCCCCAATGTTTACTTTTGTGAGGGTTTCAACATTACCGACTCGATTCTTGCTCATACAAATAACTGACTTAGTCGTTTGTTTCAGCGATTGCATGCATGCACAAATTAATTGCAGGTAAGATGTAATATCTGCTTGAGCACCATAAGGGGTTTCTCTGTCAAATGTGATTGCATTTCAGAGAGCTGCAATAACCTGCAATGTGCAACATGGGACATTATTAGAAAGTATGACAAACAGCCCTAGAACACCATGATGAAAGCAGGTAAGACACAAGACATTATATATAGTATATATTTATACTCTATATGAATCTATATACGCAAAGTGGGTTCAATAATAGCAGGCCTGCGGGTGCTGTTCCGCCTGCAGCCCGATGCAGGCTGCAGATGAGACTACAGCCACGCTGAGTTTTTACACTGTGTACTGGCTTAGTCAGAATTATAACTATAGTTATATCATAGTTATGGCTAAAGCTATTGGAAGAGAACAAAAACGTTTTACATTGAAATATCCAAATATACATTGATCACCAATATCCAACATAGTTCAGCACTGTTTTAACGTTTGTATCGGTGTATATACTTAAAACTTAAGCATATATATTCATATCAATATTCAGTGCATGTATTAAGGATGAATTAATAGGATGGTATTACTATTCAAAAAGATTATATTGTTGCTTATGAGTCAAAATTGATGCATTTTCTTTTGAAACGGGCCTGCAGAGTTTAAAACATAGAATACACAATAGACAGCTTCATAATCAAAACACAAGTACATTTTTAATGTAATTTTGATCAGTTGATCTCCATGCAAATATGGAGGAACATGAAAAAACCATCCATTCATCCATCGTCAAACCGCTTATCCTGCACACAGGATCGCGGGGGCTGTAGTTCATCCCAGCCAACTTCGGGTGATAGACAGGTTACATCCTGGATTGGTCACCAGCCAATCGCAGGGCTACACAGAGACGCACAACCATTCACAGACAAGGGGAGAACATGCAGACTCCACACAGAAAGGCCACTGGTCGGAACGGAACCCGGGACCTTCTTGCTGTGAAGCGACAGTGCTAACCACCACGCCACCGTGCCGCCCACATGAAAAATCAATGAAATAATGTACTGCTCACCTCTGTGCACCCTATCGTCTGTGGTCCAGACCATCAAAGTTTCTTTAAACATCGCAGGAAGCAAAGTCTGCTGCAGCACAAGGCTTCAGGGTGAACAATATGTTCGTTGCCCAACCTTTGTATGTTTGTATGCAGAAGTACAGTTTTCAATCAACCCTCGGTTTGATTGTACAATGGCGGATTGATAGTAATGTACTATAGTGTCCGTACATCATTGATGAAGCTCTGCGTTATATCTGCAGTGTATCAACAGCAGAGTCAGCAGTGGAGCAGCAGAGATCAGAGCTACAAAATCTTTAATGAATACTTTTAGAAGGGATCACTACACCGACTCTATGTACACCTGACAGTGGAAAAGGAACAGGCAAAATTGTAAGAAGAAAAGCTAGTGTCTATTAAATAGAGTACAGTGCAAAGGACACATATCCGCTGCTTGTATTGCTGGCTGTGGACTGTGTCTTTCAGAGACCTCTGCAAGGTTTCTGTCAGTGTCCTGGGAGACTGCTTCAGCACAGCGGTGGTTCAGCAACCGTCCCAAGAAGGACCTTGACAAAATGGATGAGCGGTGTGAAGAGGATGGGCTGCGGTGGAAAGAGAGGATACAGAGGAAGCAGTGGGCTGAGATCAGTGCATTTGAGTCGATGAATTTCTCTTCCTTGTTTTGCAACACTAACCAAAATTACATCATCACGTAGATAGACAATGTTCCACGCTGTATAGACAGATCTATGTAGCCATTGTTGTGTAGCTGCAGGCATGGAGTCAGAGTCACACCACAATCTGAAACATCTCCACAGATATTTAAAGAACTTTAGAGAGGAATGATCATGAGTGCTGTGGACTCTAGTGTGTGATTTTGAGGGAAATGTCCTCAAAACTGTTTGTCGAAAAATTTGGTACTTACATCAACCTTAAACTGATTGGATTCTCGGGGCCAAAGGTGAAAGGTCAAGGTCACTGTGACCTCACAACCGCCTCATTCTTGTGATGTCGAGGAAGTCCTTGAATTCATTTTTGTCTTGTGATTTAGCACAACCCTCTACTTGGAATGGACAAAGGTTCATGTGCTATTTAAAAGACTTTCAACATTCTGGCCCTTTGATTCTTTTGTTTTAATATTAATATACTAAAAGTAACACTCAAAATCATGCTGTGTAGCTGTGTGCTATTTTGTTGTCCCCTATGGTGTGTTTTATATGTTATGCCAATATAAATGTAGTATACATCTGCAATTGGTTAAGATTTATTATCCACATATTTGTGTTTAATATGTAAACATTTTAACATAGCGGAGAAACTGCTGCCAAGTATTGTCCTCGCCCACAGCTGCTGAGGTGCCTCAGTCGATCAAACCACATTTCCCTTTTCTTTGTAAATCCTGAATTGAATCTCTCAATATGAGGCCAGAGGTTTGCGTATGTACATGTGATCTTCTGTCCTGTGGCACAACAAAGGATGAACATCAATCAAACTCCTTTACAATACGGATGAATGTCCCCAAAGTCCACTACAGAGCAGCGTCTCCCCTCGCTCCCCCTCCCTCCTCTCCTTGCTCCTCGTTCTCTCTGTCCCACTCCCCTCCCTCTTTCTTCTTTCTTTCTATAAGCCGACCTCTACTGTATCTACCCCTGGCATCTCACTGCAGAACACTGAGGAAAGCTCAAACTGCATCAGACAAGGTGAGAATGATTCATGCACTGTTATTTATTGTGTCCGAGCTGTGGTATAACATTGAACTGTGCTATGCACAATGCTTTTCTTTTAGTCTGCATGAGATATTGGGTTTAACACTGTAGTTAGCACGAAAGCAAGTATTGGAATGAAGGCGTGAGTAGCTTTGCATCGAGCAAAGAAAATAGAGCAGAACGGCTTTATGTTTTTTTATGGACATATTAAAGACAAGCAGGCAAACGATTAGCGCGTTCACTCGACAATGGTATGCACGGAAATGTGCCACTGTTGGCAACTAACCAGGGAACTTTGCACTTCATCTTTTTGCGGCGTAAAAACAATGTGTTCACTATCATGCTCCAGCAACTTCTGTCCAGTAACCTCTGCACAAGTGTGGTACTAATGTCTGAAATCCAACCCTGCTCGGTACAGCAAAGTCAGCCTTATTTGAACCTCAATAATGTAAAGCTGTGACAGCTAAATAAATGGTGTAGCTGTTTGGGTTCAGATGTCTAGTAATTACATGGTGTTAGTGTGCTTTGTTTTATTCAATATGTACTTTTTTCAGGAAACCTGGCAGAATGTTCTTCCTTGCGACAGTTTTACTTTTTGGTAAGATTATTTATAGTTAACATTTTAGAAATAAAGGACTTTTTTCTGAGTTTCTATCTTATTACGTTGAGTGATTTTTCTCATTTGAGCTGGTTTCTTTCATGGGTTTGTCAAATATCTGTTCCTCTCTCTGCGTTATACTGTTACACAGGCTTTGCATCAGCGCAGAAGGTGATTCAGTTGACCTACTGCTCATTAGACGAGCACAACCTCAGGATGGATTGCAAATATGCGGTTCCCCCTGAGTCACCGGTACCGTTTTGCAAGTATACAAACGGGGAGCGGCTCTTTGACACCACCGACCCGGACGAGGAGCAGCACGCCCCCTTCAAGAAGCGCGCCAGAGTCCGCATCTTCCCCGGCAACATCTGCCGCCTGCTGTTTAAAAACCTGCCCAATGGCAAGTCCAACTTCACCTGCAACATCAAACTAGCCGACTCAGGCACGGCGTCTAAAACTTCAGTGGTTGAGAAAAGTAAGCTGCTCGGCTCATGGTCATCCTGGTTTTGTTTTTTCCATTTGAGTGAATGCCAAAACAAAATGCTCCTCCTCCTGAACCTGCATGATTTTTTTCTGATTGCAGAGCTCCTCCTCCCGTGCTCAGGGTGGAGTGTCCTATTACAGAGCTGCAGTGGCCTAATGCTGACCTTGATGACACTTCCCATGCTGCTGGAATTTCACTGGCTGTGAACAAGGCGCCAAACTGCTGCATACGTTAACACTGCACCCCATAGTCATCTGGTGACGGCTGTTAGACTACCCTGAAATGAATACAACATGTATTTGGTATTTCACAAGGCTGCTAACATCAAGCACTCAATAAGAAGCACACGTTTTACTGCACACACTTTATACTCGACAGTACAAAAGCATGAATGTGAATTAGTCATATGCTAAAAGTCAATATTCTGTATCATTCAATAATTATGTTGAGTTATTTTTTGCGGTTTCATTCAATGTAATGAAAGATAATCAGCCTTGATAACAAGAAAGGGGCAACTGTCTGTGCAGGAGCAAAGAATAAGAGACACTAGGGACAGACGAAAGCTGCTTAATCCTCGAGCAATTACAATTTTCTCAGCTCAAAAAGGATGCAACGTCGAGCTCCGCAGAGTGACAAACATTACTGTATCAGATCAGATCTCTCTGAGGTAAGCAATCTATTTCGCCTGACTGAAATCTGTCCCCTGTGTCTTCTTCTTGGCTGCCTAACGATAAAGGGGAAGAGGGAGGCGACCTCCTGCCACCGTGGAGGATTGCGTTGAATTAGTCGACAGGATCTGGCTAGCGAACGAGACATGGCTTTGATCGGATAGCAAACTTTAACTACTAATGGATGCATGAGCAATAAAGTCCCCGTTCTACTGTATTCTGAGGAGAGAATGTATAAAAGTTCCTCAATTATGTGACGAAGAAGAAACAATACACAAGCTTGGTTTTTACTTTGCCTTTGACACGTGCCTCAAACCCTCGATGCATGTTCAGTGGAGGCTTGTTGTCATGCATATGCAGTAGGTTTCCGAGCGCTAAACATTTGGTCAACCAACAGTTATATTTTGTAGGATATTAGAAACAAATATACGACCCGGTTCATAGAATTAATAAAATGCATATAGTGTACACCAGAATACAGCCATGATTCTGAAACTGTGCAATCAATAAAGTAATGACAATATTGTAAAACCACTGTAATTCTGCAACTGTAATAGAATAATACCAATGTACAGTTATGATTGTATTTGATGTAATGTAATCAACTGGAATGCATGCATGTAATACTTGAACAACAACTGATATTGACTAAGGGCCATTCGAAATCCGAGTTACATTGAACTCACCAGAAGACCACTCCCAGAGGTGTGGACACTAACTTTCACACCTTTAAGCATTGTTATAAATACCAGTAGGAACCATTGTTCTCGAGTTCGCTGGTGGAGGCGACAAACGGGCACTAGGGATGGTCAAAGGACTGACCTGGGGCCTGTTGGTTGCTGAGACCAGCGGCTCCTCAGCTGAGATGTTCTTTTTACCACAACGCCATCTCTTTTATTAAATACATTTGATTTAACCTTTTGATCTGCAATGACCTCTGTCCGGCGTTTCTTCATTTTCGAATATAACAATTTATACATGGATACAGAATACGCTTTCTATTATGCAAGGTTTTCTCTGATAATGTAAATGATTTTTACTTGTATGTATACACTGTAGTCAAATAGGTGGTGTGTAGGCAAAGCACAATCATTCAGAGGCACTGCTGTACTGTGTACCGTAGAATGACAATAAAATGAATTTCAAACTTAATGGCATCCAATGAGAATAATGCTCATCAAAAGCAACTGACTTCTGACTACTACTAATAATGTATTTTCAATGATAATTAAATGGATCATTAATTTTCATTTCATTTTCATCGAGGGTTGTAAATGACTGTCAAAATAATTTCATGAAAGAGTGTATTATTTTGCTGTGCAAAATCAGCAAAATTATACTTAAATAAAATAAATGAGAAACAAAAAAGTAAACCGTGGTAGCTCTAAGACTGATAACTGAGGACTGCCATAGACTTGCCATTGTTGCCGTGTTTTAACGTACTTATCTGTTTATATTGTTTATTGTTGTCTGCATATTTTTATCTTATTTTATTGTTGCATTGCACCAAGCCAGATTCCTCCGTCTGTAACATATAAATGGCCTCTGATTCAGATTCTGATATGATTGCGTGCCAGGATCTCGGCCTTGCTGCCCATTTGGCCACCAGAGTGCTACAATGAGCTATAAACATTCCTGATGGGTTGAGGAGGCCTCGCAGTTGATGTTCCAGTCCATCCCAAATATGGAAACATTTTGAAAAACGTGGTTGGATTAACACTGGCAGAGTCAAGAGATGGAGACTGAGTTTCTTTTTGCGTGCCGAGGAGTGAACGGAAGTGAACTGAAAAATGTTCACACAGTCAGGTTTCTGTTCCCTCTTTGGTTAACCCTGTATGGTACAAATCAAAGGCTGCGTGCAGACATACGCCAGACTGCTGCTGCTCATCCAGTGCAGTGAATTCAATAACTAGTGTAACGGTTACTCTAATAATATACTGCTGTTTAGGCGTTCCAGACAACTGAACACAAGACTTTACTTCAACAGAATTACAACACAGGTAAATACAAACCCAGTGTGCAGTATTGTGAGACGTTCCCACGATGGAAAACATGTCTTTTCAGCACAGCGTCCATCTGACTAATCATGGAACATACATAACAGAGGTCAAAGACGGACAACCGAGGGACATTAAAACACACAGACATGTTTATTCTGTGCAGGGTTCAGCGACCTGCACCCAACACCACGCGCGTGTAGATCGGGAACCGGTTTCTCTCCGTGTGAAGAGGCCTTGTCGCTTGGCTCTGGTCGAACCTGTTTGTCCACTCTGACGTCATACAAGGCCCCCGTGAGGATCCTGTTACCCGGTGTTACACCCCTACTGGTTTTTCCACCTACTGGTTTCCCTACGCGTGCGTGTTTGTGTTCACTCCACAGCTGCAGATGTGTCCGCCTCAGTTCCCTGATTCGTCACACATTCACAAACATATTGCTGAAAATCTTCAAAACGCATCACAAATCCATTGCAGCCTTTACGATTGTATAAGTGAGCACCACATCACAGCCACGTATAAAAATATTTACATGAAAAAATATATTAAAGGAAAGATCGGCAGAACCTGGATTCGAACCCGGGGGATCAAAACGTCAAAATATTAACCTGGTGGCTGCTCTTAGCAGTGCGCCACGGAGACTCACAGCAATTTATTGACCCTTTGTATAATTTATTCATTTCAGACGTAGATCAGCATGGAGGAAACCTTTTGGTGTCGTGGATTTAAAACAACTGGTTACCTTGGGCGTGTCTTGGAACACTTCAGGACATGTGCAACGCTGCTTCTTCACGAGGCTGCAGCCTTGCAGCGACACATTTTGATAAAGAAAGGATATTGTTTTCTTACGGCCATCGCGTGAGGTAAACCACAGACACGAACAAAACAAAGTTTAGAAAATATATTATAAGATCAAACCGACCAGGTTGCGAACCCATGCAACAAAATGCAGATACATCACACTGTTGGTCGTGCTGTGCGCTGCGCCACAAGGCAGTACACAGGTTTGGGTCTTAATATATTAATGAAAGGTGACTGACATGGAGGAAACCTTCTGGTGTCGTGGATCTGAAACAACTGGTTACCTTGGGCGTGTCTTGGAACACATCCAAAGTAATGTATCGATTCTTAATTGTCACCCAATTAAAGTTAACAGGCAGCATCCCTTATAAATGCGCCACGAGGTCGTACATACGATCTTTCCGAACAAGAGATGGACCCACAAAAAGTGAAGGAATTGTGAAGAGTGAGATTGTACACATGCAAAACTTCTATTAGGAATCAAATACCTTATAAAGTTCCCAAAAGGAAATTTTATTAAATAATTGTGTTTTAACAGTCACAATAAATAAATCATTGAAAAACAAAATAAAGTAAAGAAAGCATGCTGGACAGCAGAAGTCCTGCTCCAAAGGTGGTTTCCCAGTGCAAACCCAGTGGAACCACAGATGGATGTCACGGAAGACACGCCCAAGGTAACCAGTTGTTTTAGGGGCCCTCCACCAAGAGGTTTCCTCCATGTCAATCAGCTTCCATTAATATATTAAGACCCAACCCTGCGTAATGCCCCGTGGCGCAGCGCACAGAGTGAGCAGCATTGTGATGCGTTTGCATTTTGCTGCATGGGTTCGCAACCTGGACGGTTCGATCTTTTAACATATTTTCCAAACTTTGTTTTGTTCGTGTCTGTGGTTTACCTCACGCGATGGCCGTAAGAAAACAATATCCTTTTTTTTAATCAAAATGTGTCGCTGCAAGGCTGCAGCCTTGTGAAGAAGTAGCGTTGCACATGTCCTGAAGTGTTCCAAGACACGCCCAAGGTAACCAGTTGTTTTAAATCCACGACACCAAAAGGTTTCCTCCATGCTGATCTACGTCAACAAAATGAATAAATTATACAAAGGGTCAATAAATTGCTGTGAGTCTCCGTGGCGCACTGCTAAGAGCAGCCACCTGGTTAATATTTTGACGTTTTGATCCCCCGGGTTCGAATCCAGGTTGTGCAGATCGCGTAGGGAAACCAGTAGATGGAAAAACCAGTAGGGGTGTAACACCGGAAGTCACCGGGCTCGTTTACCTGGGCGGCTCCTCAGGTGAGCTCACACGGCTTTTACGGACAGAAACGTCGACACGGGGAACTAATTGTTGTGGAGCTATAACCGCGGCTCCCTGTTGTATATATTCGACGCAAGTAACTCAGGAATATCTGTGGCTTTTCCCCCCAGGAGTAAAGCTGAGAAGCGGCGTCTTCGTGTAGCAGGAACACATAAAAAAGAAAGGACTAAACTGGTGAAAATGCTCGTCGCCTGGTTGGTTTCGGTGCCTTTGTTCTTTTTCGCAGCGACGGGTGAGTGATTTCGGAGGTATTTTCTTTTTAAAAGTATAGAAAAAGTCCACGCTCGAGAGTATTTCCTGTAACCCCGTTAAGCTGAACGACCGCAGCAGCAGGTGTGTTGTTTCCAGCTGCCTCACCTGCTAATCAACCTTTTAAATGTAGCTCGGCAAAACACAACGTCGAACCTGTTCTTCTCAGCTCGGCACCACAATGCGGAGAGGACGTCCGTGGCCGTGAAATGGGATTATCTTTTGAAGTATACATTTTACCCGGCGTTTTGTTGTTTTATTGGTATAATGTATGTTTTAAAACGTAAGTACTGCAACGGAGCAGACCGTGGAGGCCTCAGTGGAGTTAAGAATGCTCTACAAATACAACACGTTCTTCCACAGTCCTCTTCCTGTAATTGAAGGCCTTTTACAAATACAGGCCACGGATCATAGAATAAGATATTTTAACTATAACTTACTAAGAAGTATTCACGGTTTTGGCTTTATACGCACTTGTTAGTGCAGTTGCTCTGTACATTTGTGTCTAAATTAATCGTATACTCGCACTTGATTTGTAAGATATTTAGTGTCCCCAAATTAAACTGCCACTCATTATATGATCAGGGTATTTACAATTTTATTTCTTGGACTATTATTTTCCAGTGAGTAACCTCAAAACAAGTCCTTGTCATTGATAACAATGCATTTTTTTACAGTGTCAGGTTCCCATGAACACCATGGAATCTTCAACATAGGGTTAGACTCTATTTAACAACTAACATTTGCATTAGTGAATGACATCACAGGCCTCTTGTGGATGAGGCAGATTAGTTAACAGGCCTTTGGAGCATTCCTTCCATCACTCGATCATCTAATTGTGGGACTGAGCAGAGCGATTTGCTCTTGTGCTTAAATTCAGTTCTGAACCTGAAACTCCCAAAGTATGCAAACAAAGAAGTCGTGGAGTGCTCTGGTTTCGTTTTACACTGGCGGCTTATCTCAAAACCAAAACATGAGTGCGTTGCCTAATCTCAGGTGAGACTCCCTTAAGGAAGTCTGAATGTCATTTAAGTAGAGACAATATTATGTAATGCAATGTGTCTTAACAGACAGACAATTCTTGCTGTTTGTATATTTTGATCTAGTAAATTTGGGTGACGTGTGCAATGAATGACTTTGCACAGTTAATGATTAACTGGCTCTCGGTTTGTTCCTTGTCATTAAAGCTTCTCTGTACAGCACAGGCTGGTCAGACAACACTGTGGTAGTTGTGTAACTCCCAACACTTTACACAATAATTTCAGTGTGGTGGGACGTACAGCTTTGCCATAGATAGAAGTATAATATGATGGTGTGTCTGCGAGCATTAATAACTTAGTCTATGGTGTCTCCGTGGTAACAGCGCTACTGTGACTGAAATGAAATGCAGTTTCTGCCTGATCGGTGAGTTTCACCGGAAGTTTAATGGCTCAGCGGACAGGAATTAGACCTCCTTTTTTTATTTTTGGCCACACCTTGATGACAATCAATGTCATTCTGTTGTCATCTTTTCATTTGTTGTGCAACCCCATTTGTTTACCCTTTTAAGAACAGTTATTTGGTGTAGGGCTGCTGCTCAGTGTCATTTTAAAATGTATGAATCTGCCGGTTATTCTGTCAATCAAGAAAAGCTTATAAAAAATCAAATTACTAAAATTCTGACATTTTTGGCGAATTGATTTATTCAAATTAATATTTTTTATCCAAACTTTCCAAAACTAAAATGATAATTGTTCATTCAGATATTTACACTGCCATCATTAAAGGATAAACATCTATTTATTGTTTAAGAGCTGGAACCAATACATCTTTTGATTATTGATTATCAAAACAGTTTAAAATCAAATTTCCAAATTTAATGGCCTTTTTTAAAAAAAAAATCAACATTACTACATTTTCTCCTAACAACCATCTTTTGACTCCTTCCGTGTAGTTGACAAGTGTACCCGACTCCACTTCTTCAAAGCAGGGCTCTTATGTTGGATGTAATTCTCTTAATGAGTGGATCTGATGCTGAACCGAATCGGCCTCAGTCTTGAAGTGTTCAGGCTTGTGAATGTTCCAGCTCAGACTGCTGATCCTCAATCGGCCTTAACTTCAAATGAGAGGGATCTAGGCCACAAACTGTTTTCAGTTTGCCTTCTCGCGCAATATACATTAGTCTTTCATTTAATATAATTTCATAATTGATTTCTCAATTTTCACGTCCACAAGAACCCTGTAGCTACAACTAGACTGTGTAATCCTGCCTCTCCACTCCAGAGAAGACCGCACAGTCACTGACCTAATCATATCCATCAAGACTAAAAGCAATAGAACCTCCACGAAGGAAGTGGCAGTTTAAACTGCACCCTTTTTTGTGGTGATAAACGTTGCTCTTGGAAGTCTTGGAGGCAACATTACACGTTAACTAATCGATATACGCTAATTGGGTTTGTATAGCCCAATATCTGTTTACCAATGAAAATTAGATGGATGTGTTGAAGTGACAGCATGTTATGCCACTCCAAATCATCAGGTGTTTTCTTGTGCTTTCTGTACGTCCAGGTGTAAGTGGCTTTACAGTCAACACCGACAATGCAAACGTGCGGGTGGAAGAGAATAAAGGTGAGTCGTGAAAATCCCAAAAGTTTTGAGCGTAAAGAAGCTGTTGTGTGCCATCTTTCTTTATATTTCACAGTACCGTCGCGGTACAGTCATGTCTTCATTCTGGATGCAACGTGGACTCTGTCATTTCAGGGGCTGACCTTACATGCTCGTATTCGGCCGACTTTGGTTCCAACCCCCGAGTTGAGTGGAAATTTAAGAACCTGAAAGGTTCCCAGATGTATGTGTTTTTTGACCAGCAGCTAACAAGTAAGTAGACGCACAATCTTTTGTGGCATCCTTTTGAGTGTTGAGAGGTTTTCATTTTTGCGCCGTAACTGAGGTGTAGAAGAAAAATAAACATTTCTCCTGGATTGCTTTGCTGGTCCACACAGTAGCCACGCAGGCACTGCCCAAGCATACAGATACATATTTTGAATGATTAAAAGAAAGAAAATGTTAGTTCTTGTGGCCAGTACTGTATTGCATAACACAATGTGGCAAACAACTCTGAAATGTGTGCCTGCAATGCTTTTGTCCGTCTATTCTTCAATGGTGCCGCTCCTCCACAGCGCCATACGCCGACCGGGTGACTATGTACGGCAGTAATCTGAGATTCTCCAGAGTAACCCGTGAGGATAATGGCGTGTACTCCTGCGAGGTGTCGGCAAACAGCCAGTTTGGGGAAGTCAAAGTGACGATGACCATTCTGGGTAAGGATCCTTTTGTGACGAACCAACACGTCTCTCCCATCTGCAACCTGCACACACCTAAAATATTAACTGTGTGAATGCTATGGAGGCTGTGTGGCGCTTCACACGCTGAAAACGTAATGTCCTGTCCCGCAGTGCCACCAGGCGAGCCCGTGGTCAGGGTCCCCAGCTCGGTGACCACGGGCCGGGCCGTCACGCTCACTTGCCACGACCCCGTCGGCTCGCCTCCGTCCAAGTACAACTGGTTCAAAGATGGCGTCCTCATGCCTTCTGATCCCAGCACAATTGCTGCCTTCAAAAACGCAACCTACAAGCTGAACACTGAAACAGGCACCCTGGTCCGCTGCAACCCATTACTGTGCACCATCTCTACTGAATCTAATTTTCAAAAATGTAATATTTATCCTGTCTCTCTTCAGGAGTTTCCCGCTGCTGTCAAGATGGACTCTGCTCAGTACAGTTGCGAGGCTTTCAACGGCGCTGGGCCTGCTCAGCGCTCGAAAGCCTTTGAATTGCTAGTCCGTAAGTACTGGTTTCCTTTACGAAAAAAACGCTTTAGGCTGAGCCTGCGATTCAAGATTCTTTGAGACGCAGCTTCATCCGCTGCAACATCAAGAATAGCAAACAGGTTTGACTGCAGTGATTGTGCCAATAGAAACCGCAATGCTCTTCATTATCGTGATACTTTTTGTTTTCACATTTCCAGTTGTCAGTTGAGCGTTGCAGCAGTTTGAGTTGCATTCATTTGTTTACGCTACATGCCATGGTTTTTGACTGTAATTCAAGTAATGAACTTCAACTTGTGACGTTTCCTTCTAGAGGACCTTAACACTGGAGGAATTGTCGCCGGGGTGATAGTGGCTCTGCTGCTCGTCGTCTTGCTGGTATTTGGAATTTGGTATGCCAAGAAGAAAGGCTATTTGCCCAGTGAGTAAAACCATCGTGTTCACTGTCATCGTCAATATTCTGATATTCAAAGTTGACATTACCGGAGACTATTTTGATGTTCTTTAACAATTCAGAGAAGCTGCTCACAGATATTGTTGGAAAAAGGTTTTATTGAGAAAGCAACATTTGGGTCGTTAACTCGCTATGAGAGAACTTCTTTATACTCCTGCTTAAGAGCTGAAATGGCTGGAATTTGAGTCCAATCACAAACTTTTTAATCACACCATCTACTGTTGATGCATACGTAAAATTACCCACGATATGTATCCCGAATATAATAAATACTAAATGGGCCATTACAAAATAATTAAGTGTTCCTAAGACACAACACAACAAAAAATTGCGGTTTTGTGAGTCAGTTGCTTTATATTTATATTTACCAAGTGCTTCATCCCTCTGACATTGTTTCCTTTCTTACCTTTACAGAAAAGGCCGAAAGGTGAGCGGATTTGAAATTTAAAAAATACTAGCAGATCATCTGTACAACATCTCATCAGTGAAACGCAGGTTTAACAAGTCTCTCTTATTGCCCCTGCAGCAAACCAAAGTCCAGCGTGGTCTACCAGCCGGCCTCCTCTGTGTATGGTGGTGGTGGTGGTGAGAATAACGATGTGAGTATGAGTGTTGGTGGTTGTTGTTTTTCCGGGTTGCTTTTAGTTGAAACTGAGCTGTAGAAACATGCGTTTGGTACTGATGTTGTCTTTTTGCTTCCAGGGGGAATTCAAGCAGACGTCATCGTTCGTGGTTTAGTCTTCATAAACTGCAGGAGATAAATGTCTCAGCGTGTGGACTTTTGTTTTTGCTCCCAAGTTGCAGTTTTTTTCTAGACCAGTGTGATTGTGGATCGGACCGGTTCTCTTTAGTGTCTCAGATGCATCAAGGCTATCCGATAAATGTACGACGTGCCGGTTATGAGACCTACTAGAGACTCCTTTTAGCCTCGGACGTGTTCCCATCTTTATTTTTGCAAAGTGTGTTTTTTTTCCTTCTGATTTTCTGTTCTTCCAAATGCTGCGGAACTTTTAAAATGATTCTGATAAGTTATTTGGAAGGAAAATGTACTCCTAAGTCCAACAAAGCTTGATAACTTTTTACCGCAAGATCCATTTACTGATCCATCACCTTAATCTAGGACTGTTCTTTTTATTAGTGACTCTGTCTGTAAGCTCAACTGTGAAAGGACGTTGTAAAGCGAATATGGAACATAGATTGAGTGTCTCTTTATAGGTGTTTTTCTTTTATAAAAAAACACTAAGTAATGTACACTTTTTTTTTTTATTTCTATTAAAGTTTCATGTTGTTTTTGTAAATACTGTTTTTACGCTTGCCCGAGTGGACATTTTATGTACACGCTTTCTGGTTGTTTTATTTATCCGGTAGTGTTTTCTGGATATAAGTTCAGTGTTTCCCCGGCTACCATTATAACAGGGCGCCCCACTCCCTGAAATGTAATATGAATGAATCTAATTATTATTATTTTTTTTAAATCTTCCCACGCACGGTTGTTCCGCCCCGACATGTGCGTGAATATCTCTGTATGCATGGCGGTGGTGCCAGCTGACCGCGGGGACAGACTTGACCCCTTGTAAACCTTGGGGGAACACTGAAGTTTGTAAACCTCAGAACCACATTGGCTAATACAATCTGTGTTTAACACAGTGATGGATGACAGATTAACTTTGGTGTGGCGAGTGAATGACGATGCACTAATGCATAAACATTTTTAAATGATTATGTTCAGAAGGCTGTGTGTGTAGCCTTCATCCACAAATAAGCAGGGTGTCTATTTAAGTGGTTTAATGAAGTCAGACATCAATCATGAGTTAATGTAATCTATGGGGTACAATATTTGACAACGGGGAAACACTTCTTCATTGCTTGACAATTCTTCTGCAATAAATAGAGCTGATGAATCAGCTGGTCATTGTCACTTTTCCTTATGTATTGGTTAATAAAATCTAAAACTGAGTCTGCTGTTGTGACAAGTAATGTCCAGCTGTGCTGAGTCACAGTTAAGCTACAGTATGAAATGTTTGCCTTTTTCAATTTTTCTTTTTGAGACAGTGTATCAAGTGACACTTTTACTAACAAAATCCTGCCTGGAAATTATACTTTGAAGTGTAATTGTAATTTGAAGAAGACTGATAGGATATTCTCAAAATAAAATAAGCAATGACAAACACACACCAATCGTTTATGTCCATATAGCATAAAGAGCACCATTATGATAACACGTTTATTTTACATCTTCCTTGCAAATTGCTAGAGGACCCGGTTAACCCAGTTAATATCAACTGTTACAGGCACCCAATTGCATTTTAACCCTTCCTCTACATAATGCTGTTTGAGACTGTACTTTACATGTCATTTAGCAGACGCTTTTATCCAAAGCGACTTACATTACACTTTAAACCCATGGCTTTTTTCACATTTTTGCCCGGGGAGCAATTAGGGGTTAGGTGTCTTGCTCAGGGACACTTCGACGGGCAGCCTGGAATCGAACCACCAACCTTGTGCTTCCCAGCACACCTTCTCTAACCCCTGCGCCACGACGACCCCGTACTTCTATATGACCAAGCAATGGTAAATGGACTGTACTTTTATAGTGCTTTTTCCGTAACACTGGCATTCATCATTGACACCCATTCATATGATGGCAAGACTAATGTTATCAATTAAGGTAAATTATGTATATATAATATTGTTTCAATCTATAAATTCAACTCCGAAAATTTCAAAATCAAATGTTATCAGTACAGTAATCGGGTGCAAGAATTCTTTTTGATACACAATTATTAGGTTTCCTTTTTGTCTTGTGCCCAGTTCATATGAAACTGAAAACAAAGATTGAACAGTTTGTCCCTACTAATAATGGGCAATTTTCATAATAAAATAACCACTCAATTGAATGGGCGAAAGATTTCGACATGTTTCCAAAGTTTGCCACCCATGAGTTGCTGTGGCAACTGAGGACGGCGTGCTGCTCGCTCTGATTTGCACTACGCATGCGCAAAGGATGACACCCACTTCCCCAGACAGGAAGTGAGACTTTTTCCACCGCCTAGCGTTACCTCCTCGACGCTTTTCATCTCACTGCCTGGTTAGTTTCGGCTCACGAGTTCAAAAACAATGATTCAAACCGAGAAAATGTCGATATTGCTCTCAGGTTAGCCCATATTCCGCGTGAAACAACTCACTTCCGGTTCTGTCACAAATCCGCGTCCTGCGTCTTTAACTAAAGGGGCCGCGCAGTAAGAGCTGCAACGTTTTAAAGGCTGATCATCCGCCCACTCGGAATCCATTCATAAATAACACACCGTGTGGGGAAGGAGGCTCGCGCAGCATCTGATCTCTTTTATCAATTCGCGTCGATCGCGTGCGCGTGTGCGGCGGCAGGAAGCGGAACATGTTCACCGCGGTCGGGGACCGTGAATCGGGGGCACGGCTGGGAGGGCAGAAGTGACTTCCCATGGCTGACCCCCCCCTGCTGATGGTTTTGACTTCATGTGCGACCGGTCAGGAGGCAGCTCGATCTAGCTGCGAGCGTTTCCTTCGGGAGGTTCGGCGTTGTGTACATACTTCTGCCTCACTCAAAGCCGCCCTCGTTTAAACAGTCTTGCGCTTCCATCCCTCTTCTTCTTCTTCTTCTTCTTTTTATTTTTTATTTTTGAATAAATGAAAACATACCCGAAGAGTCTGCGAGCCGCCCGACCGATGGAGCTGTGAGTTATGGCAGCTAAAGAGGAACTGTACGCCAAAGTGACGCCGCGGAGGCAGCGGCAGAGCCGGCCGAGCACCGTGAAACATGGGTCCACTCTGGACGTGCTGCTGTCCATGGGCTTCCCCAAGACCAGGGCGTGAGTACACAGCTGCACTGTCCCAACACACACACACATGCACACACATGCACGCACACGATGTGACACAATCGTATTGTAATGTGGTAGGACCGGGCTCCTCAGCAGCAGCAGCCCTGCTTGCATGTCTCTCTTCGTGTCTCTTCGGTGTCATAATAAGCATCTCTGTAGCAGAGGAGAGGAGACGTGTCTCATGGGGCCATGCATGTCAAATGACCCCATTAAAAAGTGATTGAAGTGAAGTAGTGTAACGCTGTGGGGGAATCCACAACCATGCATGCATGTATTGTATGTTCCGTCTACGACTCGATGTGTTTGAATGTTGTGCAGTAGGAACCATTTTAGAGAAGCATGAAAAGCTCTGAAAATACTCAAATAAACAGCAGTTCTACTTAATAATAAGTATGTAATACATTTGCTCCACTAATGATACTGTTCACACTTTCCACCACCAATGCAACGAAAACAGAGCATTGCTCAAAAAGGTGCGATGCCTTGTGCGTCCATATGGGTCCAAACGTTTCTTTTCTTTTTGGACATATCTCTACAAAGGAAACATATGAGACATGCTGAGTGTTTTCTGAGTCACACTTTTACTTTGCTAGCTCTCCGTATTTTTCAATGAAAACCCGATCCAGTGGGCATTCCTGCATCTTCGTCTTCTCATTCATCCGTGTGGCAAGTGTTGCCAGGAAACAAGCTCTGGTTCGTGAATGTAGTGTACGGATGATGTAATTGCATGGAAAATATGTCACCTTATGAACGTGTGCTGAAGCATTTGGTTTACACTGTGGTAGATTGTTTCCAATAATGTGTCTATTATCCATGCATATGACTGTAACCTGATCTTAGCCAATTTATATCCTGTAGCTGCACCTGTTTAGCACCAACCCCAATCCTTTTACACCTAAATCTCTGGCGCTGAAAGGATTTCAAATTCTTATAGAAGTTCTGCACGCCTCAGTTTTCATATGTCAGTCTCCTTCAAATGTATGAACTCTAATCACATGATCTACTATCATAATGTCCATTCTCATAGTTTGTGTTATCAGTGACACATTATATATATCTAGCCCGAGTGGCATCTCACACAAAAGCCTTTCTGTGAGTGCAGCATGCCGCAAAATTGTGCCCCATGTAACAAAAGAAGCTTCAATTTGAGCCTCGAGGCTCCGTGATTAACCACCAGATCTATTGCAGTGTTGAAAGTAAAAACCTAGTAAAAGTCCTCCAGCGTTATAAAATAAATAATTGTTGGCACTTTTTTTGGCTACGTAGCTCCAAAATGTATCTCCTGCAGAGCTGGCTATGGTCATCCTACCTCCATCGCTCCAGACTGCAGCTCTCTTTCTCCTCCTAACCAGACAATATGAGTGACTGTCGTTGGTTACATTTTCAGACTAACATCTATTACCGCTGACATCGTACACTACGATCAAAGTTATCAAATTAAAATGAAGCCGAATAATTCAGCGTCATCCTCTTTGAGTCCGTGGAAACACAAAAACCACAAGAGGACGTAAAGACGGAACCCCGTACAGAGGGCTACGTACGCGGCACAGGCCGGGCTACGCAATGTTCACGCACATCACCCTGACCTGTGTGCTGTTGTTTTTGGCTGGAGCTTATAGTAAAGTACTTATTACAGTAGTAATATACAGAATTGATTGGAGGATGTTTGAAAATTGTCCATATTTGCGTATCCACAGAGAGGCAGAGGCAGCAACTAGCTGGTGGTTGTAGTATTTGGAAGCTCAGAGAGCCTAAATGGGATTATGGGAGACTCACCAGGTGCAAAGAAACTCCAAATAAATGTATGTACGCAAGCTGTTGTGCAAGATTTCATATGGTTCTAATAAAGAATCCATATGATCAATGAATATGTAAACAAGGGTTGACTTGGCCGGACACTCTATGGCAACTCTCAGTACCTGACAGATTTTCATACTTCGTTCCACAAAATCTATTTCTGAATCCTCTCGCCGATTGTCCGGTGCTATTCTCTATTTCAGCCACCAAACCAGACACAATGCAGTGAAACTTTAAAAATCAGATTTGCATGTTTTGTTATCGGCCCCCTTCCCGAGAGGAGGAGGAGGAGGAGAAGGAGGAGGAGGAGGAGGAGAAGGAATAATAGATAAATCAGCTATCACTCATGACTCCAGGGAACAAGGGATTCATTTTGTTTGACGAGTTAGTTTAAACCGGTAGGGAGCATGAATCACACACACACACACACACACACACACACACACACACACACACACACAGAGAAGCAGCCCCTTTAATTAAATTCGGGGAATTTCTAGCTGAGTCATTCGGGAGCCGGATGGACAGTGATCTCTTTCCTCGTTCTGATCGTCACTGACGGTCAGAAGCAAGTTTGAGAGCTGGACAGAGAGTTTTAATGCTTTTGTTTTTCTTTCGTTTAGTTATAGAACGCTGGGATTGGGAAAGAAAGTAAAGAGAGACCTATTTTGGTTGGACGATGACTTGCTTTGGCCTTTTTCACTATCCTCCTTCCTCAAATACAAAACGCAGACCTGTAAAATAAAGCATTGCAGTTCAATCTGAAAATGCTGTAAATTCAATACACGTATCAAACCGTTTATTTGTTTTGACTTTTATGATGTTATACACCCTATTTAATGATTACTAATCAGATTTTCCCTTTGAATGTGTAAACTATCTTGCTATCTGACATCTCTTAAACTGCACTTGTGTAATGCGTACGTCCTTCTAGGGTTAAATATCTTTTTTTGTTATTATATGATATCCTTTTTTTTCCTTCATCACCCCCGACCTTCAAACGAGAAACGCGCAGTATGATGTCGTTACACGTCGATGCTCTGGGCGTCACGGAGTCACGCACCTTAAAAATGGCAAGCGACACTTGAAAGCCTGAAGAGCCCCTGTGCCGGTTGGCTGAACAAACAAACCCAAATTACAATTGTTGTATTTTTATACTTTTTTGCCTCGCTTCGATTTTAGACGAACGACGTGCTCAGCGGTTTTGAAAAGCGAGCTGATAACACCCCAATAAACCGCCAGTGTTTCCGCGGCTCCTCTGAGTCACCTGCAGCTTTGTAGAATACAAAGAAATACACACCCATTTAGTTCATATTTTGCAGGATACAGATTTGTGTATGATGATTTGTTTGGGCTTTGTTTCTTTTGTTATACAGAGGAATAACGTGCCAATTGTGAGCAAGGGAAACAGGAAGTCGATGACCAAAACGAAACAACCTCGACTAGAATGAGACCAAGGCCTTTTTTTTACTCAATGTGGTTATGATCGATCTCTAGATGAAGGCATACAACCAGAGACGTTTCTCGCTAGGCTGTGCGGCAATGTCGTGTGATGTTTTAGACCAATGAAATATGTTCTCACAGTGATGACTGTCTCTGGAAAATATAACCCCTATACTGGTGCTCACAGCAACAAGATGGCCCCTACGTGAGATATAAAGCTCTGACATTAATGTTGTTCAGGATCGGCTGTTTGAAGGGAAGAAACACAGGCTCCGCTACTTTAACCGTAACATTTGAAATTGCGGCTGGTTTTAGATTTATTTTATATGTCGGCATGTTGACATTTACCAAAAATATTATTTTATTTCATACTTTTAAAGCAGAAAATAATTAGGCAACACTAGCTGAAGCATAATGGCTTGTCTGTCGTGTTCGACTGATTATTGTAATTACACGCAGTAATTACACATTAATCTGTTATTTTGAAATTGAATTGAATTTGTTGGGTTATTTGAATTTCAGAACATTATAAAAAGAGCCCATTTTGACACTAGATGCTTTTACCCAACCAACACTCCAATTGACCCATTTCACCAAAAAAAAGCAGTAAATCCTCACATCAGAGGTGCGCTGATTTTATCTTCTGATGATTGAATAATTGACCCCAGACTGCACCAATGATGGGGTCCTGAGGGACTATACCTAAGGACTCTTACACAACTGTGCCTGAAAAGTCTTCAGTGGTTTCAAGTGGTTTTAGAGAAAGTTTCTGTGATGTTTACCCAGAATTTAATTTCTAGAAAACGAGATATATATTTTATTCAATACAACAGGTTATGGCAGAGATCACTCTCACTTTACGTTTCTGTACTGTGCTTATTACGCACAGATCGCCACTAATCTCTTTCATGCTTATTGTCGGTTTCGTCGTGCTTCTTGACTGAAGACTTCAAAGCCCCGGGGTTTACTGAGCTGCAACACATCTACCTTTGTCTGCGTTGAAGAGGAAGTCTGTGTATATGCAAAGTTTTTTTTCCCATCAACACCAGTTTCACAACCCCTGCCTCAACTACAACAACCATATGTCTCGACCCCGCTTTCACACAGCATGCAAAAAAAGCATCACGAGACACCATTTTAGTTTATAAAAAGGGCTTAACTCAATGGCTATATACTGTACATACGTCATGCGTGAATGTGACTCTTTGGGGTCTACACATGCATCTTGCCAGAACAGAAGCTTGTACCCGAGACAGCCAAGAGGAAGTCGCCCATTTCCGTAGTAGCTTGTGACCTTTGCTGAGTGCTCTGCGGAGACGGAGGTTTGAGGGGCGGCTTCAGCGGGAGATTCACATGTCGCTCGCAGATAGGAAAATAAGTTTGGTTCATACTCTTGAGTCATCAAAGTTGTTCTCTATTAAAAGGCCGGAAGACTATAAAGCTCATACTTTTTATTTATCGGACGTAAATCATTTACGATGTCTAATCAGAATGGGGGGGAAAAAAAATTATTCAGGGGTCATAAGCGTTGTTTTTTTTGGCGCCCACTTGCCTACAAACCAAGGCCGTCCAGCATAAGCTGTTCCCTTCAAATGACACATCCTGGGACTTCAAAGAGCGCAGTGAGACACATCCTTATTCTTGGCACCGTGCCTCATTTATTCTCATGAAATATTTTCTTTTTGCACTTTGACTCGTCTCTGCTGACGTCACTTGTTCAGCGCTAAAAATAGCACCCTTTCTGCACT